TCGGGTGTCGCCTATCGCGCACGGCAGTCGAAGAACACGACCTGAAGCCCGCTCGCCGAGTATACTGGTCGGACTCACGCACCGTGCTCGCATGGCTACGCACCGGTCCTCGCGCATACAAGCCGTTCGTCGCGCATAGAGTCGCCGAGATCGTCGAAGAAACGAAGACGAACGAGTGGAGATGGATACCGACGCGGCACAACGTAGCAGACGACGCCACACGCGACCCACCGACGGACTTCGGCTCGCAGCATAGATGGTTCCGTGGGCCGGACTTCCTGTACCTCCCCGAAGAGCAGTGGCCGCGTGAAGATAGTACGAGCGACGATAGTCAAGCGGAAACGGGAGAAGAACGCGTACACAAGCTACAGAACGCGACGCAGTTGTCTATAGCATTACCCGATCCGTCACGTTTTTCTAATTGGTTGAAACTTGTTCGCAGTTCAGCACGAGTGTTGCAGTTCATCGACCTCCTGCGACCGACCAGTCAACGCTGCACCGCCATCCGAAAGAGAAACAAGAAGAAAGAGAGCGCCGACCCCACTTGGACCCGCACGAAGAAAGTCGATAGAGAGAAGACGAAGATGAAAATCAAGAACAGCAATAGTCCATCTGTGTGTTTCATCCCCATAGACACACACTACCTAGATCGCGCGCGACGGCTATGGATTCGCGCGATACAACAAGAGGCGTTCGGCAACGAAATCGCAGCAGTGAAACATAGAAAACAGCTGCCGTCATCCAGTCGACTCATACAGCTGTCAGTCGTCATAGACAACGACGACATTCTGCGACTTCGATCGAGAATAGCAGCCGCCGCCGATCTGTCAGCCGAGCAACGAGAGCCCCCATCGTCGACGGAAACCACGCCTGGGTGCGCCTATACATCGCATGGGTGCATCGGAAACTTCACCACGGCGGCTTCGAGATCACCACGAACGAGGTGCGACAACACTTGTGGGTGTTGCGCCTACGACACGCCGTCCGCAGTGAACTGAAGAGGTGTCAGCTGTGCCGCCTACGAAGAGCAAGACCGGCGCAGCCGTCAACGGGCAACCATCCACAGAGCAGGCTGGCGCATCATCAACGACCGTTCACGTTCACCGGCCTAGACTACTTCGGGCCTATGACCGTGACAGTGGGCCGCACTCACCAGAAACGATACGGAGTGCTCTTCACCTGCCTAACGACGCGCGCAGTCCACCTAGAAATCGCCGGCAGCCTCAGCACGGACTCCGCCATAATGGCCCTGCGGCGCTTCATAAGCCGCAGAGGGTGTCCCACGGAATTATGGTCCGACCAAGGCACCAACCTCAAAGGTGCTGACGTCGAACTGAAGAAAGCAGCCGAGGAAGCCATCCAAGAAGAGTCATCAGTTCATTTCATCCGGTGGCGCTACATTCCCCCGAGCGCACCCTTCATGGGAGGTGCGTGGGAACGGCTGGTGCGTAGCGTGAAGACCGCACTAGCCGCTACGTTGAACGAGCGGGCGCCCAAGGAAGAAGTCCTCCACACTCTGCTGGTCGAGGTCGAGCACACCCTCAATAGTCGACCGCTAACCCACGTGTCAACATCGGCAGACGACGACAGCGCCCTAACCCCCAATCACTTCATATTGGGCGGTCCATCGCGCGTCCCACTGCCAGGCAGCTTCACAGAGAGCGACGCGGCGGGACACAAGGAGTGGCGTGCCAGCCAGAGGCTAGCTGACTGCTTCTGGAACCGGTGGGTGAAGGAGTACCTACCCGAGTTGCAACACCGGCGGGAGCCCCGAGCTACACACGGAGCCATCAAAATGGACGACCTGGTCCTGATAGCTGATGGGACCTTGCCTCGCAACACGTGGCCGCGAGGCGTGGTGGTGGCGACCTACCCTGGACCAGACGGCGAGATCCGAGCAGTCGACGTGCGGACGAACAAGGGCATCCTACGGCGACCCACTAAGAAGCTGATCATACTGCCCACATCGACATCGAGCGACGCGAACACGAGTTAACTCCAGCTACGAGAGCTGCGGCGGGAGATTATGTTCGCGACATTATTTGTATATATCGTAATTTATAGTTGTTAAGTCCCTAGTTAATCGTTTCTGTATTCTGTTATTTTATATAGATTTACATAGATTTAAGATAGTGTAAGTTAAATAAAGTATTCCTTTGCGTGTTGTCGTTATTACCTACGAATAGAAATTGTAACAATAAATAGAATTAAGAAATTGTAAATTGAAATAAAATAAATAAATAGACGCTATAGAGTACCGATCTGAAGAGACACGCGTCTCGTTCATTTTCGCCCCGTCCCGCTCGCACAGATCGCTATCGCGAGTTGGAAACATTATCGTGCGAGCGGGCGGGTATAAAGATAGGCCGCCTCCCGTCGAGCGGCATTCGCTTCCGGGCAGCGACACACTACACTCGAGAAGAAATAGGACAAGAAGAAAAAATACTCTCTTCAGACGGTACCGGAGGCTTCAGAATAGTAATCCCTGTGTTTCACTCCAGCCTGAACCAACGCCCCTACAGTCCACGCTCACCGAACGGCAGTCCACACCGTTCACACATTCTATTAAAAGTATATCGTCCCTATATGGAAGACTCTTTTTTTTTTGCTTGGAACCTTTAGGAAAATATTCTAAATTGAACTAGTGTCCAGTTTCATAAACCGTTCCTTAATCAGATGCTAGTAATTTCGATTTCATCCTGAATTAATATTATTATAGTCATTGTCATAGAATTTTTATGCAGTACCTACCATGTTAGTAAAATTTAATTCAATCTTTTATTGGGGTCGGATACAGATTATTTGCAACTGGCTCTGGGACTTTATCGGCGCAACGCAACGCACTGGCTGGCCACAAATCTAAAATTCACGACACATACTGTAATATCATTGGCTACACCCGTGTGAAAACAAACGATCATTGCCCATAAAGTACACTTGCGAAAAAAAATATATGCCTGACTGTCCATACCCTGTGGTTCGACGTGTTTTTTATTTTCGGCAACCACGCTACGACATATTATTTCAATATTTTATTTTTACCCAACTTATTTATTCATTGATATATTTTAAATAAAATAATTGTAATAATGTATTGATAATAATATAAGATTGTAAAATATTACTCTGATAATACTTCATGTTCATATAATAAATAGATACGTATATAAAATTAAGTACATTTTTATAAAATTCGCGCCAGCGGTTTGTAAGTTAATTAATATAAAAATTACATATTGATAACTTAGTTAGTAATCTCTCTTTTCATTTAAACTCGTTTAGCCATAGTAAGTATAAACATGATCGAGTGACAATCATCTAACATTTTTACAATCATTTACAATATTTGTAGTGTAGTTTAAATTTTCCGGGATAACTTTTGTGTAATTGTTTTTATCATATGCAATGTTTAATTGATTTATAATTGCCTAATAATATGTACTTTAAGATTTACGATAAATTATGTTTCAAGCATTTTGATACACTAAGAAAGAAAAGTGGTTTCAACATTACAAATACGGGATAAGCAAAATTCTATCGACTGCAAAATGTAATATCAAGATCTACGTAAAGTTTCTTTGCCTGAATATCCAAAAAAAAATATAAAATTTTAATACATTGCAAAATTTATGTAGGCGAGAAACATGAGCTTTGACTGCGTTTTGTTTTCTCACTCTTGGTAATAAGTAAAAAGTGTAATAAAAATCACGAACGTAATAAAGTTTTGGTGTTATTTCAATAAAAGGTTGCATTAAACCCGAAAAAAATAAATGAGAGTGACATAACTAATTACTGAAAGTTAAAAATAAATTTGGTACCTTATTATATTTCTTTGTGTAAGTTTATGAATCTTTTAATATACTCATACTCGTACACTTTTTATATTGTAAAATATTATTCGAGCCAACTTAACTTACGATCCATTTATGTATCGGAGGAAATATCTAAAAATATTATAATTTAAGAAAGTAAAGTAAAAAATTATTTACACATAAATCTTTTTTTTTTAACTGTTATGCATATCATATAATTCTCAAAAAGAAAAAGATATTTCAAAATACATACATTATTTACAAATTACATATAAGAATTTACTGTAAGAAAACAAAAATAGAGCGTAGAATTTATATAAATTGTACAACGAATATGAAAACATTCATCCTATTTAAAAAAGAGTTAACTTACAAATTTACTAGAATCCAGGCCTGTGAAACAAAAAAAAATGTATCTAACTCGGAAACTGCAAGTCATCCAAGACAACAAACTTTTAAAATATTAAATTGCAATTTTATTAGTAATTATAATAAAAAAACAACTACATAAAAGGTATTGAATAGAAATTACGTAAAATAAAATGTAACTGACAAAATTATATAATTTAGCTAGCAATAAGAAAGATTACAGACAAATTTTAATTATGTTTTATAATACTGCGTGTAAAGAAAAGTCATTATATCGATATTAAGTATAGCACTAATCAAATCCGGTATATTATCGATATCTATGTGTAATTTGTGACGTTTAAAAAATATTTGTAAAGTTGGTAACCATGTAGGATATCAAGTAATATTAAAAATAATAATCATTATTTATTGTTTCTAAATATATTTACCTATATTATCTTTTATACTGGACTAATATATGTGAATATAAGTCATTGTTTTTATACCCATCAGTTATTTTAAAAAAAATTAAATTATAGTTTTTCGACATATGACGAGCACCTATCTATTAAAGTAGTTCTAAATTATCTTAAAATTTTTTTACATTGATTCTTACAATATCGATAATATCAAAATAAACTAATATTGAGAGTAGCGGGTCCTCTAATACCAATATTTCTAAGTCGTCTTCATTACATTTTAATAGCATATAATTTAAATAATATTTTTTATAATAGAAAATAAAGTATTACAATCTCGTAATAAAATAAAACAGTCCCCACAAACGCACAGTAAATGTCTGCTGTGCGCCGAAGCGCGCCATTTGCGCCGTTAACATCTGCGCATCGGTTGGCAACATTGAGCTCTTTCCTTCCAAGCCGCGATCGGACGCCATTACCACGCTACCGGATCGCGAATCTGTCATTATAGCGTCTTTTCTATAATTAATTTTATATTGTCCTAGACATTTCTCTAATTGTGTTTTTAGTTTACAAAAATACATTTCTCTCAAAATGTCTGATGAGAAAAAGGTACGTAAAAATCTATATTATCAGAGTTACAAACAATCACAGTTCCACCGACATGGCGTTCTGTGTAAAATGTGGTTATTCGAATATTTGTTGCAGTGGTGGTTAGCTATAGTGATTCAGTGTTTCATATTTAACTTGATTTTTGCAGGGAGAAAGTGAACACATCAACTTAAAAGTATTAGGTCAAGATAATGCTATTGTCCAATTCAAAATTAAGAAACACACACCTCTCAGGAAGCTGATGAATGCCTACTGTGACAGAGCAGTAAGTATGATTTTTTACTATTTACCAAACTAAATAAAGTAATAAAAAATATCTCCATACACATCGCCATTGTTCTATTTTCACAAACTCATAGCTATTGGTAGATTTTCCATAGAAACTATAAGCAAAATAATAATATATCCATAATTTTATTTTAAAATACTTCTACCAACACATTAATAATAACAAAAACAAACCTTGCAACAACTATGATAGTCAAAAACAGTTGTCACATTACTTCATTATTTATATTTTTTAACACTAATGCCCTTAGAACTAATGCTTTAAAACAATAGTCAAATTGCATAGCAAAATAAGTGTTAATTGTTGCTTGATTTGTAATAATGTAATTTTATAATATTGACTTTTTTCATGTAAAATTAAAATGTAAAGTATAATTGTGTATACATATTTTCATTGTTGTTCATAATGGAATGCTATAGCGATTGACATATTTTTTATGAATAATAAAGGAATGTACAACTCTAAGTGTACTGTAGCAGATGGAGTCATACCCCATTTCCACTGGAACTGTTAATATAACACAAGGCCTTGACCTATTTATACCCTTCACTGGTGCTTTACCAGTGAAGAGTAATAGAAGAGGATGAATGTATATCACAGTTCGCATCATTGTGATGAATTCATCAAAAATTAACTGGGACGATTGAACTAAAATGTGATCTATCTGTATTGTAAATTTCATTCAATTCATGTATAGAATGATGAATTTTGATCAAAAAAACTTTTTAGAATAAGTTTATTAGACAGGATTTATTTGTGTCTGCATAGAATTACTACTTTCTAATGTTTTTAAAGTTGACCCATATCAATCCACAAATGTCAAGATATCAAATGTTAACAGAATTTATTCAGCCAGGAAAAAAAAAACAGATTTAAAAATTTTTTATATAGTATGGATAGATGTGTTGACTAAACAGTTTGGCTCATCATTTGGTCAATTTAAATTGTGATAACAAATGTATTATTATTTTTTATTTATCAATAACTTAGTCATAATTTGAATATTTTTTATATCATTTCAAAAGTAACATCATTATCTACAAATAATATAAACTCGTAAAATAATTATCTTTATATTAATTAATTAATCTTGCAAATTGTTAAATTTTTTTTGTATTTATCTATATTGCCATACAAGGACAGAAACTTTTTCTAACCGAAATTTATCTTGTATCAAATGAAGATTTACTATCCATATCCCTATTATTATTTGGGATCAGCGTAATATGTTTTTATCCATATTACAAAAATATTTGGCTTTTAGTTTTATGACCGGTCGCCTGCTTGATGTCAACCCTCTTTGGGAAGTAAAGTAACCCTAGTTGATAAGAAGTACATGTTTAAAAATCATTATATGAAAAAGATGGCTTACTCATCTCAGCACAGCCCTTATAAATATTATAGAAACTATTAGCAATTAATTTTACAGTTTAACAATATTTATTGTTTACTTTCAGGGTCTTTCAATGCAAGTAGTCCGGTTCAGGTTTGACGGCCAGCCTATTAATGAAAATGATACACCTACATCGCTGGAAATGGAAGAGGGTGATACAATAGAGGTTTATCAGCAGCAGACTGGTGGAGCGCCTCTAGTGTAACTTATATCTTAAGGAACTGTCCGATCCCTATGTGAAGACCGCTGTGGTGTGCCCATCTCAAAACTTTAACATTAAGTTAATTATAATGTAACATTTTTATCGCAAGGATGTTAATGGAATTTCCAAAATATACATTGTCTGCAGAATATTGTTCCCTGAACATTGTACAAATTGGAAATTTCATTGTAATCAAGAAATTTAAGGTAAACCAAATGTCTTAGTAACTTTGGAGCAAATATTCCATTGTGATAATTAGTTGACATTTTACAGAATCAGCCAGTATTTTTTAAACACTGGTATATTAAGGTATTTTTCATTTCTATATGTGGTAACTATAATTTATTGGACTCGCGGTCCATTCAAGTTATCAAGGTCTGTAATAGCAACTAAAATAAATGTAATGGTAATATAATAGTTGTTTTATTTTTTCCATATAATAAAAATTTATTACATTTCTGTAGGTAATTTGTAACCAACTTGTGAAATAAAGGTGTTAGGTGCTTTCTTACACTTTGCCTTTGTCCTGTTTTGTATTAAGTAATGCATCATGCGTAACCCAAAATTTTTTATTTGTGTACATGATGCATCCAAAACAAAGGTCAATAATACCTGGATAACTCAAAACTTGAGGAGATTGTAAATACGTACCAATAGTAATGTATATATTTAGCATCTATGCCAGCATGCCTTCAATTTCCTAGGCAACTTACAAAATAATCCATCTGCTGTTTCACAATTAATTATTTTTCACTTCTAAAATAAAATATATTTATAAAGATGTACTTATAAAATAAATCTTTTCATGACTGACAAATAATAGTTTCGTCGCCTTACATCCTATAAATGTAATATATATATTTTTTTTTATCTAAAGGACATCTATTTCTTAAAAACCTATTTTACTTTTAATTTTCTGTGATAGTCTCAGATCTGAAAATATCCTTTCAGATAAAACGAATTTTCCAAATCAGTTTATAAAAGACGGAGTTATAAGGTAACTATAGAATACAACCAAATTGAGGACCTTCTTTTTTGAAGTCGATTGGACATTAGATGTAAAATATTTAAAAAATTGAGATATTAAGCTTTTCATCAATATAATTTTGATATATATTGAACTTCCAATCTAGTATAAATAGCTGATGACGTCATTTCTCTTTATGTAGATATCTAGATACCTGATTGCATAACGATTTGTAATAGGTAGGTATTAATTTACATCACCACAGATAACATAAAGGTACTGCGTTAAACGTTTCAAATTTGTGTAGATAATTTTACATACATTCAGCATACATAGATTACCAATAGGTAGGTAGTATCTAAATACTCTTTTTTTAATGAAATGGTAACCCCGCCTGCGTTATCAGTATATGCTGGAAGGGAACCAGTAAGGGATGATAGGTGAGAATGAAAGCAAGTCAATTAGCCCATCGTAATAAATTCCACAAGAATTAACCACGATGGTTTCAAGGAGGAACCACGTGGAGATCGAGCCGATAGGGTATAGTAATTAATTATGAAGCTGGTAAATCCCCATTACTAATAATCCCTTTCCCCCTATCTAGATACTTAAATGTTGCTTCATATATATAATTATCATCATATCAGCCTTCAACTGTCCAGTGCTGAGCCTCCTTCTATTGGAGGGGGGGTTTTGTCACTAGTTGCCCCACATAGAGATACTGCCCATCCTTAGATCATATATATATATATATATATATATATATATATATATATATATATATATATATATATATATATATATATATATATATATATAATTACTATATGTAATTTATTTTTTCTCAGCAAATACCGCCCAATATGCACATTACGTTTTCAACACGTTGGACCAAGATAGAAGTGGCCTGTTAAGTTTTGAGGTAGGTAAAGTCGTATCTATTGTTTTTAGCTCACATATGGGTAATAACGCACTAGAAATTAAATCTAAACAAACCCTGTAAGGGTACAGCAAAGAGCTTATAATTTAATTTGACCATCTGTATTTGGCGGTTGTGCTTGTGGGAATTACGAATATTGTAATAAAAGTACCCTAATTATGTAATTAATAGCTACATAATTGTAATGTTTGCATACTTTAAAACATTATCCCTCTATGCATTCACATATATTTAGACGCCATTGATTTTATATATTAAGATCATTTTATAGATACGTACCTCATCATCTTAAGAAACATACTTTCCGAGAAAATGCCCACAATGGAACGAGTTCATTGTGAGTTAATATACTCATTCTTTTCTACTACTGCGACCAGCCGACGCTTTTAAATATTTTAATTCGTCCTACCGCCAATTATAATTTATTCTGCGGAACATTAGGCAAAGCAAGACTTTTGCGGAATATAGATAAAGTGGGAGTGAAGAATCTCCATCCTTCATATATAACTTCCACCCATCACCTACTCCATACAGTGACAGAACCAGTGATTAAACATATACATAGATAAATTAGTTTTTTTATGCAATTTAGAATAGCAAACAAGCTGACGGTCCACCAGACGGAATGTGGTAACCGTTGCCTATAGACATGAGCAGTACCATGGACATAACAGAGTATACTGTTTCGCTCATGATACCCCCCATGCGTTGCCATTCCTGAGGACTCAGATGTTATTCCTCTGTACCCTATAAATTCACGCCATATCCCACCCTTCAAACCGAAACACAGCCATGCAAAGACAACTACTTCACGGTAGAAACACGAATGGGACAGAGGTACCCAAGCAATCGACTTTTGTACAAAGTCTCCCTCTGGTATATATCAAACAACAATGGCATATACTTTATAAACTGTGCAATATTTTTCAGGAATTTGTAACCGGCTTATCGATCCTTTCGAGAGGAACATTAGAAGAGAAACTTCGGTGGACTTTCTCCCTGTACGACATAAACGGGGACGGCTGCATCACGAAAGAGGAAATGACGGAAATAGTGGGCGCTATATATGACCTCATGGGCAAGATCGTGGAACCGATGGTCGACGATGAAGTTGTACGCGACAAAGTTGAGAGGCTATTTCAGGTATACAAATGAATAGTAATACTGTATTAGTATATAAAGAATAGCCACAAACACCCCAAATGTCTGCATATCTCTATCTATTTCTGCTATGTAGTAATTGTATTGTATTTCAGTTGTAAGGTGTTATAAATATGCCAATGGAATTCCTTAGTATAGATACATAACACCTGAAAGAAAGAATATATACGGGCGTTACAGTTTGTCGCTTCTAGGTATATACATAAATTACGATTACCGCTTTTCATCGCAAAAATTCCAAGAATTTCTCTTTTATCACTTATGCAAAATGTTCAGTTTACTTTCTATAAAGTGATATCAGTATTTTAAAAAATAAAACGAAAATTCGAACTAAAAAACACATCGACTTAAGCTACGCCATGCATGCTTGTTATCAAATCTGAGGAATAGTTTGATTTCCTCATGACTGATAGGATTTGTTGACTGTTCCCGTTGTGGAGATAGTTCACCTTAATGGAATGTTGTTGAATTGAATGTTGTTGTAGCAAACATAACCTATTTGAATCGAAAGCGGTTGGAGTGAGCATGCCGTGTCTTGTATTCATTTTTGTCTATTGCCGTATCTTGAAATTGGCTGGAAATTTAAATAGACCCACATAGGTTTTGGTATCGGCCAGATGCCATCTCACCACAAACAATAATAGATTCTTTAAAATAATTTTATTCCAGAAAATGGACTTAAATCGAGATGGTGTCCTAACGCTGGACGAGTTCCTTGATTGCTGTTTACGAGACGAAGAGATCTCCAGATCCATGGGTGTTTTCGACAGCAACTTCTGACGTCCTGCGGACGGTGCGCGCCCTGTGTCACGTCGCGCTCCGTAACAATTGAAGTTGCCACAATATAATAACACCACAGAAAACCTTGGAAGAAATTACGAGAGACGAATATTCGTTATACTTTTGAGGTCCTTTTCATAATATTCAATGGAGATTCGGGTGCAATATGTATTATAAATTAAAAACATTAACCAGTGTTACCATATTGGTGCCATTGATAAAATGTTTTGAACTGTTTGTCTTTTTTATAAAATAAATTAGCGCTTCATACTATTACTTGGTTGAAAATCAGACCAATGTATGTATGTGAGTATGTAAAATCTGTTTATTTGCTTAGTGTTGCATTATTGTCAGATTTCATATGACTGTGTCGATTAGTTAGTGTAAGTAATATTATTTAACACGAATTAGTCTCATGGAATGTATATTGAACAGTAGAATTTGTAGATAGGTATGAAATTTACGTAAATTGCCTTATCAATAGGGCTCTATGCGCGTAGTAACTTGCCACATCCACTAGCATCAACTAGCTTTTTGCTTCAGTAAAATCTAGTTCTTACTCTATCATTAGCTAATCGTATGGTTCTGTATGAAATTGTATAGTCGAATCATGTAATTTCACAATTTAAAATTTTACGATAAAAATATCTAGTTTGCTGGTAAACTGATGTAAACTATTTATATTATTCTTTTTCTCTCAGAGAAGAAAAAGAAACACTATTAAGAACGAACTCATAGATAATGGTTTTTAGTAGTATTTCTTTTTTCATTATATCATTTCGAAGTTATTTATAGTCATAATAAAAAATAACCTTACGAGGTTATTTTTTATTATGATACAATACGTTGTTACATCTATTAAAATCATCCATACTTAGGACCCTACTTACTGTAAACTTCAAAAAGTAGAAACCTTTAATTCGGCCTTTGGTCGGAAACTTTTAAATAAACTGACACTATAAAATTCTTGATATTACTATTAATATTATTTCTTCAAAGTAATAGATAAATACTTACATAGATATAATTTTTTAAGATTTAGTTTTAAACTGTTAGTGAGTACATCTATGACGTCTTCTACTAAGTACTTACCTATAGGTATGTATGTATAATTTTGATCATCTATATCAATCACAACTGTTTATTTTCCTTCAATTTCAAATACATTATCAATTCAAAACTTCCCAACTCTTCATTTTCAAATCGTTCCGGCCATTTTTTATAGAATATTTAGAATAATAATTTATTTAAGGCGGTAATACCAATTAGACGTTTGTATTTATAAGTTATTAATATAACAATATATTTCAATATTTGAATTGGAGTAGCTAGGAATTTTCCCTAGAGAGGAATGGGGGTATGCCACCACTTAAAGATTTGAATATTTGACAAATTCTCTTTAAAACAAAATTGACAAGCCGCCCGTTTCTTAGCTACGCCCACAAGTATCTACATATACATACAAATAAACAATAGGTACACATCATGGTCTTCAACAGACTACAAAAGGCCTAAATGTTCTGATCAGGCATACCATCGACTATATCCGTCATACATTGAAACACTGCCATACTCGAATAAAGAAATTAAACATGGCGCCACCTCTCTACCTATTCGCACTTTACAGCTTTAGGTATATATTATCATGTCATTACGGATGGATACACAATAAATTGCATTATCTTTCAAATTTGTTTTTGAATATAGTCGTAAAATAAATAATCTCTGTCAATGATAAGACAGATAAGGCGCCATTTTGAATCTTACCCTTATAGCTCGGGTTGTACCTTTAAAGACACTCCTTAATTTTATTTTTGTCGTGTTGACAATAATTTTAAAATAATAAAACATCTATAAACATTTGAAATATTGATATTTTTGTAATGAAAAAAATTGTCTAATCCTTATTAACTCACCGACCGACTCAACACCAGATTAAGTTCATTATTCAAATAAAAATATATCTTAAGACATTATCATAGCTATGTAAATATAATTGTAAATAGGTGACAATATAGAATTAAATGTGTATATTTTCATAGTAAATGTTAAATGGAACCAAATAACTAGATACTAGATGACAAAATGAATCTACAAAAAATCAAATGGTGTGTTGATTATCACTTATTATAAAATACATTTTGATGAATTAAATGTGATTAAAAGAGGTGATGACATAAAATAAATAAATAAATGACATAAAATAAAGAACTAGTTTCAAAAGTTCTCTATAATGTAAGTAGACAATTTCCAAAATTATCTTACCGAGGCAAGAAAATGTTAGATCTAAATATTTACTATTTAAATTAAATGACCTTACGAATTTTATTCATCCAGAAATATTTTGTTGTATTTTAAGCATCATTATTGGTCGAGCTTACATAGATAAGAAATTTATGTGTCTTCCTAAACATATAATTCTAATTATGTTATTGATTCCATATTCAAAGGTAATAACAAATAGCTATTTTAATATTGTGCCGTTAGTTTATTAAGAATCAGTAATCAATGGATGAAAATTGATCGAACCTATGTTATGTTGATAAATATGTATCTTAATTAAGTAGATATCGTTATTATAGTGGTAATTTTAATCTAAACGTACACCTAATTTGGAATAGTTATGAAAGTGATACACAATCAGTTCTCTTTCATGGGAAAAAGAAAGACGAAGGCAGGCGATTTCCGTCTAGTTACATTTAAGCGTGAGATATCACAAGAACTAGAAAACTGGCATCTATCTCATTTGTATTTAATGTAAACTGTTTTTACACCGGAAAATAAATAATTTTGAGGCTGATGTATTTAGAAATGGATTCGTTTACAGTTGATCACTGACTGCACTTTCTACTTCAAATCTATATTAATTAGCATAAATCATAAAAATTACGTTGAAAGTGTACGTAGATACTTCAAGAATTGAAGATATTAATTTAGTTCAATTTTGTAATATCATAACGTATCCAAGATTAACGGCGTATGCAGATGGCACAGTCATAGATTCAAGATAGATAAGTACCTAAGTCACAATCATAAAGCTTAATTACAAAAAGTCGTCGAATCATAGATTAAAATTACCACTCAGATCTAACTTTTCCTCTATTTACATACCTACCATAGATAGTAATGAAATAAGTCTTATGATGGAAGTGTAGTAAAAAATGTTAGACAGATTGATATATACGGATCGTTTTAGTAATGCGAAATAATTTATATGTACCTATATAATGTTTGGATTATATATGTTTAATTTTATTGCTTTCAAGCAACATAATATTATATAAAATGTTTAACAAAGGAATTAATATATATAATAGGAAATTTTATTATGTAATAACTAAAATTGTCCACAACATATGTATCAAACTGCGCAGACAGAGCGGTTACATGAAAGATTCAACCTAAAAAAAATTATATTATGTATGCAAGATATATGTATGTATACTATGCATGTTGAGAACTAATAAAGAGCTATCTTAGTGCCAAACATAATTCCATATAAACAAGTGTACTTTTGCTGTTTTATTTTTTATTAAAAAATTATTGGCAGTTTGTAAATGTTCCATCGATGTGTGCCCTTTTTACCTAATTGCGCAATGCAAAGGATACTGTGTTTACGGTAATTTGTTCAGCATTATAATAGGCCTATTAGATTACGGGATACCGATTTGGTCGTAAGATCCACGTTATATTTAGTCTAAAATCTACAGGTACTTGGTGTTAGTAGTGTAGACCTACGCTGTTTTGTCCTATAGGACGTAAATGTTACATTGCATGCGATTTCATATAATAATTCAGTTCGTTTTCTGCTAAATATTTTTCGCACTGGAAACAGTATCAGTCTCTAAATTTGTTCAGATAATGAATAACATATCAATCATTTCACACCTTCATATTAAATGTCACATTTTACACGTTTTGTTACAATTTAATGTTTTGAAACATCACGTACTGCGTATCATTTTAAAATTGGTGTATACTGTATAAATTATTGCATTAAGACTAATGTTCCCGGTTAGCAATCAATAATTATTATGTCTGGCTACCTGATTTTGGTACATGCACCATGTGCTTAGGAATATACCAAGACCGTTAATACCTATTTGTTTCATTAACGAAATCTGTAGATATTTAAATATTAAAAATGTTTATTTACAAATCGTATGTGTATTTTATAGAAAAATAAATAAACGAAATGAGCCTGTGTTTTATTGTTATTACCTATTTTCCTACTTCATATATCGTCTTAGCGTATATTAATACAAATTATAAGTAACACTAAACAAATACTCAATACCTAAGTGAAAAATATTTATGTACCTTATTTTTTTAGTTTTTATTATTTCAATAAAACATTGTCTTTCATAAAAATATTTATTAACTAGTATTTTCGACAGTAATAAAATTCATTACAAGTAAATTAAAATAGCCTTCAAATACATAAAATAACCTAAATGTGCTCATAGTATTGCATTTTGCGATTTATTACATTCAATATTAACGTCATATGGATAAACTTGAACATTTAAAAAAACATATAATGTGCGAGAATGGCAAGCATTTGAATTACATTTAAGTAAAATACGATCCAAAAGGGAGGCGGAACAAGTTAAGTAGATCTATAAGTATAATTGAAAATTGCAATTTTACTTGAGCAATATGATTCACAATATCGATTATATAATATTTAAAATACTTGTACTTTTTTTATTACTTGTATATGTTACATAATCGATATAATAAATTTCCACCAAGGAGTCACAACACCAACTGTGTTTTACAATAATAAGTCTGATATGTCTTTTAACAATAATAATGAGCATCAGTTTTTACTACTACTTATAATGCTTAAAAAAGCTTGGGGTAAATAATGGGGCACACTTGTAAAAACATAATATAATACCTATACTATTCACACACAATTAAGTAAAATAAAAATTATATAATATTAATTATATAATATTATTATAAATACAAATTAAAATTATAACTAATATAAAAATTGTCCAGATTCATTTAATTGCATTACTTAATTAAAATAAAAATTGCAATGTATATTAATAACTACTAATTCTAGATTTTAAAACATAGATCATGTTAACTTTAAAATTCATATAGATTTTTACAGTTAATGTCTTAAAAATAAAATCCAATTATTCGAGAAATTAGACAGTTTTTCACTGAATTATTAAAATAATTTGTGCATAATCATACCAATAGTATCTAAACTATTATAAAATAAAAGCTATTATAACCCCACCATTTATATAAAAGTAACAATTCGCCAAATAAGTTCAAGAGAGCTAATTTGTAATACATAAGTCCAAAAGTCTAATTTGTAAGATTTTTTCCGGTGGTATATTTATGGCAGCATAATAATCTCAGTAACAACCTAATTACATAATATTATGTAATATAAAAAATATTAAAGAAATTACTAGCTACTCGAGATCTTTAACTATAAAATTAATTATATCTTTTCGATAATAAACATTTGTTATGTATACATATTTTTTTATGTACAAAATATCTTGAATGTCCTCTACTCAAATATAAAAACTAATTGTCATTGGGATGACGCGTAATCTATACTATAATCTTTTTTTTAAGTTGTCTTAACATGTCTCCAACGATTAAAATGCTGCTGCTAAACACGCTGGCTGCGTCTTATACTATTATACAGCGTTTTATTTCAAGTTTCTCATCTCTTACACTGGGGCGCCTTGCGTCATTCCCAAAATCAACTCTTATGACTTTTTAAAAGTGTGAAGGAGTAAAAATATAATAAGTCATAACTCCTTTCCATGAAGAAATTAACTGGGATAAAATAATATAAAAATATGTGTTGAATGACTATTCGAGATTATTTTTAAATGACATATTTCGTTAGAAAGACATGTTAAAACTAGTAGAAACAAATTACAAGTTATTAATAAAAGTCAACAACATACTCTGGTACCAGTTATAGCACCTTCGGTATGAGAACAGACGGCACCCGCTTGCAGTACCGCTGCCACGCTGCGCCGTAGCGACGTTTGCAACGAGCATGATCTCGCCACGAGCGATGCATCAGTACCAGAATACATATCGCCGACGGGGCAACGGCAACAAATTGCTGACTCAGTATACCTGGTAACGCCAACGCAATGTGGATCAAAATATCGCCAGTGTAGTTCGGATGACGCACGATGCCCCAGAGGCCAGCCACAAGCAACTTTTTTCCATGAAAAGTAGGCATCGAGTCTAGGTCTGAAAAGTTTTAATTAATATACATTAATATAAATAATACACAATATAAATTGTATAAATACAATAAGACCGCCTATTACTGAAAGCAATTTTTTAAGGCAATCTTCAATTATCGATAATTTATTAGGAGTAGCAATCTAGCTTACGGCTTGGATGTTGATATCGCTGTATGTAGGTATAAACAATAATAAGCCATCAGAATATACTACACAAGTATAACTCATGGCATACATTGTAAATCCTACAGACTAAGATCTTATTATGTGTGATATGAATACATCTCTGAAAGATAAACCCATATAAATTGTAAAAATAATAAATACATTTCTGCTTTACTACAGCAATAGACAAGTCAACGGTATCTACCCCAGCTAGTTTCACACTTTACCCCTAGTGAATTAGATCATTTATATATATATTTTCATTTCATTATTTTAAATATAATTATAACATTTGTTGCTTTCAATGTAACCAATGCACCCAAGCTAGGTAACAATATAATTATAAAAAAATATTATTATAGAAAAACATAAATATAGATAAATTGTTATTGAAATGTTAACTATTGAATAACTTACTTGCTAAGCTGGGTTGTAGTGGATCTTTCCTGAACTCATATTTAATACTGTTACTAAGAAGCATTATGAAGAATCCCAGCACATATATTACAGAAGCAGAGATTAAGGTGTTAGTTGATAGAGATAATTTACTATCGACCACAAACTTGGATACTGTTGTGAAAAGAAATGGATAGAGGGCGCTTGACACTGTCTGCAGGTATCCTACTCCTTCAGATTGCCAGAAAAATGTTGTTGTTATCTTATATTCCCTCAATATAAAGTTGAGGATATAAGTTATTTGCATTAAAGCAAAAGTCAATATTGTAGGCTTCAGATTCACTTGACTGATAACTTCTTTATAATTTTCTAATGTTAAAGCTTGATTCTCCTTCACTTGCAGATGAAAACCATGTTTGAATATAATGATCGCCAAAATGAGCTGAAAATGACAATTGTTTTGGAATTTAGAATAATTATATATTATGATTCTGTCATATATCTATAATTGCATATAGCATAGATAACATGCAAATATTGTTAATTGCATAATGATCCCCTATTAATGAATGTAATATGTGATCAATAAAATTAGCATAGATAGGTATCTTATCTAGTTGCTGTATTAATTATCAAATATTTTAAATTGTTTTTATTATTTAAATTAAATCTACACATATGTTTGTTTTAAGGTACTCTATCTACTACAAAGAAAATAAGAATTTATATATAGCATATCAATAATTGCTATTCTAATACAATATATGTATAATAAAAATGTTCAGTTGACATCTCTTATACTTACAGCATTTATGTTGCAGACCCTTGATATCCAAACTTTGACATCCAATCTCTTTATATGTGGATGGATCTCTTTGCCCATAAAGAAGTCATATAACTTATAGCCAGTGGTGCCATATGGATTCAATTCATTCTCATCAGCCGTAGGACGTTTAAAATGTAGTATTACACTCAACACAACTGCACAGACATAGGAGGCAACAGCCAATCGCAGGTAATCATTCAGCAAAGCATCTTTGTTGAACAGACCAAAAAAATCCAATACAAATAATGTATTTATAGTGAAAAAGCTTGCAAAAAATCCATTAAATGTATACTTAGTTCCAGTTCCATCCATCTTATCAGACTTTGTACCAAATAGTGGCACAATAGCAAAAATTGCTTGTACAATAAATTGAGTAAGGATAACACCAAATGCCTGTAAACTACACCAAGTTGAAAGGGAAGTTAATGGACGCAGATCAAGAAGTGAAGTCAGAGAACACAATTTGGTACATGAAATTATAATTGATAACACTGTAAGGGGTATTAATAAAATCAATAATGCAGATCCAACTCGACCACCAAACTCCCATCGACTACCAATCACGGTCAACTTAGCCCCACTACTCCGAACAGGAGTTGCCAGTTTCCTTGTCACCGACCGTGATTTCTCTCTTTGTATATCATCCTCAGAATCCTCATCAGATAATGTGTCAATTGATTGACTGATCGATTTACTGACTGACTTGCTAACCGACTTACTAAGGCTTCTTCTGATATCGGGCACATTATCAATAAATTCTCTAAGCCTACTAGACCGACGAGGCTGTGCTTCATCCACCAGTTTTCTATTTCTCAATCCATAAATTTCGTCAAAATTTGATTCCAAACCATTCAGCTTAGTGATATCAGAGAAATTATCTGTTTGTGCACTTGTAATATCTCCAATAGAATATTCTATGCGCTTAGAACGGGTGCCGCGGTAAATTTCTAGTTTACTACTCAAATCTTCCAATTTCACTGACACATCGGTTTTTGGTGTTTTAATTGCTGGACGCTTAACTGGTGATTTGGACGTGGCTGTTTCAACTGTCTTGGTAGCTCTCGACGGCGATTTGCGCGCGGGAAATTGAGACGCTGATTTTCGACTCGGTGACTTACGAGAAGGCGACTTGCGAGTTCGCGCCGAAGGTGAAGTTTTTCGCGCTGGCGAACTCTTCCGCGCTGGCGAACTTTTCCGAGCTGGGGAACTTTTCCTCGTTCTGGCGGGAGATCTGTTCGGCGATACTCCTTTACGTGTCCGCGGGGGACTCGTTTCTTTTATACCAGGTCTTATCCGACCACTTCTCGTAGACATGCTACAACAAAATTACACAATAGAGTAAGAGTAAGCTCGTTTTTTTAGTATCTAAAATTATCACTTCACCACACACTAAGATATTTACCTAGCAATTCTTGTTTGCACTCATGGATATAATTTTAATCAATGTTAGGAGATCGGTTTCTTTATTTACCGATCGACGCTAAAATTTATTATAAGAATGAATGGAACCCAACAATAAACAAACAACTTCAATTATACATACACACGCACGCTATAAGTCCACAAGCATTCACTCCACAAACGAAACGCCAACGACGCTGGAATATATTTCAAAACGCTTTCTCTGATTGGCTAATATTAATCGCTACTATCTTTAGTCCGGAAGCAACCTACCATCTCTTTCATTTTCAAACCAAAATACGAGACAAAAAATAAGCTTGGTTCATGATTATGTTGGTATCGGTGGCGTCACTGCAAAGTAATCGCTTCACAGAATTAAATATAATGGAAATTCCAATTCGTTATAAAGTACTCCATCCAAAATAAAATTATGAATTCACAAATACACTAACATTATTATTTATCAAAGACGTAATATAACATAATTAAGTTATTTATTTCATACTGTCAGACAACCAGACTTAACTACTTGAATATCCTTATTTTCAATACTATTTTTCCAAATATATATTATATTGTACTACTTATAACAAAAAAGTGCATTTAGTAAGAAACAATTTCTTATGACTGCAAACAATACGTATTCAACAAATAATTTGCAATCAATTGCTAATAATAATAAAAATATTATATTACAGGACACCGTTGCTTTTTAATTGTTAATGGGTTAAATTTATAGATACCTAAAATTAAATATGACAAACAGCGCCATTTGTAATCTTATAAAAAGTAAAATTAATTTATAATATTAATTTGTTATTTGCTTTATTTGGTTCATTTTAAATTGTATATTAATTTTCTGTTTGTAACATTTTAGGTTACATGTTGAAAAAATAGTTTTAGTTTCTAAATTTCTCTACAGAGGCAGCACTAACGGTCAATCGCAATTTTGTTTTTAGAAACACAAAAAAATTAAAATTGTAAGCAAATATTTTCAATTTACGACTATTACAATTATTTGTTGTAAAAAACAGAAATGTTACTAGTTACGTACCTAACGTACCTAGTAGCATATGTTTTTTTTTTATTTTAATCAAAAGTAGTGTTATCCATTATACTACTTGGAGAAGAAATCGGATGTAGTTCTTTGTATAGAATTCGTTGGTTCGGAAATAATTCTTTTATTGTCTGATTTCATAAAATCACACTACTAACACAAGAAATATAACAGGTTATTAAAAGGAACGACAAAAAAAAAAAATATATATATATATATATATATATATATATATATATACATATATATATATATATTTGGATACAAACCTACTAGCGATGCGCGATTTTACTAATCCGACTGAGCAAATCATTCGGATTATTCGAATGATTTTCAAATTATTTTAATTATTTCTAATTATATTCATCCGACTACTAATTTTATTCGTAATTGCAAAAATTTCGGATTCCTTATTCTTAGAGTAGTAGTACGAGTTGGTACGAACATAGCGGGGTCAATCCGATCATTAAAATATTTTTTTTTAATAATGGACAACAGTATTGTCGATTTAAATTTTGTAAAAAGTACCAAATTGCGATAGTTATAATAAAGGAAATAGTATTATTTATTATAAAGGACTGTAGGTGATAACTGTTCGTTATTATGTACAGTAGAAACTAAGTAGAAATGAACACCAGCTTACACCAATAGCGTATGTGGGTTTTTTAATGGGTGATAATGGAATGGTAAACCTGCTTGCACTATCGGTATACGGGCCACCAATGAGGGATGGATGATAGGTGACGATGAAAGCAGGTCAGTTAGCCCATTGTGACGAATTCCACTAGAATTAACCACGATGGTTTCCAAGGGGAACCGCGTGGAGGTCGACCTGAGCTGTGCTGGCAATGAGTCAGCTAGACTCCATTACTAACAATCCCTTTCCCCCCGCACATGTGGGGTTACTACATACTCGCCCATTTAAAAAAAAAATACAAGATATAGTTTAAAGGATGTGATATACTCATAAAACATGGCGTTGTTGTTGGTGATAGCTTGCTTTCAAGCTCCATACACTAAATCATCACCTTCGTATTATAAAAAGTCATAATAGCCTGTCGTGTCAACAGAAATAATACATTAATGGGAAATTCAAAATAGTTAACTAATTTATAAGTAGAAAACTATATTAAAAAAATAATAAAAGTGTAATTTACATATAGATATTATTTGTAGCTTTTTATATTAATCATATTAATTTTGTTTAAAAATCTTCAGAGTTATCAATATAGGCGTATTTAGGCGGGAGGGGCAAGGGGGGAGGTTGAGCCCACCCCAGAATCGTGTGGTGCTCACCCCATGATGCGATCGGAGCTTTTAACTATGAAGACGAAGACACGTCTGAGATTAAAGAAGTCTTTTTTTAAGAGGTCAGGCCCACCTGGAAATTAGTCTTCAATGCGCCAACGACTATCAGTATTTAGTGCATGTTAATATAAGATTACACACAAAAAAAAACATTAGAATCGACAATAATACGTTTCATATTACGGTATAGCCCCAGAAGTAAAATATTGTAACAGTCAAAATATGTATCTCTTCGAAGTATTTATCATTTTTAATCCATAAAATTTGCACATCCCAATTATAACTAACTTGTTGAAACAAAAATATTAAATTACTACCTTTATATTCGACTGATATAGTAGTGTATTGCACATCCAAGTACAATACTTAAGGAGAAGGAATTGTTAGCAATGGGAAGGTTAGTCCCCATTGATATCAATATATCCTATCAGGTCAACCTCCACGCGGTTCCCCCTGGAAACAAATGTGACTAATTTATTATTGAATTCGTTGAAAAGGCTAATTGACCTGCCTTTTCATCCTCACCGATCATCCCCCATTGATGCCCCGCCAGTATATACTGATAGCGCAGACGGAGGTTTCAATCCATTATCATCCATTAAAAAAAGTACAATACTTTGTTTAGACCTATTCATATTATTACAATTACAATCCTGAGGTAATCTTGATCACTGGATACTCTGGGCATAATTTTCATTTATAAAAAGAAAAAGCACAATATTTAATAAATATTCATATAATATAGCAAATACATAATCATAATAAACATTGCAACAATTATATTAATATGATTAACGTACTAAAACGTGCAATGGTGTAAACATGGTGTATCTATCTATATAAAACGAAAACGCTTGAAGTGAGAAAAAAAATACTATTTATAAACAAACATTCCTAATTATTGTGCCCATTATAGCTATATATTATTGATAGGTATCAATAGAAATGTTAAAAATTTAATGTGAATTAGTTACAACATTAAAAGACCTGCACAAAAGTGGGCCTTTTCCTGTCATCTAATGTTTTATTATTGCGGGAGAAAGAAAACACGATGTTAGGAGCATGTTCGAGGAGTACCAAATTTAAGTATGCGCACAGGAACACACGCAAAGAACGTACAAATACAAAAGAGAGCCTATGACACAGGCATTATGGCAAGTAGATGGAACACTGTGGGGTTTTTGCCGTAGGAGTCCGACAGTGCCCACTGAACTCCCGAGGTGAGATATGGCCTCAATAAGGATCTAGCATGTTCTAATTTGGACAAAAAAGTATGTTAAAGATTATCTCTCATCCAACAGGCTCCAATGTCTTTAACAAAAATGAATATAATAATACATTGTAATAAATAATTATAATTCTAGTTACAGTCATTTAGTTTGTAGGTATTATCAAATTCTCCATGGTTACAATATCACCCATAAAAATCACAAATGGCATCAATTTCTGTACCAAATGCATAAAGTTAACTTAAGTTTAAGAATATTTTATTTCGTTGAAAACTTCTTCACCAGTACTTCTCCAAAGACTTAACCAAGTCTTTAGGGTCTACGTTGGGCCCGTGGCGTTCGACAGGGATTCCATTCTTGTCAATGATGAATTTCGTGAAATTCCACTTGATGAAGTTGCCTAAAGTGCCGCCTTGTTTATGCTGTAAAATATATTATATAAACAAATTTAAATAATTTTGATAAAAAAAAATTACGTTGGCCCTTAAGTTTTATCATAATAGTCATCTGTAGATAAAAATATAAATTACAGATAGCCCAACTAAAATTATATGGTCCATGTCCATGGCCACAATTACAATGTAGCATGCCATTCAAAACAGTCATGTCATGATATAGGTACGTAGCATAATAGCTATCAGCAATCATTATTGTTTGTGTGAATATGCCAGATGCATGGATATAAAGGAGGTATTGATTTTATTGAAACATTACGTTACAGGTGTTAATAATTATTTATTAGAACAAGTCAAGGCTGAATAAATCAATACATCATGCTAGGTATGTGATTATACACTACACGATAAGTAGCTCATTAGAATGATATCATTTATTTATCATATATAAATTGGTTAGTATAAATACTATGAAAATGCCAAAATAACTATCATAAATATTTGTTTCTTCGGCCCCATCAACAGATAATGTATAATTATATTTTTGGAAATACCTACTTAACATCAATTCATAGCAAAGAGTACTGTTTCATAAATATATCTACACAATAGACAATATGTACATATATCTAAAAGACACTTATATAAATATTTTGTGTTTTCTTTTCATGTAACTCATTTTAGGTGGTCATGCTCTTGAAGACTTAAAAACAAAAAAGTAATACCTTTAAAAATTTCCACAGCGGATTTGTGCCGTCACCATTGACATCAATTTTTTCAAACAAATCAAATTTCACTTTGCGCTCTGAAGCAAAACATACGATTTCTTCAGAGTTTCCTGGTTCTTGTCCAGCAAACTGATTGCAAGGGAATGCCAAAATACGCAAACCTACAAGTTATACTTTTGATTAGTTATAATAATTATTATTAATAATTATTTTCTGATTGTTATAAAAATATATACCTAATTTTAAATGTAACAATAATGATTTGCAGAAATCATAATCTTTTTGATAATAGTTTAATATTTTTAATAACCTGCGACATTGCTCGCATGAGTCAATATATAAACTACCCATTTACCAAATTTTGAATGACGAAATTCGAGGGGGGGGGGGGGGATTAATGCGGACTGCTAGTCTCATTGTTAGCAATATGCCCTGTTACTTTAAAACCGCCACATGTTCTCCCTGGAAACCATCATGTTGAATTTCAGGTGTATTCGACACAATGGGCTAACTGACCTGCCTTTTCATTCTCACCCATTATCCTTCACTGGTGTACCACCAGTGTATACCATTAGTGCAGGTGAAGTTATCCATTATCATCCATAAAACAAATCACTTAACTCGAAAAATCTATAAAATCCTTAAACATAATGTATACACACATATGCACATGCACACACACTATATAATTAGTAGGGTTAGATATTTTGCTGTTTCCCAGAGATCCCTACAATTTTTTTAAATCACTTATAATAATTAAAAAATATGATTTCCATATCTGAACAATATTTCCATAGAAAAATTATTTAAATACAAATAAAGAAAATTTTCGCCGTATTGTTATACAAATACAAATGACAAACATATTTTTATGTTGAAGCAGGTGACTATAAAATATGATAATAGCATTCTATGTCATATTATTAGGCAACATAATGGTTGAATAGATACCAGGTTTATTTGTCGCAACTGTAACCGAGTGTTATCTGTACAGACTAGTCTATTTAGAAACCATCATAGTATAGCCACTATATTAATATAGCTACGAAAATCTAAAATTAGCAAATGTATAAATGACAAATACATAAGTAATAAAAAAAATGCAGACGAATTAATAAACTGCTACTTCCTGAAGTTGCTTAATAATGTAATTGTTATTCAGTAATTGCTTAATAATATATTGTAATTGTTATTCAGTAATTGCTTAATAATGGATTGTAATTGTTATTCAATGTCATTAATTGCTTAATAATATTGATATGCATGTAAGTTTAGAATATATACAATTGAATAGTATTGTACATAATGTTGTAATTTACATTACTGAATTAGACAAAACAGATATTATGAAAGGTCATTGCATATTGACTTTATTTTAAATAGAGTGATAGTTTTTATTCCTGTTTAATGTGTGTAAACAAGACACAACTAATAATAATAAACTAATTTTATGTTCCAGATATTTTTAAGCTATAAAAAATATTCCTTTAGTATCAAAATTTGGAAATTAAAGAAATGCAGTTATGGAATACACATTAGATATAATTCTATTAAGAATAGATAAATTTAATGAGAATATTATTTCTTGCTGTCTGATCCTGGCATAGAATAGCACACCCCTTCCTTTCCCATGGGTGTTGTAAGAGACAACTAAGGGAATTAAACGGTTGAAGGACTGGCAGCAGCATCCCCCATAAAACATCAGCAAAGTATAACTTTGGTTGTAAACCAGTCTGCCAAGCATAGCAACTATTGATAAAATTAACTTCTAAGTTTCTTGATTAATATTTTAGTTTAATGCCCATCATAGACATCTTTAAGGAGAGGCTGGTGAACTATACTCACCCTATAGTTGTCTGGTGGCCATCAATAAGCCTGGCATACAATAATCTTAATGCAACAATGTTAGTGATCTTTTTAATGTAAACTAAAATTATACAAAGGAAAGATTTGATTGTTTGTTTACAATGGATAAACTTAAAAACTATGCAACCAATTTTGAAAGATCTTTTACCTATAGAAAGCTATATTATCACTGAGTCAACAGGGTGTATATATTTTCGAAAATACTATCTACCCATGCAAAACCGAGCCGGGTTGCCAAACAGAGCAAGTCGGAGAGAGGATTCATGTGTATTTAAAAAAAGTATAATTTATTATGAATCTTTGGTAGATAGTTAACAGAAGTTGGTATAAATATACTTAAATCATTCTGTATATAAAATTGTGAATACATTTGTTATAGGGGACTAAATATGAAGCTTAGTCATAATTTACTTTTTTATTATTATTTATTTGATAAATGATTCACTAAGTATGATAATCAGTAAAGATTTCTTTGATTTTATTGAACCACCTTTGAACCAAATCATGTATATATTCATAACTATAATTAGTAATGGGAAAAAAAATACTAACTCATATAGGAGTAGAATAACAAGGATTTTTTGTATATTATTTTTTTTGCTGCATCATCCTAAAAATTAATACAAGAATTATAGTAACACTAACTGTATCCCATAATTATATCATGATGTTGTATGGCCTATAAACTTTTTCAAGAATGAGTAAACAATTGCTAAAATTTTTTTAACTCCAAAATTGATAGTTTCATACAATTTAGCTTGTTTTAACAAATTACTGCTTTATTATAAGTATAGATGCATTATCTTCATTTCCAGGCAAGCTCATTTAATGATTAATTTTAATAAACAAGAGGTCATAAATAACCTAGAGATTATTTATTACTCATATTAATATTTATTATTAGCAATTTTCTACCTATATAAAATTTGAAGTGAAAATTGTACATTAGTCTTTCTTCTGAATGTTAACTACAATAATAAATATACATGAATGATAATATAATAAAATAATAATATTGTTTGTATTCACCTTTGCTCTCTGCATATTGCTCATACAGTTCATTAAGCTGTTTATAGTTGTTTGCAGTGAGGCCACACTGTGAAGCAACATTCACAATAATACAAATGTGACCTTTGTACACATCCAGCTTAACATCTTCACCTTTAATGTTTTTGACAGTGAATTCATGAATAGATGTAGCAGACTTATAATCTGGGTTATTGGCTTCTGCCATTTTTCTGGAAACAATTTGTAAACTGTATTAAAGATATAATAATAATGTAAAATTAAAAAACTGATTAAAGGTTTTTAAATCGTCTATAATTTAAATTAGAAACCTTTGAAAATTTTAAATAAGAATACATAAATGTATATAACTTCTTAACCATGAGGATGGCAGAATCACCAACTTTAACTAATGTAATTGTTATGAAATTAATATTTATTTATTTAACACACTAATTGAGCCAACATTACAGGATTTGTTAAAGAATTAGTATGTTACACAGTGTTGTTCATGTATTAAATGGAAAATATCAAATAATAAACTTGTTCATATTTTAATACACTATCGGGACTTATCGCGATGAAAAATTTTTCGCAGGAAAATAGTACCTACATATCTGTTTCTTTATTGCCGACTTTACGTACGTACTATTTATCTGCGAAAAAATTTTCATTGTATTAAGTCCCGATAATGTATTTGTAATATACGTAAACAACGCGAAAGTTTAAAATTACCCAATAACACTTGTTGAAATTACATATCACATGGAAATTAACTAAGTAATAATTATTGTTATTCCACATTTATAACACTTTTATATTTATAAATTTCAAAGGATGAATGACCTAAATATTAAATTATTATTACTACTATAATATTACCTACCTCTACTACTGTTTATTAACGGCAAAACAATGATAATAAAACACGATAAAGTGTAGAAACGAGCAAAATGAAATGACAATTGAAAATCTAAAATCAAAACAAAACAAACCAAAGAGTACAGAAATGCCAAAGATAAAGCGAAGGATTCTATTTTTAATCTATGACTGACATTGACAAAACACAGAGTAACTTTACTGTAATCATAGGCAGAAAATAGTGTAGCATGTATATTTATAAAATATTGCTCAACAAAAGAGTATGCAATTTAAAGGAACAATCCTAACATTCTTACGTATTGATAAATATTTAAATTAGAGATGGGCAATCCACCTGGGTGGGTTTAAAGTCTGGTGGGTAAAAACCGGGTGTTTTGGGTTTATTGGGTTTAAACCCCATAAACACCCAAATTTTTGGGTGTTTATGATTTTGTACTTCATCATCGTCATCTCAGCCGCAAGACGTCCACTATACTGGACATAGACAATATTATTATGCAGCCTACAGAATAAAAAACTTTTAATTTGATTTTGAGTTTATTAAGAAAGAGATGAAAGTAAAATGTAAAACTACAGTCAATCACTGTCAGATTCAGAGTTATTACAAGCGATGAATTGTATAGGTTCGATAGGCTCTATTTCGTCTAAACTGTTATGTTCATTTACTTGCTCAATGAAAGCTTCTAAGGTATTTTCTTCATTAAACTGAATGTCCTCGCATTCAGCTTTATGTTTAAGATTCCAGTTATAACAAATGAATGAAATTTTTTCAGTTCTTTCAGTTGTAAGTCGATTTCTTTTGTTATTATGTATGTAGCCTTGGATACTAAAGGAACGCTCAGTGGCTGCCGAAGTACAGGGAGCTGATAGAATACGAATCGCTACTTTGCTTAACTCAGTGGAACCACAAATACCTTTCCACCATATTAGGGGCTCAATGCTATCTAATGAGCTCCATACAAATCCTCTGGCCCAAAAGTTTTCTTTAGCTTTATAACACGCCAAATCTGCCATTACATTTGACAAACTTAAGTGTTGGCTTAAATTGTAGATAAACTCCATACCCTTAAGTTCTTCCTCTTGAGTAAGTTCGACTCCTAGAGTCCTGGGGTCTAGAATATATGCTGCAAAATGTATTGGCCTCATTGCCATATTGCATCTTGAAGATACTGATGTTAGAATCTGCTGTTTGCTTTCTTCGCTCAATGTCGAAATCTCATTTAATGCAAAACGTATCTTAGCTTGTACATCTCTAAATGTAATGTATGTCTAAACGATTCTGGTCGCTCTCTAAGTAAAATATGCTTTCAGTGACTGGTTCCAAAATACTTATACATTCCCCTGTCTTCGTCCAGAAATCATCAATTAGAATTAAATCTTTAATATCTCTTGAAATTACCACATCTTCTCTAACTGTTAATATTTGCAAAGCTATCTTATTTGCTTTCAAACTTTTTAACGAAGTAACATGACTTCCCCATCTTGTAGCACAAGGCAATTTTAGTGTTTGTGTAGAATCTTCACCCTGCCTTGATTTTATCAACAAGGAACTTAATCGTTGACTCCTTTTAACAGTTTTTATTATATTTATGGCTTGCATAATAAACACAGTTACTTCTTGTATCTTTACAATATCTTGGCACAACAAGTTAAGGATATGTGCACAGCAACCGAGAGGAACAACATGTGGATATTTGAGTTTTGTTAATTCGAATGCCTTTTGTATATTTCTAGCGTTATCGCCAATAAGTACAAGAAACTTATTTGCTCCATACACTTTCATTACTTTTTCAACTTCTTGGCTAAGGTATTCACTAGTGTGAGGATTACTTTCTGTATTCAAACTTTTAACGTATGCAGGTTGAGGTTTTGATATAAGAAAGTTTATTATTCCTTCATTTCTTAAATTAGACCAGCCATCGCACTGAAGGTGTAAGTAACTACAAGCATTTAGTTCCTCATTTAACTCAAAACGCATTTCTCTATATATTTTATCTAAGTATTTTGTCGCTAAAGCTTTACGTGAAAGTATTTTAAATTTTGGTTGCAATTTTTCGAAAAATTGTATCCATAAAGGATGTTGCACCATCGATAATGGCGTCCCTGTTACAAATATAGCTCTCGCTAATTCTGTTTTTATATGATCATCGGTGTCTTGAAACTCAGCATTTATTGTAGTGTTAGCAGACGACGAGGGGCTTATAAAAGAATCATTTGTCTCTATCTCTGACAGTCCAGACATTTTGGTTTTGGACGAGCTATCTTTTATAAGTTTCATAGAGTCTTTTAATGTTTCTGGAGATTTTGGACAAGTGATAAGATGTTGAAGCATTTTGGCAGCATTACTGAATTTGTAGACCTTATTACAAAGCTTGCAAGAAACAGACTTGTTTGGTAAAGTACGGTAGTGCTCCCATATGCGTAAATCTTTAGGTCTCCCCATTGAACCTAAAAAAATGAACGATGATTAGTTGGTCTGACGAAAATTCAACAATAGAGTGCCTATTTTTTTACAATGATTATTTCTTGTTATTTACAATAAATTTATTAAAAAAATAATAAAATAAATACAAGAAACCTTTGTAAAATTACATCTCCTCGGAGGATTAAACGCAGACGCTAGTTTATTATCGTATTGTTCTGTATTTTTCTCAGCAACTTCTTTAATTCGATTAGGTACTTACGCATATTATGTTAAAAATAAATATCTAGTACACATCTTAGGCTATCCACCATTATTATCCAATGACGACTCTCAGCTAACTATGCACTATCATCCAAAATAAACGTGTATGGAAAATTTTATCCCAGTCGGTTGAGGATTGAGGATAATTGCATCAACATACGAACATACCTACATACTTTTATTTACATAACGCAAGCTAAATAAAAGCTTGTAATAATACATCTAATTTTAAGTTAAAATTGTTAAGTGATCATGATATAATTGTATCATTCAAAAATCCACTTACCTTTAATTATTTCTTGTTAAGTATAAATATTATTTCAAATCTGCTCCCTTAATATGCACTTTTTTACTGCTTTTCCTACCTAACACGTTACCAGGAAGTCACGTTACCAGAGTCAGAGTAATAGTGAACACGTTTGACAGTGATTGTCGTCGCCTCATATTCAGCGTCGACGAATAGGGGAATCCCCAGTCATAATGTATTGCATGCGTGGCGGTCTTACTTCAAATCCATAAACAAAGAGATAATTACAGAACTCGATACTAGATGGCGCTGTTTTTGTTTGAAGAAAGTTTGCGGGCTAAAATACATAGAATTTCATCAATGACTTCCACAAAGAACAACATTTCTGTTTTTTCTAAGTCCGTATCTCTTCCGTATATTTCATAAGATATAAGCTTGGGCTACATTGTTATGCAACGTGATTTTGTCGCTGTCTTGCTAGCAGGGTTGACAGATATACGATTTAAATCGTACTCATACTATTATTTGTCTATTTTTTAATGTACGATCGTAAAGATTATGATCGTAATTCGCACAAAAACATACGACTTTTTGGTTACCTGGCAACATTTTTATTATGAAACGAACATGCTCACATCATCAGTCACATGCAACAATTTATTGGGGATTTCCCCTTCACATCTGGCAGTCCTGCTTGCTAGAATATAGGTAAGTCAGCCACAGTTACTGACGATCGATATTTAAAGGGTATTGTTTTTGTGCTAAATATTTCATAAAAACGTTATTTAATACTTTGTGGATTATTAATTTAGTTGATAATCACTGGAAGTAAAATGGATGCTAATTTGAGAGATCAAGATCTTCGTATAAAACAGTTAATAAAAGAAAATCTACGTAAGTACTCTTTTTATACCTAGGTAGGTAAGGTATAATAAACACAAAAGGTACTTAGATCGCGTGTGTTCGAAGCATTTATTCTAATAAATTTAATTTAAAATTGTAGAAAGAAAAAAATGTCTGCCAAGCCGTAGCCGAAGCCGATCTCCAAATATATTTGGCGATAGTGAGACCCAGTGTCCAGATGATTTACCCAGCGTCGTCGCAACAAAGAAAAAAACGAGGATAAAGTAAAAGAAAATTTACTGAAAGAAGAAACAAACTGTTCTAAATGCTTAATTTATGGAGAAGAGGATAAAAGAAATGAGTATTTCGGACTGTTAGTGGCTCAAGAATTTAAATATATACGGCCATGTGTGCGAACGAGGTGTTATGAAGAAATTTTAAAGTATCTACGGGAAGCAAAAGGCCAACATGTTGATCAACTGCAACATGAAAACACTGAAAATTAATTACTTTCATTTTATTATATATAGATTTTTAAAATTTCCTGAAATATTATTAGTTAACGTTTTATTTAATATTGTAGAATTGATCAATACAATTTATAAAAATAATTTATTGGTATTACTTACATATTTTCAAAAAAATACGTAAAAACCTATTTTTTTGGGTGATTATGGGAGTTTATGGGTGTTTATTGGGTTTTTACCAAAGCACCGGGTTTAAACCCGGTGCTTTGCCCATCTGTAATTTAAATGAATACGTGACAAAAATCTGTGACAATCGTGTGCACTTCATAATATGTACATGACAGTCGGAATTTATATAAGAAACTGAAGTTGTAAAAATAGTTACGATAATTATTTATTTAGCTTTTTAGTGAATACTATAAAAGTAATAAAATTCGTAAATTATATTTAATACTATTTCGCAGCAGACAGATAATAGCTGAAATGAGGATTTATAAGATTTGTGGAGTTTTTTCTTATACATTACATATTATTTAAATTAACGGATTTATTCCAATTTTTCTTTTTAAGAAAAATGTGCTTATGATCTTTATTCGTCTTTAAAAATTTTATTAATTGGTGGTATATATGTATATAATAAAAAAAATGCTGCAAAATGTTTTTAATTCGAAATATCTCTTAAGTACCTTTTATAAATTGACTATTACGATAAAATTTAAGAGAATACTATTAAACACACCATAAAAAAACTACATACTGTAAAAAAGATTTCTAGGTAAAATAAAAACATGATGATAAAATGCACTTTATAACATTAAAAATTAAAACTTGTATTTTTAATTTAACATTTTAGTTCTTTCATCAGTAAAATGTTACCTACACGCACTTTGAATGCTAAAGTAATAGGAGTTGATTATTATCAAGAATGTCTTCACCAATATTTTTCCAAAGACTTGACCAAATCTTTAGGATCTACATTGGGTCCATGTCGTTCAACAGGAACTCCGTCCTTGTCCACAATGAATTTCGTAAAATTCCACTTAATTGAACTGCCCAGGGTACCGCCTTGTTTATGCTATAAATAAATAAATTTAATTACATATGTATTGCTACGATTTTTTTTAATAAGCTCTTGTATAACTAATATTATTATTGGTTATACAAAGCTTACACCTAAAATCAAAGAAAAAATTCTGCCTAATTAATAGAAATTTTTGTATTTAGTTACGAATGTAATATATGTATGTAATGAAATATTTTAAAATTTATTTTTCATCACGTATATAGAATCACTTATGGTTGTAACATTTATATAGTCATAACCTTGATTTGTTTCAAATTTATGGCATTTATGTAAAAAGTTCTTGTAAAAATTTATACAATGTTTTTACTTTTTTCTAAGGATCATCATACAAGTAAACAGTATAGATTGAAGATAGAGAAGTTCTTGTGAATAGTAAATTCGTGGACTAATAAAATTTAGGTTAAATATTTAAGCTTATTAGACAAATAAATTATACAAATATCCTTACTAACATTATAAATATGAAAGTGAATTTGTTTATTACCTTTCGGTGCTTTAATTATAAAACACACATAGTATTTAAACTAGAAAAGAACAGAGGCCCTTTTTACATTTTGATCAATGAATAAACTCTAGTCACGTGCTTAAAGCTGCGGGTACAAACTAGCAAAAATGAATTTTAAACCTTTAAGAATTTCCATAATTGGCTAGCATTGTCCCCATTAACATCGATTTTTTCAAACAAATCGAATTTCACTTTGCGATCAGCAGCGAAACAAACGATGTCTTCGGAGTTTCCTGGTTCTTGACCAGCGAATTGGTTGCAGGGAAATGCCAGGATTCGCAATCCTAGAACATTTTTTTTTATTTTCTCACATAGGTTCCTTAATAAAGAATTAACTATTGTTATTATTAAATTAAAGTACCTCATCATAATTATATCAGCCTTTAATAGTCCACTACTAAACATAGGCCTCCCCTATTGGGGAGTTTCGTCAGTAGTCGCTATGCTTGGCAGGCGGGTTTGTAACGGCAGTTATGCTTTGATTATCTATCATGAAAAATATTACTGTCCATTCCTTAACCACCAATTTTCTAATTATCGACTAAGAAAGAAAGAGATGACCCATACCAAGCCGAGACCACACGACAAAATCAAATACTTACCTATTAATATTATTTTCTACTTGACGATTGAAACTTTATAAAAAAAAATTCAAATATTATCAAAAAGCAAGCTTGAGATGAATTACTATAGCTCATCTACTGTTCAACAGTTACAGTGTTCTTTCATAAATAAACTCATATGTATATGTGTAGCACAGCGATGCTAATTTTGACAATTTTGTTTTTATCCGCGAAATTTTGAAGAAATAATTATATTTTTTCAAAATTTCGTTCTCCTACTATTAAGTAGGAGAAATGTTTGCAAAAAATAAAATGGGGATACTGGGTAAGTTTGATAATATACCAGTGAAGTTAAGCATACAAAGTTCAGTGTTTTTATGTGGTTCGTGTAAATGTTTAAAAATAATGGAAACCGACACATACACACATTGTGATTGAGTAAAAGTGAAGGAAATCGTATCGATTCAGAGAAAATATTTGACACTTGTGTAAAAATTAAAAATTGCGTATTAGAACTCAGGCATAATATGTGTGTAAACATAGAAAAGGAAGATATGAGTTTAATTTTGATTTGATTCGATCGACAGACTAAGAGTGCCTGCTTGTGAGTGACATATAGCTTAGTAATTGTAATTAGAATCTTTTTTTACAATATTATTAAAAAATAAACAACTATTTATAAATAATTAAAAATAAAATTTATATTTTAGGACTAACCTTTAGTTTCTGCATATTGTTCGTATAGTTCATTAAGTTGTTTGTAGTTATTTGCAGTAAGACCACACTGTGAGGCAACATTCACAATAATACAAACGTGACCTTTGTATATATCTAGTTTTACATCAGCACCTTTTATATTTTTGACGGTGAATTCATGAATAGACGTAGCCGACTTAAAATCGGGATTATCCACTGCCATTTTGCTGCAAAAAAGTCTACATAAAAAAATAAAATATGATAACTACAAAAAAAACTATACAATAAATCAGTAAGATACAAATCTACACAATAATCTGGTGCGTGTGTATAAATAAGTTTAGATTTATGAAATTTGTTTTCATCTTAGATTAAGAATAGTTGATAGGTGGAAAACTAGTTTGAATTGAAATATAATTATAATTATTGTTGGATGAATTAATATCACTATTTGGTTGAATAAAAAAGTGTGTGGTCTTTATTATTCTTATAATAAACAAAATACATTCATAAAAAAATATTATAAATTAATCTATCAAAAAAAACCACATTTGCCAGATAGTGTATATCTTATTATATTATTATATATTAGTGTATATCTTCTTACAGACAAATAAAAACGAAATTTGTACGTTACTTACATTGTGCTAAATTGTGACCGTGCTAAGCAAACTACATTACTAATAATAGGTACAATAAGCTTTGATACCGCTTTAGAACCAATTGTCATAGTGGACGGTATGTCTTATTTAAAGGAAAAATGAAAGTAACTATATCACTTATCACCATAAATCTGTATAAAAACAAAAATGTTCTTGTGTATATACAATGTACCAATTACATAATGTACATATCATTATTAAAATATCTCTAAAAAAGTTTAATAAATACCTATTGCGGTGATAAAATAGCAATTGGTTACACTTCGATTACACAACAATACAATACAGATTACTTAGAAAAAAATACTATAATTATGAAAATTGTTACAGTATACTTTACATCAAGTTCTTGGTCTATGTCATAGTCTATGAATATTTTTAATTGTTACTCTGTGGACCGAAACTGAAAGTAATGCCATCCTGGCATTACTTTCAGTTAGAAATTAGTTTATGAATTTATGCACCTATCTATGAACAACATTTTATTAATATAATAAAATTGTGACTAGTCGATGTATATACATTTTTTTATACAACTTAGAATGGCAAACAAGCTGACGGTCCACCTGATGAAAAGTGGTAACCGTCGCCTATAGACATGAGCAGTACCATGGACATAACAGAGTATACTGTTTCGCCTATGATATTCCCCCATGCGTTGCCTTTCATGAGAATTCAGATGTTATTCCTCTGTACCCTGTAAATTCACGCCATATCCCACCCTTCAAACCGGAACACAGCCATACAAACACAACTGCTTCACGGTAAAAACACGAATGGGACAGAGATACTCAAGCAATCGACTTTTGTACAAAGTCTCTGGAAATATATTCCATGATACATGGAATATATTTCCAGAGATATAGTGATTAAATTCGTTAGCAATACGCATGAATCAAACTTATTGCTATTTTTATATTAAAACGATGTTATTGATAATTTTGCAAGAAAAATGTAGAAATATTTTTTTTAAACAATTAAAATTAATAATATATGGTCTGCTAGAGGGGTGCCGATGAGGTGCCTTCATTTTTTTATGTAATAACTACCGGAAGAAAACTCTACTAGTTTCGGCATCAATTCATGATCTTTAATCATGAGTAGCTGTGATGCGAGCGCGAACCTGACTACGCTCCTCTGCCTGCTAATATAATGTGCGCTTATAAAACTTTTAACAATAAAATTTTTTTTTTTTTTTTTTTTTTTTTTTTTTTATATTACTTAATAATGATTAGCTAATAAATCATTATTATCAGTATCAACTGCTTCTGGAGAATAATTTAGGAATTTGTATTATTATAAATTAGATATTTAGCACCGCTGTTTATTGCAGATAAGTGTGTTTAACACTTTAAGTAATTAGAAAGCAATCGTGTTACGTAATATCTTTTTTTACCAAAATATTATAAAATGAACATTTTATATCATACCACAAACTAAATACCTAGTTCTGTTTATATTATAAGACATGATATGGACTGAGAAATTATGCCTTAATATAAAACAATAGAAATTCTGTGGTTTCATAGATTCATATTCCAGTTTTGTTTTATTAATATAAGGATAACGAAGGGCAGTGTCAGCTATGACGTTCTTGAAATTTTACTCTTAGCCCTAGTATAGGTTTGACGATTCATTTCAGTTTTTTTTAATTGATTTGCATGATGTGCTAATAAATCAAATAAGAAAAAACCAGGGCCTAAATGTTCTCAATTATTTTTCGATTTTGTAATTTTAATATAAATTTTCAAATTTACATAATCGATATTTTATAACTTTTCTTAATCTTTTTACAACTATATAATGTTTTTATAATTTTACGAATTTATTGGTTATAAATTTACATGTATTTAGGTACATTCAAGTAACTCAAAATAATTTTATGGCTATTATCAATACAGAAAAATAAATGTATTCACTGGTTAGATTCGAGGCTTTATATCGAAAAATAATCGATATATTTAGTCGAATAAATTGATCTTTTACAATTAATCGTTCTCAGGTTCACATGCCTATTGCATTATTATTTAGATTACGTATTGCGTTATTTTTTTTCCTTCTGTAATTAATAAAATATAAAATGGCATTTTTGGTTCCGAAGTTGCGCAGATGTGTGAGTTTGAAAAATTTAAACAGCAATGTAGTTCCAAAAGCATCGTATCATGCAAATGTAAGTTGTATTTCCTGTCTTATTTTGAATTCTGAAATTTATTGATTTTTATACCAACCAAAAAGTATTGACTAGTAAGGCCACGCGTGATTGCATATGATAATAATTTTATCACAGTTATTATTTGTAGGAATTTTTTTATGGCCTAATAAACAATACTTAGTATTATAAATAATACTTATGTACAAGTATTTCACAAGTACTTGATTAAGTATAATTTAATGCTATTTTTAATTCATTAAACAAAATCTAGTTTTAATTTTCAATCGCAAATCAATTAAAAATGGTTTAAGAATTAAATTGTGTTCCATAAAAAAAAAAAAAAACTTCAATTGTGGTAAAACCAATTATTTTTGATAAAATTTCTATAGGACAAATCTGTGTATAGCATATCTTTAAAAAAAAAAGAATTTTCCAAATCCGTTTACAACTGTTGGAATTATGAGGTCAAATTGAAAACTTCCTTATTCTTGAAGTCGGTTGAAATAATAACAGGAGACTGCCTCATATACTGAAAATATGTAGGCACAGAAATAAAATCCCCATATCGCCATAGTCGTAGAATATTGACGGATCTATATATGTAATATTCGGCAGATCCGTCAGTATTCTACGACTATGACAATATCATGATTATTATTCATATCAATCTTTGAAGCTGCTTAACAGATTTTAATAAAAAATTTAAATGTGTACTATTGTTTGCATCATCTTGAGAGATAAAATAGTTTTTATTTCAATAAAAAAATGGACCAAGTGGATAGCAGTAGGGAGGCAAAATAACATTTGCGGTGTCACCTAATTAATACATAAATATAATTCAGGTAATCGACCATTATGAAAATCCTCGCAATGTTGGATCATTAGACAAGGAGGACAAGAATGTTGGCACTGGTTTAGTGGGTGCTCCAGCTTGTGGAGATGTCATGAAGCTTCAAATTAAGGTTGATGAAAATGGAAAGATTATTGATGCAAAATTCAAGACATTTGGATGTGGCTCAGCCATTGCATCCAGTTCTCTCGCCACTGAATGGGTGAAAGGCAAGACAGTCGATGAAGCTTTGAAGTTGAAGAACACAGATATAGCAAAGGAATTGTCTTTGCCACCTGTTAAACTGCATTGTTCTAGTAAGTATTATTTATATAATATTTAATATATCTTTAAAAAGAATACCTTATACATATTTAAAAAGAAATAGTGAAAAAGTTATACTGTCAACATAGTGAAATATAGTATTACTACTTATATAGTATAATACAGTATGTAGAAAGAAGTAGTACTTTTAATGTTATGTATAGACTATTACTCTAATATTGTTTTTGTTACAGTGCTTGCTGAAGATGCTATCAAAGCTGCACTTTCGGACTATAGGATCAAGAATCAGAATGCAGAGAAAAAAGAATAAATAAGATAATGAGATTGAATAATGGAACAGATCTGTGATTGTTAGCTTCATGAGAAGGATAAAACTATAGGTTTAGCTTAGTAGGAGGCATTAAAATATCCTCGCATTAATTTTTAAAGCATAGAAGCATAAATTTAACGTTTCTATATATTATTATACTTATTAGGCGGTTTGAAACAAATTTCGTTGTAGTATATGCACATAAATATATGTATAGGTTATGTTATTTGATTAAATAAATTATAATTGACCTTGTCTTTTTTTTGCTATATTAGTAAGTCTTTTTAAAATAAAGAGAATGTATCTGTTAGAGAATTCAATATCCTCTAATCTACACTAATAATAGGCTTTCTTAACCGATTTCAAAAAGGTGGTTAATATTTTTTTATATCATTGTCAATTCTGAAGAATTTAAAAAAATCTATAAAATTAGTACAATAACAATAGTTGTGTTATCAGACACTATCAGTGTAATGAAATGCAAGTTAGTTGTTATTTTGACAGATAAAAAGTATGTAGTAAAAATTGTTTTTGCAGGCCCTAAAGCAGGGGAAGGGGAATAATAAAAATACACAGATTATAATTTATATAATAATGTTATAAATAATATTAGGTACATTTATTGATATTATTTTACAATACAAAGGTACAAACAATAGCCAATATAATTATTTTTGTATTGTTTATGTTAATTATTGTGTCACAATGCCAAGCTTTTGTAATGCGAGCTGAGCAGCATCGGCTTTAGCTTGCTTCTTGTTGGCGCTCGCCACTGCCGGTTGATATTCAGTGCCAGCTACTTTTACCTGTGACAAACAACATAACAATCTGTACAAGATTTATTAATGACAATTTATTGAAATGAAGAATAACCTTGATAATGTTTTTCCTGCACAAGTAGGTATAGATATATTATCTATCGTATTGATTTACCAATTTGTGAAGCTATTGATGCACTTAAAAATTATGTACAAAATATCATTGCAGAATAGATTGCTTAGAACATGACTAAAGAATGTTGTTGTGTCTTTTGAGTAGGTATATCCTATTTTTTTATGAAACTGAATGGCAAACAAGCTGACGGTCTACCTAATGAAAAGTGGTAACCGTCGCCTATATACTTGAACAATACCATGGGCATAATGGAGTATACTGTGTCGCCTATAGTGTGTTGCCATTTCTGAGGACTAAGGTGTATCTGTACCCTGTAATATATGTCATATTAATATAATATGTCATATCCCATCTTTCAAACCGGAACAACCATGTAAATGTCTGCTTAATGGCAGAAACATGAATGGGACAGAGGTACCCAAGCCAATGACTTTTGTACAGTCTCCTTCTACTATAAGCTAATAATTAATATATAACTAAATTTATAACACAGTAATTTATAGTTTATTTTTCTTATCGCGACCCTAGCAGCATTATTGGCCTTGTTTTCTACTTATATCCATCGCTAGTCATTAGCACTTTTTATCGAGAGACGTCACCAAAACAAATGGACGTAGCGGACTCACCACAAATGAATTGTTAAATTTGTATTATATTTGTAAACTAAAGATAATGTAGTATAATAATTGAATGACTGAAAAAATATTACCATGTCTCATCGGGTTTTGACTATTATATTTTAATATAGGTATTAATTATATATCTATTAATTATTTTCTTTTGTGATATCTATTTATCACGAAGTGTGATTTTTTACCTAACTTATTATTTAAAGCCTTAATTATAGAGCCAAGTTCGGTTTACGATTATATAGAGTGGAATTAAAATCATAAATATACTTTGAAGGGAGTGTTATACCAGCGATTACAACATTATCACCAAAGAAATATGGATCGAAAAATGACAAAAAATTTTGACTCTCGCATAAGAAGACAACGAGTTCAGCTGTTGAGTTGAGAGTATAGTACGCTCAAAATTTATTGTCGTTTTGGGCGACCCGGATAAAATTTTCGTCCTAGTATTTTCTATAGGATGGGTAAATTAGTTTTAAGTATCATTAAGTATGTAAAACACTTTTTAAGATTAGGGTATGATGAGGTTGACATATCCTTATATAAATAAATAATAAATAAATATAATAAAAGATATAAAAGAATAAAAGATATAAGATAAGAGGATAAAAGCCTCTAAATAATAAAGATTAAAAAAAAAATGATAACACACACACAGTTTTACGTATCGCTAATTATTTCGGGTTAACCCTGTCCAATAGTGCAAAGATTTCAAGAAAACTACACATATACGAGGTCTGTCCGGAAAGTTCGTATAAAAGTGTTCTGGAATGCGAGAAAGAGGAGTGGGGAGGCCAGGTAAGCGCAGGACCCCTTCCTTATGTCCCTAACAATGCTTCAGTTCTGGTCTGACCGCCGTGCGGTGCGAACTGGCTTGTCACGCCATCTGTGAAGTTACCTCTTAACGAAACCCCGTCGGCATGGAGCCCGCTTCCGTTGAAGAGCAGCGCGTCGTAATCAAGTTTCTCTCGAAACTCGGCAAGAATGGCCGTGAAATTTTTGCCGATCTCAGAACAGTTTATGGGGATGATGCTGTGAAGGAACCAACCGTCCACAAGTGGCTAAAAAGATTCAGAGAGGGCCGAGAAAGCATCAAGAATTCGTCCCTCCAGGCCAGACAGTTGATGGAAAATTCTACGTCGATGTGCTCAGACGCCTCAAAGCTCGTGTGGCACGAGTTCGTCCAGAATTGGCGCGAGAGGGGCGTTGGATTCTTCACCACGACAATGCCCCTGCCCACACCTCTCTTGTTGTCCGTGAGTTTTTGAGTAAAAATTCCATTACGGTGACCGAACACCCCCCTATTCGCCGGATTTGGCCCCGTGTGACTTCTTCTTGTTCCCAAAAACCAAATTGGTACTTCGGGGGCGGCATTTGGGGGACATAAATGAGATAAAAAAAGCTACGACGGGGCAGCTGAGAAACCTACAACCAGAGGACTTTCAAGGAGCCTTCTCACAGTGGAAACGGCGTTGGCACAAGTGCATTATGTCACAGGGGGAGTACTTTGAAGGGGATAAAATTGATTTACCTGAATAATTGTAAAATAAAATTTTTAAAAAACTTTTATACGTACTTTCCGGACAAACCTCGTATATTGTTAATAATTTTTTCAGTTTATATTTTTAGGGCTTTATTTAGCTATATCAGCTGTAACTTTAACTAAATGTATGAGATGAACTGTACTATTTAGCTGTATTGCAAATATCACTGATGTACTGACATTTTTTTTTAATTGGTGATAATGGTATAGTAACCCCGCCTGCGCTAACGAGATACGCTAGTGGAGCACCAGTGAAGGGTGATAGATGAGAATGAAAACAGGTCAGTTAGCCCATCATGATAAATTCATCAGGAATTAACCATGATAGTTTCCAGGGGGAACCGCAAGGTCGACCTGGTTGGGTATATTGCTAGCAATGGGATTCTCAGTCTCCATCACTAACAATCCCTTTCCCTCCTATGTACTGACATTAGTATTAAGATAATAATATACTGCTGTTTGTCGTTTCAATAAATAAATTGCCTACCTATGGAAAGAGAAGAATAAATGGGCTTAAATAATTAATTTTAAAAAACTACATTACTAACTTTGAATAAAAAATTCTTCTTGTGATCAGGGCCGCATTCAAAGCAAAGGTTATACTCAGGTGGACCAAGTTTCTGTTTAGAACAGTATTCGCCTAGTAACGACACCGGGTGCTTGCCGCCTGCTATCAGTGGAGCTGGGCCCCCTCTACTACGACCCTGGCGGTGGGGTTTCATCTGAAAAAAAACAATAAGAACAATAACTCATGCTAACATAAGTAATTATAAAAAAAAATATTAATAAGTAAATTTTGATATAGTTTAAATTTACCTGAATCTGAATATAATTTTAAATTTACAATATCATTAAAATAACTACGGTTAAGTAATTTAAATTATAATAAATTAAATAAATAATAAAACTATACAAACATATAAAACTATAATATTACTATAAATATTCGCTTTAATAACCTGGTTATATGTAAAATAGCTATTAGTAAATATAATTATTGATCAGCGTGTAAATATTGTGATGAAACTAATTATTTACATATTACAAACTACAAGCGTAAATTTAATCCATCATACCATACCCATATTCAAATTCTACTTACAGCTTTGTTTGGTCTGCTACTGACCTCTTCTTTCGACTGCAGCCCTCTTGTATCGAGTTTGACCTCTAATAACAATGGTTGGAGAGTCCCTGTGCCTTCTTTGCCCAAACCCTGGCCTGGAGTCCAACCCATCTTCTGGAGTAGGTGCATACCCATTCCACCTTCGACTGGGGCTGCGCGGACTAGTTGATCCTACATATATAATAATCTAGTTTATATTGTGATAATTATATTATTCGTAAGTATAAAATTGAATATAATTATTGGCATATTAATAGAACAAACAAAAAGGTGAATTGATCAACGCACAGTCAAAAGTGCTGAGCCTAGAAACATGAAGTTTTACACTACAGCTACATGTCGCAAGTGGGTGCTACTATAAACGATAATATCTTTATTCTGAGTAATAGGTATTAAATACATGGCCTAATATTATATATATAGTATATCTTATAAATATTTAAAGTTATTAAAAACTAAGTAAATGATTTATCAAAATTTTCAACGCTAGAGGAACAGTTCCCAGAACGTTTTCAGAGATCACAATAAGTTTAATAGTATATGTAAATATATATATCTTCTATTAAATTTCTTATTGGCCGAATGGATAAAGAATTAAAAAATAGTTTTAATATTTGCATAAAAAAATAACTTTGCGTATTATATATATATAATATCATAATTATACACAATAAATAGGTCAAACACATTTCTCTATATATATATAGATAATTAGTGTTTATTTATGTTGGATCGTTGGTATATAAATGTACCTATATCCCCGTCGATGGATACTTACCTCACGTTCATGGGAACATTGCTCTTATCACCTGTAGACCATGCGGTAACGAGGTGCGAGCATCTCCTTATCACTTAAAAGCTGCAACAAATATTCACGAATTCCCCATAGTAGCCATGCTTTCCTTTGAGGCCGGCCTCTTTTTACTTCGAATTAGAAACTAAAGGTGCGTATAAACTGCGAGCATGTTTATGTAATATAAATAGTTACATTACACGAGTATGGTAAAAATTTTTACTAAATATCTTAGAGTTTTTTTGTGGACATGCTAGAACCGCCTCTGCATCTGTACGCGCATTTTAAGCTAAGCGTATGTCGAAACAAAGATGAAATGTAGAACACCACAAGTACAGTAGAGTTTGCTAGATGACTCTGAAATAGGTCACCAACAGCTACTTTGATGAAGAACATATAAATAAGATTAATAAATGTGGGAGAAGTAAAAGAGATCTGTTTGAATTGGTGCATTGATTCTTAAGTTTTTGCCTGCCTCAATGGGAGAAAGGCGTGATTTTGTACGTATATATTATGACTGTTCACAGTTAACCGATTGTAGAAGAAAAATAATTAAGGGTCAAAATAAAAATAAATTTAATGATTGACACCTTAAATTCTGAGATTCTGATTCACCTTTCAAATTGCATTGCATACGTTTAGCTTTAATTTTTTTGTTTTCACAAAGGCGCAGCGTATACACTTAGGTAATAAATTGTACAATCCATATAGCGCTGAGCCTTTCATTCGCGATAACAGTCGACAGACGTGTACAAATGCGGATACGGGAAATCGACATAGGATATCCATTGATGTCATATGCTTGTTTCTTAGATGTTACATTACACGCGAATGTTTTAGACGATATAATAGTAAATTGACAAGCCCAAAGAATTGCAAGGCTATCTATTAAATAATACGTAATATTTGAGACTGACTTGTGCAATATTTTATATATGTGAAAACGTAGATATAATGTTTAAATATAAATTATGTAAGTATTTAGATATAATAAAGATATAAAAGGTAATAAATCTGGAAGTTGTAAATTAATGTATTATGATAAAATATACGTGACTTGATATAATAATATCGATAAAATATTTTTAAATTTACATAGATAGTGTGGGCTTTGATATAGTCAGTCAACGTAAGGGGAAAACTGAATATTTGTTAGCAAAATTTGTTTGGTAATGATAATTGGCATGCCATACGGAATGGCACGAGGATTATCATTACAGTTGATGCTAAAACATTTGATGGTGTAACGAGCGAACTTCACAAGTTCTCTCTTTACACGAACCAACAGAATACGAACTTAGAAGTGATGATGACAACAACAATCAAGGAACGATTATGTTTTATAGAATACACTACAATGTATTAAGGGGATCCCTTCACTTTCACACACATATCGGTTTTTGACGATTCGTTATTAATAGTTTCGTTAAAAGACGAATATAACGAAAATTCGATATGTAGATAAAAAGTCGTAAATATTCGAAGTGTGTGTACGATCGTAAGACAAGAAGCATTATAAAAATAAAAACGATTCATATTCATACATTCGTAATTATTAACGAATTATTTCCCTGTTTGTTGTGTGAACGAAGCCTTAAGATGTTTCTTTGTATATAAGATTTTATAAATAGGATTTTTTGTGACATATTTATTTTGAAAAAAAAAAAACAATTGCGCATAAAAGCATGTAAGTGTAGCTGTAATAAATATGACTTAGTGGATATAATTTATATTTAGAAAATATATTTTGTGTCCACTACAATATTTGTATACAACAAACAATTGTTTATGAATAAATTGAGTCAAAGAGATTAAAAAAATCATATAGAATAGCACCGTTATATAAATTTAAATTTTCTGGCAGAATAGTAAAATAACTTTAAATCAACTAGATTTATTTCTTAGAAAATACGTCAATTTACTAAGCATGATATTTGTAAAATATATTGAAATAAACTATAAAACATGTGAATATATAATTTTAGTTTATTTTACGTAACTTTTTTGTATGGATTATAAAACATTCAGGCGGAAGTCTGTACTGATGCGTTAAGGAGAATTTTCTTTATCAGGTTTATGTTCTTATCAAATCCTTGACAATAGGTATAAATATTATCGCAACTTTCAATAATACTTGTAAATACATCAAATGTTAGGAAAAATATGCTTGTCATGTTTAGAATTGGATAATCTATGATATCGTTTTAGATAAATAAGTATATAATTTATTTTCAAATTCATGATATATCCTAGCACATATCTATATAGGTTACTATGTAAAGTACAGTCAATGTATGTGATATTGGTCATAGATCATTTTCGAGGTATGAATAATTTGTAAAACTAATAAGTTTCTAAATTTTGACCAGTGTTTATTGTTGTTGAAATCATCACACTACAATCACAATGAAAGAGGTCAGAAAGCATAATACTTGAGTATTATAAGTTTTGACCGATAGGCCGCAAACTGGATCATCAGTGTACGCATATCCCGACCGATGGCACTTTGAGCTGAAAGAAAATTCATTTGGACAGACTTAAAGTATCAAACAAAACTTAGGACTTAGTTCTGCTATATGTATTTGTACTAAATAAAAATGGCGGATCTTATTGGCGGTAAAACGGATTATTTGTATGGATGTAAAGCGACATGCTGTCAAAAAAGTAGGCTTGGATATGGAGGGATTTTAGTACAAGATAAGATAGCATTACACCAGTCATGTTTTGTTTGAAACTTTAAAACTAATATCTGATTCTTTTGATTTTGTTTTAAACGTTGTTTGTTCTTTAATTATCACATTAATCTATGTGTATAACAGCTACAATATAATAAGTTTAAATCCAGTAATTGTATCTGTAAAATTGAACGACTTACCCTTAGGAGGATAAAACAAAATATGGACCTATTCTTGAACTATTCTATATTTTGATGTATGTCTCCCTTGGGAAAAATATTCAATTTTACGAATGAATAAATAATGGAATTTCAATTCGTATTCATTACAAGTTATATATACACGAGTCGAAAAAAGAAATGTGATAAATAAAGAACAAATTTTGGAACATTTTGAATGGAACTGTAACTTCGAATTGCTAGAAAAATATTTACTATTCTGATTTTTAAATAGTATATATGCAAATCAGTGTATACCTTCTTAGCCCAGGCTTGGACTCCACTAGCTAATTCCCTGGGTGTAAGGATTTGCGCTCCTGTTGATCCTGTGAACTGACCCAGGGTAGAATCCTTCGATGACCAGCCAAACTGTTGGTGTAAGAAAATTATCCATAAATATAATTAATTAGGCAATCCTTATTTTATGTCGTAAATGTAACGAACAATCATACGGCTTGTCTCAATAGTTACTGTGACTCATAGATGTTTGAACTTTTTGAAAAGTCAAGTATGCACTGACAACATAATCTTGGTAGGTACCTACTCTTTGAAGAACTACATGCTTTTGTTACTATTTACTCTTGAGATCGAATCAATCGATCAGCTTCTTGCTTAATATTAGAAACAGGTGTGACTCTGCCCCTATCAAGGCAAATTATATAAAACTAATACTATAGTGTATTTATGATAAAAAAGTAATATAAACTTACTCCGCAAGTATTAGATAGTTCATTTTCCTCTTGTTCTTTGCGTATCATTGCTATTTTTTGGGAGACGATCGACGCTACATCCTAAAAGAAAAAATATACTCTAAGTATTTTCAAATTAAATTTCTACTTTTGTTATGCATTCTCCTATTTGGTTATACAGAAATACAATTCATAAATTTTGTATTAATTGAATATTATCTACTTTAATATATAAGTATTTCAATTTTTAATGTATTGTTTCAGTTCTCCTAAAATATAATTCAGAAAAACAAATAGAATGTAATTTAAAGATATTACATATTTTTTTTGCATATGTAATAATAGCAAATATATATATATATATATATATATACATATATATATATATATATTTGGATACAAACCTACTAGCGATGCGCGATTTTACTAATCCGACTGAGCAAATCATTCGGATTATTCGAATGATTTTCAAATTATTTTAATTATTTCTAATTATATTCATCCGACTACTAATTTTATTCGTAATTGCAAAAATTTCGGATTCCTTATTCTTAGAGTAGTAGTACGAGTTGGTACGAACATAGTGGGGTCAATCCGATCATTAAAATATTTTTTTTTAATAATGGACAACAGTATTGTCGATTTAAATTTTGTAAAAAGTACCAAATTGCGATAGTTATAATAAAGGAAATAGTATTATTTATTATAAAGGACTGTAGGTGATAACTGTTATTATGTATAGTAGAAACTTAGTAGAAATGAACACCAGCTTATACCAATAGCGCATGTGGGTTTTTTAATGGGTGATAATGGAATGGTAAACCTGCCTGCACTATCGGTATACGGGCCACCAGTGAGGGATGGATGGATAGGTGACGATGAAAGCAGGTCAGTTGGCCCATCGTGACGAATTCCACTAGAATTAACCACGATGGTTTCCAAGGGGAACCGCGTGGAAGTCGACCTGATAGGATATATTGCTGGCAATGAGTCAGCTAGACTCCATTACTAACAATCCCTTGCCCCCCGCGCATGTGGGGTTACTACATACTCGCCCATTTAAAAAAAAATACAAGATATAGTTTAAAGGATTCACACAGCACAGTCAAGAGTTAGTGAATTTTTCTTCACTAACTCTTGACTGTGCTTAATTGGAAATTTTATGCAGATAAAGAAACTCGGCGCCCGCTTGCTGTGCGACCAGTAGTTCCAGAGATATTAGCAGTTGAATGGAAAAGGATGCTTTTGCATTCAAAGTTCGATATCTCGGAGACAAATGGTCGTAATTGAGCCATCCAAAGCGATTTTTGAAGCTGAATAAACACGCTAAGAGACCTATACAATGGAGTAGCTCGAAAAAATTTTTCCATGCCCATAGAGTGAAAAACAAAACCGAGAAAATTTAGAAAAAATTTATTTTCAGCTTTGTTTAAGAATTGCATGGAAACCGGAGCTCAAAAAATTTTTTTACCAAAAAATCTGAAAACTAGAGTTTTCAAGCTTCAAAACCCTTTTTTTAAATTTCCTGTACGATTATTTTTCACTGAAATACAGCCTGTTGAAAATCACCCAAAAATTTCAAAAATTTTTATGTTCCCTTAATTTTTGCGAGGAGTGTATTTATAAACAAACATTCCTAATTATTGTGCCCATTATAGCTATATATTATTGATAGGTATCAATAGAAATGTTAAAAATTTAATGTGAATTAGTTACAACATTAAAAGACCTGCATAAAAGTAGGCCTTTTCCTGTCATCTAATGTTTTATTATTGCGGGAGAAAGATAACACGATGTTAGGAGTATGTTCGAGGAGTACCACATTTAAGTGTGCACACAGGAACACATGCAAAGAATGTACAAATACAAAAGAGAGCCTATGACAAAGGCATTATGGCAAGTAGATGGAACACCGTGGGGTTTTTGCCGTAGGAGTCCGACAGTGCCCACTGAACTCCCGAGGTGAGATATGGCCTCAATAAGGATCTAGCATGTTCCAATTTGGACAAAAAAGTATGTTAAAGATTATCTCTCATCCAACAGGCTCCAATGTCTTTAACAAAAATTAATACAATAATACATTGTAATAAATAATTATAATTCTAGTTACAGTCATTTAGTTTGTAGGTATTATCAAATTCTCCATGGTTACAATATCACCCATAAAAGTCACAAATGGCATCAATTTCTGTACCAAATGCATAAAGTTAACTTAAATTTAAGAATATTTTATTTCGTTGAAAACTTCTTCACCAGTACTTCTCCAAAGACTTAACCAAGTCTTTAGGGTCTACGTTGGGCCCGTGGCGTTCGACGGGGATTCCATTCTTGTCAATGATGAATTTCGTGAAATTCCACTTGATGAAGTTGCCTAAAGTGCCGCCTTGTTTATGCTGTAAAATATATCATATAAACAATTTTAAATATATTTGATAAAAAGAATTTACATTGGCCCTTAAGTTTTATCTTATCATAATAGTCATCTGTAGATAAAAATATAAATTACAGATAGCCCAACTAAAATTATATGGTCCATGTCCATGGCCACAATTACAATGTAGCATGCCATTCAAAACAGTCATGTCATGATATAGGTACGTAGCATAATAGCTATCAGCAATCATTGTTGTGTTTGTGTGAATATGCCAGATGCATGGATATAAAGGAGGTATTGATTTTATTGAAACATTACGTTACAGGTGTTAATAATTATTTATTAGAACAAGTCAAGGCTGAATAAATCAATACATCATGCTAGGTATGTGATTATACACTACACGATAAGTAGCTCATTAGAATGATATCATTTATTTATCATATATAAATTGGTTAGTATTAATACTATGAAAATGCCAAAATAACTATCATAAATATTTGTTTCTTCGGCCCCATCAACAGATAATGTATAATTATATTTTTGGAAATACCTACTTAACATCAATTCATAGCAAAGAGTACTGTTTCATAAATATATCTACACAATAGATACATATATCTAAAAGACACTTATATAAATATTTTGTATTTTCTTTTCATGTAACTCATTTTAGGTGGTCATGCTCTTGAGGACTTTTAAAAACAAAAAAGTAGTACCTTTAAAAATTTCCACAGCGGATTTGTGCCGTCACCATTGACATCAATTTTTTCAAACAAATCAAATTTCACTTTGCGCTCTGAAGCAAAACATACGATTTCTTCAGAGTTTCCTGGTTCTTGTCCAGCAAACTGATTGCAAGGGAATGCCAAAATACGCAAACCTACAAGTTATAATTTTGATTAGTTATTAATAATACCTGACTGTTATAAAAATATATACCTAACTTTAAATGTAACAATAATGATTTGCAGAAACTATAATCTTTTTGATAATTGTTTAATATTTTTAATAACCCGCGGCCTTGCTCGCATGAGAAAGTGGGGGGGGGGGGGGGGGGATGCGGACTGCTAGTCTTATTGTTAGCAATATGCCCTGTCAAGTAAAACCGCCACGTGTTCTCCCTGGAAACCATCGTGCTGAATGATCATCGTGACCTGCCTTTGCATTCTCATCCATCATCCTTCACTGGTGTACCACCAGTGCATACCATAAGCGCAGTTGCAGTTATCCATTATCTATACTTAATAAATCTGTAGAGAGGTCAGTTCTGTACATGAAATATATTTCCAAAATAACTATCAGGGGGTGATTAGTGATCGATACTGATGCCAAAAATGCAATCAGTAAAATTTTTGTCTGTCTGTCTGTATATTCGTTATAGAAACAAAAAATACTCGACGGATTTTAACGAAACTTGGTACAATTATTTTTCATATTCCTGAGCAGGTTATAGTATACTTTTCATCACGCTACGATCAATAGGAGCAGAGCAGTGAAGGAAAATGTGTCTGTTACATCAATACCACTGAACCGTGAGGAAGAACATAGGCTACTTATTTTACGAAAAACAACGGAAACGCGGACGAAGTCGCGGGCAACAGCTAGTCATCCATAAAACTAATCACTTAACTCGAAAAATCTATAAAATCATTAAACATAATGTACACACATATATGCACCTACACACACATTATATATAATAATTAGTAGATATTTTGCTGTTTCCCAGAAGTCCCTACATTTTTTTTAAATCACTTATAATAATTATAAAAATATGATTTCCATATCTCAACAATATTTCTATAGAAAAATTATTTAAATACAAATAAAGAAAATTTTCGCCTTATTGTTATACAAATACAAGTGACAAACATATTTTTATGTTGAAGCAGGTGACTATAAAATGTGATAATAGCATTCTATGTCATATTATTAGGCAACATAATGGTTGAATAGATACCAGGTTTATTTGTCGCAACTGTAAGCGAGTATTATCTGTACAGACTAGTCTATTCAGAAACCATCATAGTATAGCCACTATATTGATATAGCTACGAAAATCTAAAATTAGCAAATGTATAAATGACAAATACATAAGTAATAAAAAAAAATGCAGACGAATTAATAAACTGCTACTTCCTGAAGTTGCTTAATAATGGATTGTAATTGTTATTCAATGTCATTAATTGCTTAATAATATTGATATGCATGTAAGTTTAGAATATATACAATTGAATAGTATTGTACATAATGTTGTAATTTACATTACTGAATTAGACAAAATAGATATTATGAAAGGTCATTGCATATTGACTTTATTTTAAATAGAGTGATAGTTTTTATTCCTGTTTAATGTGTGTAAATAAGACACAACTAATAATAATAAACTAATTTTATGTTCCAGATATTTTTAAGCTATAAAAACTATTCCTTTAGTATCAAAATTTGGAAATTAAAGAAATGCAGTTATGGAATATACATTAGATATAATTCTATTAAGAATAGATAAATTTAATGAGAATATTATTTCTTGCTGTCTGATCCTGGCATAGAATAGCACACCCCTTCCTTTCCCATGGGTGTTGTAAGAGACAATTAAGGGAATTAAACGGTTGAAGGACTGGCAGCAGCATCCCCCATAAAACATCAGCAAAGTATAACTTTGGTTGTAAACCAGTCTGCCAAGCATAGCAACTATTGATAAAATTAACTTCTAAGTTTCTTGATTAATATTTTAGTTTAATGCCCATCATAGACATCTTTAAGGAGAGGCTGGTGAACTATACTCACCCTATAGTTGTCTGGTGGCCATCAATAAGCCTAGCATACAATAATCTTAATGCAACAATGTTAGTGATCTTTTTAATGTAAACTAAAATTATACAAAGGAAAGATTTGATTGTTTGTTTACAATGGATAAACTTAAAAACTATGCAACCAATTTTGAAAGATCTTTTACCTACAGAAAGCTACATTATCACTGGGTCAACAGGGTGTATATATTTTCGAAAATACTATCTACCCATGCAAAACTGAGCCGGATTGCCAAGCGGAGCAAGTCGGAGAGAGGATTCATGTGTATTTAAAAAAAGTATAATTTATTATGAATCTTTGGTAGATAGTTAACAGAAGTTGGTATAAATGTACTTAAATCATTCTGTATATAAAATTGTGAATACATTTGTTATAGGGGACTAAATATGAAGCTTAGTCATAATTTACTTTTTTATTATTATTTATTTGATAAATGATTCACTAAGTATGATAATCAGTAAAGATTTCTTTGATTTTATTGAACCACCTTTGAACCAAATCATGTATATATTCATAACTATAATTAGTAATGGGGAAAAAAAATACTAACTCATATAGGAGTAGAATAACAAGGATTTTTTGTATATTAATTTTTTTGCTGCATCATCCTAAAGATTATTATAAGAATTATAGGAACACTAGCTGTATCCCATAGCTTCTCCCATAATTATATCATGATGTTGTATGGCCTATAAACTTTTTCAAGAATGAGTAAACAATTGCTAAAATTTTTTTAACTCCAAAATTGATAGTTTCATACAATTTAGCTTGTTTTAACAAATTACTGCTTTATTATAAGTATAGATGCATTATCTTCATTTCCAGGCAAGCTCATTTAATGATTAATTTTAATAAACAAGAGGTCATAAATAACCTAGAGATTATTTATTACTCATATTAATATTTATTATTAGCAATTTTCTACCTATATAAAATTTGAAGTGAAAATTGTACATTAGTCTTTCTTCTGAATGTTAACTACAATAATAAATATACATGAATGATAATATAATAAAATAATAATATTGTTTGTATTCACCTTTGCTCTCTGCATATTGCTCATACAGTTCATTAAGCTGTTTATAGTTGTTTGCAGTGAGGCCACACTGTGAAGCAACATTCACAATAATACAAATGTGACCTTTGTACACATCCAGCTTAACATCTTCACCTTTAATGTTTTTGACAGTGAATTCATGAATAGATGTAGCAGACTTATAATCTGGGTTATTGGCTTCTGCCATTTTTCTGGAAACAATTTGTAAACTGTATTAAAGATATAATAATAATGTAAAATTAAAAAACTGATTAAAGGTTTTTAAATCGTCTATAATTTAAATTAGAAACCTTTGAAAATTTTAAATAAGAATACATAAATGTATATAACTTCTTAACCATGAGGATGGCAGAATCACCAACTTTAACTAATGTAATTGTTATGAAATTAATATTTATTTATTTAACACACTAATTGAGCCAACATTACAGGATTTGTTAAAGAATTAGTATGTTACACAGTGTTGTTCATGTATTAAATGGAAAATATCAAATAATAAACTTGTTCATATTTTAATACACTATCGGGACTTATCGCGATGAAAAATTTTTCGCAGGAAAATAGTACCTACATATCTGTTTCTTTATTGCCGACTTTACGTACGTACTATTTATCTGCGAAAAAATTTTCATTGTATTAAGTCCCGATAATGTATTTGTAATATACGTAAACAACGCGAAAGTTTAAAATTACCCAATAACACTTGTTGAAATTACATATCACATGGAAATTAACTAAGTAATAATTATTGTTATTCCACATTTATAACACTTTTATATTTATAAATTTCAAAGGATGAATGACCTAAATATTAAATTATTATTACTACTATAATATTACCTACCTCTACTACTGTTTATTAACGGCAAAACAATGATAATAAAACACGATAAAGTGTAGAAACGAGCAAAATGAAATGACAATTGAAAATCTAAAATCAAAACAAAACAAACCAAAGAGTACAGAAATGCCAAAGATAAAGCGAAGGATTCTATTTTTAATCTATGACTGACATTGACAAAACACAGAGTAACTTTACTGTAATCATAGGCAGAAAATAGTGTAGCATGTATATTTATAAAATATTGCTCAACAAAAGAGTATGCAATTTAAAGGAACAATCCTAACATTCTTACGTATTGATAAATATTTAAATTAGAGATGGGCAATCCACCTGGGTGGGTTTAAAGTCTGGTGGGTAAAAACCGGGTGTTTTGGGTTTATTGGGTTTAAACCCCATAAACACCCAAATTTTTGGGTGTTTATGATTTTGTACTTCATCATCGTCATCTCAGCCGCAAGACGTCCACTATACTGGACATAGACAATATTATTATGCAGCCTACAGAATAAAAAACTTTTAATTTGATTTTGAGTTTATTAAGAAAGAGATGAAAGTAAAATGTAAAACTACAGTCAATCACTGTCAGATTCAGAGTTATTACAAGCGATGAATTGTATAGGTTCGATAGGCTCTATTTCGTCTAAACTGTTATGTTCATTTACTTGCTCAATGAAAGCTTCTAAGGTATTTTCTTCATTAAACTGAATGTCCTCGCATTCAGCTTTATGTTTAAGATTCCAGTTATAACAAATGAATGAAATTTTTTCAGTTCTTTCAGTTGTAAGTCGATTTCTTTTGTTATTATGTATGTAGCCTTGGATACTAAAGGAACGCTCAGTGGCTGCCGAAGTACAGGGAGCTGATAGAATACGAATCGCTACTTTGCTTAACTCAGTGGAACCACAAATACCTTTCCACCATATTAGGGGCTCAATGCTATCTAATGAGCTCCATACAAATCCTCTGGCCCAAAAGTTTTCTTTAGCTTTATAACACGCCAAATCTGCCATTACATTTGACAAACTTAAGTGTTGGCTTAAATTGTAGATAAACTCCATACCCTTAAGTTCTTCCTCTTGAGTAAGTTCGACTCCTAGAGTCCTGGGGTCTAGAATATATGCTGCAAAATGTATTGGCCTCATTGCCATATTGCATCTTGAAGATACTGATGTTAGAATCTGCTGTTTGCTTTCTTCGCTCAATGTCGAAATCTCATTTAATGCAAAACGTATCTTAGCTTGTACATCTCTAAATGTAATGTATGTCTAAACGATTCTGGTCGCTCTCTAAGTAAAATATGCTTTCAGTGACTGGTTCCAAAATACTTATACATTCCCCTGTCTTCGTCCAGAAATCATCAATTAGAATTAAATCTTTAATATCTCTTGAAATTACCACATCTTCTCTAACTGTTAATATTTGCAAAGCTATCTTATTTGCTTTCAAACTTTTTAACGAAGTAACATGACTTCCCCATCTTGTAGCACAAGGCAATTTTAGTGTTTGTGTAGAATCTTCACCCTGCCTTGATTTTATCAACAAGGAACTTAATCGTTGACTCCTTTTAACAGTTTTTATTATATTTATGGCTTGCATAATAAACACAGTTACTTCTTGTATCTTTACAATATCTTGGCACAACAAGTTAAGGATATGTGCACAGCAACCGAGAGGAACAACATGTGGATATTTGAGTTTTGTTAATTCGAATGCCTTTTGTATATTTCTAGCGTTATCGCCAATAAGTACAAGAAACTTATTTGCTCCATACACTTTCATTACTTTTTCAACTTCTTGGCTAAGGTATTCACTAGTGTGAGGATTACTTTCTGTATTCAAACTTTTAACGTATGCAGGTTGAGGTTTTGATATAAGAAAGTTTATTATTCCTTCATTTCTTAAATTAGACCAGCCATCGCACTGAAGGTGTAAGTAACTACAAGCATTTAGTTCCTCATTTAACTCAAAACGCATTTCTCTATATATTTTATCTAAGTATTTTGTCGCTAAAGCTTTACGTGAAAGTATTTTAAATTTTGGTTGCAATTTTTCGAAAAATTGTATCCATAAAGGATGTTGCACCATCGATAATGGCGTCCCTGTTACAAATATAGCTCTCGCTAATTCTGTTTTTATATGATCATCGGTGTCTTGAAACTCAGCATTTATTGTAGTGTTAGCAGACGACGAGGGGCTTATAAAAGAATCATTTGTCTCTATCTCTGACAGTCCAGACATTTTGGTTTTGGACGAGCTATCTTTTATAAGTTTCATAGAGTCTTTTAATGTTTCTGGAGATTTTGGACAAGTGATAAGATGTTGAAGCATTTTGGCAGCATTACTGAATTTGTAGACCTTATTACAAAGCTTGCAAGAAACAGACTTGTTTGGTAAAGTACGGTAGTGCTCCCATATGCGTAAATCTTTAGGTCTCCCCATTGAACCTAAAAAAATGAACGATGATTAGTTGGTCTGACGAAAATTCAACAATAGAGTGCCTATTTTTTTACAATGATTATTTCTTGTTATTTACAATAAATTTATTAAAAAAATAATAAAATAAATACAAGAAACCTTTGTAAAATTACATCTCCTCGGAGGATTAAACGCAGACGCTAGTTTATTATCGTATTGTTCTGTATTTTTCTCAGCAACTTCTTTAATTCGATTAGGTACTTACGCATATTATGTTAAAAATAAATATCTAGTACACATCTTAGGCTATCCACCATTATTATCCAATGACGACTCTCAGCTAACTATGCACTATCATCCAAAATAAACGTGTATGGAAAATTTTATCCCAGTCGGTTGAGGATTGAGGATAATTGCATCAACATACGAACATACCTACATACTTTTATTTACATAACGCAAGCTAAATAAAAGCTTGTAATAATACATCTAATTTTAAGTTAAAATTGTTAAGTGATCATGATATAATTGTATCATTCAAAAATCCACTTACCTTTAATTATTTCTTGTTAAGTATAAATATTATTTCAAATCTGCTCCCTTAATATGCACTTTTTTACTGCTTTTCCTACCTAACACGTTACCAGGAAGTCACGTTACCAGAGTCAGAGTAATAGTGAACACGTTTGACAGTGATTGTCGTCGCCTCATATTCAGCGTCGACGAATAGGGGAATCCCCAGTCATAATGTATTGCATGCGTGGCGGTCTTACTTCAAATCCATAAACAAAGAGATAATTACAGAACTCGATACTAGATGGCGCTGTTTTTGTTTGAAGAAAGTTTGCGGGCTAAAATACATAGAATTTCATCAATGACTTCCACAAAGAACAACATTTCTGTTTTTTCTAAGTCCGTATCTCTTCCGTATATTTCATAAGATATAAGCTTGGGCTACATTGTTATGCAACGTGATTTTGTCGCTGTCTTGCTAGCAGGGTTGACAGATATACGATTTAAATCGTACTCATACTATTATTTGTCTATTTTTTAATGTACGATCGTAAAGATTATGATCGTAATTCGCACAAAAACATACGACTTTTTGGTTACCTGGCAACATTTTTATTATGAAACGAACATGCTCACATCATCAGTCACATGCAACAATTTATTGGGGATTTCCCCTTCACATCTGGCAGTCCTGCTTGCTAGAATATAGGTAAGTCAGCCACAGTTACTGACGATCGATATTTAAAGGGTATTGTTTTTGTGCTAAATATTTCATAAAAACGTTATTTAATACTTTGTGGATTATTAATTTAGTTGATAATCACTGGAAGTAAAATGGATGCTAATTTGAGAGATCAAGATCTTCGTATAAAACAGTTAATAAAAGAAAATCTACGTAAGTACTCTTTTTATACCTAGGTAGGTAAGGTATAATAAACACAAAAGGTACTTAGATCGCGTGTGTTCGAAGCATTTATTCTAATAAATTTAATTTAAAATTGTAGAAAGAAAAAAATGTCTGCCAAGCCGTAGCCGAAGCCGATCTCCAAATATATTTGGCGATAGTGAGACCCAGTGTCCAGATGATTTACCCAGCGTCGTCGCAACAAAGAAAAAAACGAGGATAAAGTAAAAGAAAATTTACTGAAAGAAGAAACAAACTGTTCTAAATGCTTAATTTATGGAGAAGAGGATAAAAGAAATGAGTATTTCGGACTGTTAGTGGCTCAAGAATTTAAATATATACGGCCATGTGTGCGAACGAGGTGTTATGAAGAAATTTTAAAGTATCTACGGGAAGCAAAAGGCCAACATGTTGATCAACTGCAACATGAAAACACTGAAAATTAATTACTTTCATTTTATTATATATAGATTTTTAAAATTTCCTGAAATATTATTAGTTAACGTTTTATTTAATATTGTAGAATTGATCAATACAATTTATAAAAATAATTTATTGGTATTACTTACATATTTTCAAAAAAATACGTAAAAACCTATTTTTTTGGGTGATTATGGGAGTTTATGGGTGTTTATTGGGTTTTTACCAAAGCACCGGGTTTAAACCCGGTGCTTTGCCCATCTGTAATTTAAATGAATACGTGACAAAAATCTGTGACAATCGTGTGCACTTCATAATATGTACATGACAGTCGGAATTTATATAAGAAACTGAAGTTGTAAAAATAGTTACGATAATTATTTATTTAGCTTTTTAGTGAATACTATAAAAGTAATAAAATTCGTAAATTATATTTAATACTATTTCGCAGCAGACAGATAATAGCTGAAATGAGGATTTATAAGATTTGTGGAGTTTTTTCTTATACATTACATATTATTTAAATTAACGGATTTATTCCAATTTTTCTTTTTAAGAAAAATGTGCTTATGATCTTTATTCGTCTTTAAAAATTTTATTAATTGGTGGTATATATGTATATAATAAAAAAAATGCTGCAAAATGTTTTTAATTCGAAATATCTCTTAAGTACCTTTTATAAATTGACTATTACGATAAAATTTAAGAGAATACTATTAAACACACCATAAAAAAACTACATACTGTAAAAAAGATTTCTAGGTAAAATAAAAACATGATGATAAAATGCACTTTATAACATTAAAAATTAAAACTTGTATTTTTAATTTAACATTTTAGTTCTTTCATCAGTAAAATGTTACCTACACGCACTTTGAATGCTAAAGTAATAGGAGTTGATTATTATCAAGAATGTCTTCACCAATATTTTTCCAAAGACTTGACCAAATCTTTAGGATCTACATTGGGTCCATGTCGTTCAACAGGAACTCCGTCCTTGTCCACAATGAATTTCGTAAAATTCCACTTAATTGAACTGCCCAGGGTACCGCCTTGTTTATGCTATAAATAAATAAATTTAATTACATATGTATTGCTACGATTTTTTTTAATAAGCTCTTGTATAACTAATATTATTATTGGTTATACAAAGCTTACACCTAAAATCAAAGAAAAAATTCTGCCTAATTAATAGAAATTTTTGTATTTAGTTACGAATGTAATATATGTATGTAATGAAATATTTTAAAATTTATTTTTCATCACGTATATAGAATCACTTATGGTTGTAACATTTATATAGTCATAACCTTGATTTGTTTCAAATTTATGGCATTTATGTAAAAAGTTCTTGTAAAAATTTATACAATGTTTTTACTTTTTTCTAAGGATCATCATACAAGTAAACAGTATAGATTGAAGATAGAGAAGTTCTTGTGAATAGTAAATTCGTGGACTAATAAAATTTAGGTTAAATATTTAAGCTTATTAGACAAATAAATTATACAAATATCCTTACTAACATTATAAATATGAAAGTGAATTTGTTTATTACCTTTCGGTGCTTTAATTATAAAACACACATAGTATTTAAACTAGAAAAGAACAGAGGCCCTTTTTACATTTTGATCAATGAATAAACTCTAGTCACGTGCTTAAAGCTGCGGGTACAAACTAGCAAAAATGAATTTTAAACCTTTAAGAATTTCCATAATTGGCTAGCATTGTCCCCATTAACATCGATTTTTTCAAACAAATCGAATTTCACTTTGCGATCAGCAGCGAAACAAACGATGTCTTCGGAGTTTCCTGGTTCTTGACCAGCGAATTGGTTGCAGGGAAATGCCAGGATTCGCAATCCTAGAACATTTTTTTTTATTTTCTCACATAGGTTCCTTAATAAAGAATTAACTATTGTTATTATTAAATTAAAGTACCTCATCATAATTATATCAGCCTTTAATAGTCCACTACTAAACATAGGCCTCCCCTATTGGGGAGTTTCGTCAGTAGTCGCTATGCTTGGCAGGCGGGTTTGTAACGGCAGTTATGCTTTGATTATCTATCATGAAAAATATTACTGTCCATTCCTTAACCACCAATTTTCTAATTATCGACTAAGAAAGAAAGAGATGACCCATACCAAGCCGAGACCACACGACAAAATCAAATACTTACCTATTAATATTATTTTCTACTTGACGATTGAAACTTTATAAAAAAAAATTCAAATATTATCAAAAAGCAAGCTTGAGATGAATTACTATAGCTCATCTACTGTTCAACAGTTACAGTGTTCTTTCATAAATAAACTCATATGTATATGTGTAGCACAGCGATGCTAATTTTGACAATTTTGTTTTTATCTGCGAAATTTTGAAGAAATAATTATATTTTTTCAAAATTTCGTTCTCCTACTATTAAGTAGGAGAAATGTTTGCAAAAAATAAAATGGGGATACTGGGTAAGTTTGATAATATACCAGTGAAGTTAAGCATACAAAGTTCAGTGTTTTTATGTGGTTCGTGTAAATGTTTAAAAATAATGGAAACCGACACATACACACATTGTGATTGAGTAAAAGTGAAGGAAATCGTATCGATTCAGAGAAAATATTTGACACTTGTGTAAAAATTAAAAATTGCGTATTAGAACTCAGGCATAATATGTGTGTAAACATAGAAAAGGAAGATATGAGTTTAATTTTGATTTGATTCGATCGACAGACTAAGAGTGCCTGCTTGTGAGTGACATATAGCTTAGTAATTGTAATTAGAATCTTTTTTTACAATATTATTAAAAAATAAACAACTATTTATAAATAATTAAAAATAAAATTTATATTTTAGGACTAACCTTTAGTTTCTGCATATTGTTCGTATAGTTCATTAAGTTGTTTGTAGTTATTTGCAGTAAGACCACACTGTGAGGCAACATTCACAATAATACAAACGTGACCTTTGTATATATCTAGTTTTACATCAGCACCTTTTATATTTTTGACGGTGAATTCATGAATAGACGTAGCCGACTTAAAATCGGGATTATCCACTGCCATTTTGCTGCAAAAAAGTCTACATAAAAAAATAAAATATGATAACTACAAAAAAAACTATACAATAAATCAGTAAGATACAAATCTACACAATAATCTGGTGCGTGTGTATAAATAAGTTTAGATTTATGAAATTTGTTTTCATCTTAGATTAAGAATAGTTGATAGGTGGAAAACTAGTTTGAATTGAAATATAATTATAATTATTGTTGGATGAATTAATATCACTATTTGGTTGAATAAAAAAGTGTGTGGTCTTTATTATTCTTATAATAAACAAAATACATTCATAAAAAAATATTATAAATTAATCTATCAAAAAAAACCACATTTGCCAGATAGTGTATATCTTATTATATTATTATATATTAGTGTATATCTTCTTACAGACAAATAAAAACGAAATTTGTACGTTACTTACATTGTGCTAAATTGTGACCGTGCTAAGCAAACTACATTACTAATAATAGGTACAATAAGCTTTGATACCGCTTTAGAACCAATTGTCATAGTGGACGGTATGTCTTATTTAAAGGAAAAATGAAAGTAACTATATCACTTATCACCATAAATCTGTATAAAAACAAAAATGTTCTTGTGTATATACAATGTACCAATTACATAATGTACATATCATTATTAAAATATCTCTAAAAAAGTTTAATAAATACCTATTGCGGTGATAAAATAGCAATTGGTTACACTTCGATTACACAACAATACAATACAGATTACTTAGAAAAAAATACTATAATTATGAAAATTGTTACAGTATACTTTACATCAAGTTCTTGGTCTATGTCATAGTCTATGAATATTTTTAATTGTTACTCTGTGGACCGAAACTGAAAGTAATGCCATCCTGGCATTACTTTCAGTTAGAAATTAGTTTATGAATTTATGCACCTATCTATGAACAACATTTTATTAATATAATAAAATTGTGACTAGTCGATGTATATACATTTTTTTATACAACTTAGAATGGCAAACAAGCTGACGGTCCACCTGATGAAAAGTGGTAACCGTCGCCTATAGACATGAGCAGTACCATGGACATAACAGAGTATACTGTTTCGCCTATGATATTCCCCCATGCGTTGCCTTTCATGAGAATTCAGATGTTATTCCTCTGTACCCTGTAAATTCACGCCATATCCCACCCTTCAAACCGGAACACAGCCATACAAACACAACTGCTTCACGGTAAAAACACGAATGGGACAGAGATACTCAAGCAATCGACTTTTGTACAAAGTCTCTGGAAATATATTCCATGATACATGGAATATATTTCCAGAGATATAGTGATTAAATTCGTTAGCAATACGCATGAATCAAACTTATTGCTATTTTTATATTAAAACGATGTTATTGATAATTTTGCAAGAAAAATGTAGAAATATTTTTTTTAAACAATTAAAATTAATAATATATGGTCTGCTAGAGGGGTGCCGATGAGGTGCCTTCATTTTTTTATGTAATAACTACCGGAAGAAAACTCTACTAGTTTCGGCATCAATTCATGATCTTTAATCATGAGTAGCTGTGATGCGAGCGCGAACCTGACTACGCTCCTCTGCCTGCTAATATAATGTGCGCTTATAAAACTTTTAACAATAAAATTTCTTTTTGTTTTTTTTTTTTTTTTATATTACTTAATAATGATTAGCTAATAAATCATTATTATCAGTATCAACTGCTTCTGGAGAATAATTTAGGAATTTGTATTATTATAAATTAGATATTTAGCACCGCTGTTTATTGCAGATAAGTGTGTTTAACACTTTAAGTAATTAGAAAGCAATCGTGTTACGTAATATCTTTTTTTACCAAAATATTATAAAATGAACATTTTATATCATACCACAAACTAAATACCTAGTTCTGTTTATATTATAAGACATGATATGGACTGAGAAATTATGCCTTAATATAAAACAATAGAAATTCTGTGGTTTCATAGATTCATATTCCAGTTTTGTTTTATTAATATAAGGATAACGAAGGGCAGTGTCAGCTATGACGTTCTTGAAATTTTACTCTTAGCCCTAGTATAGGTTTGACGATTCATTTCAGTTTTTTTTAATTGATTTGCATGATGTGCTAATAAATCAAATAAGAAAAAACCAGGGCCTAAATGTTCTCAATTATTTTTCGATTTTGTAATTTTAATATAAATTTTCAAATTTACATAATCGATATTTTATAACTTTTCTTAATCTTTTTACAACTGTTAGGAGTATGAGATGTAGATATACGACCTAATTATCTGTGTCTATCGATGACAATGTTCGTTGCTAAGCATCTTGTTGATTGTAACATTTTATTCTGCTTATTATACGTATTTTAATATTTAATATCGCTTTCCGTTCTCCACTTTAATATGGTAGCAGAGCAAATAATAACGATATAAAATGGCCTCCTATGGAAAAATAGAACAATTAAATAAAGATAACTATGATACTTGGGCCTTACAAGCAAAAGCAGTCCTTGTTAAACAAAAGCTATGGAAATACGTAGTAACTCCAGACATAGAATATGAGGATCCTAAAATTAAAGAAGAAGACTTGCTAGCGCAGTCAGAACTCATTCTATTGATGTCTGCAGCAGAAATTAAACTAATAAAAAAATGTGAAACTGCACATGAAATGTGGCAAAAGCTCAATGATATATATTCGAGCAAAGGTCCGGCAAGAAAAGCGAGTCTATTAAAACAACTAATTCTGAGTAGATTACAAAATAACGATGATATACGTGAACATTTAAACAAGTTTATGGATATAGTTGAAAAGTTAAATCAAATGGATATAAGTATTCATGACGATCTACTTTCAGTTATGATGCTATACACCTTGCCACCAGATTATGAAAATTTTAGAGTAGCGATAGAGTCGAGAGACACGTTACCTAATCCTGAGGATCTAAAGATCAAAATTATTGAAGAATCGGAAGCGAGAAAACATTTATCCTCTGTAGATGCAAGCACAAGTAATGAAGAAGTTTATTATGCTTTTTGCAAGATATGTAAGAAAAAAGGACATAATACTAAAAACTGTAGAAAGAAGTCATCATACTACAAAAATAAGACGAATATAAAATCAAGTCATGATAGCAAAGACGTAAATAAAAATAATATTGCGATTTGTCTATATGTATCTAAGGAAGAAAACAAAAAAGAATGGATCTTAGATAGCGGATGCACTTCACATATGTCTTATGAAAGAAATATATTTCAAAATTTAGAAAACACTTGCAAAACGTTAAAATTAGCGTCTAACGATGGTGCTGCTGAAATAAAAGGACAAGGTTTAGTATGTTTACAGTTAAATAAACCTGGAAAGAAAGGAGAAATTAAATTATGTGACACATTATATGTACCAGATTTGTCATTGAATCTGTTATCTGTTGGTAAGATTACCGAAAATGGGTGTACTGTACTCTTTACAAAAAATAAGGCAGTAGTTACTCACAAAGATGAAGGTGTGATTTTGAAAGCACATAGAAAAGCCGATGGTTTATACTACGTTGATGCCAAACTAAATAAATCTCAAACATGTTATTATACAGATCAAAGCAAAATTCATCACTGGCACAGGAAACTTGGTCATATGAATGAAAATGACATGAAGTTTGCTTTAAGAAATAAAAGCCTAAAAGGTTTAGAATTTGGTTTAAACGAGAAACTTGGAGATTGTGAAATTTGTATTCAAGCCAAAATAAAAAGACTACCATCTAAAGCTAATACTGTTCCTCGTACTACACAACGATTAGAAATCATACATACTGACGTTTGTGGACCGATGAAGTCTGAAACTTATGCAGGTAACAAATACTTTGTTACTTTCATCGATGATCTTACTCGGTATAGTCGTGTATATTGTATCAAAAAGAAAAGTGAAGTATTAGAGAAATTTATGGAATTTAAATCTGAGATGGAAAATTATACTGGCAATAAAATAAAATGTCTTCAGTCAGACAATGGCTTAGAGTACTGTAATAATGAATTTGAAATGTTTTTAAAGAAAAACGGTATAACAAGACGATTAACAGCTCCATACACTCCTCACCAAAATGGTATAGCTGAAAGAAAGAATAGAACCCTTTTAGAAAAAGCTAGATGTTTAATGATAGAATCTGGAGCACCGATGACTCTATGGGGTGAAGCTATATGTACAGCAAACTACATTTCGAATAGAAGTATAAATAAAAGTATTGACAACTTGACACCGTTTGAAAAATGGGTCGGAAGAAAACCGTCTTTAAATCATTTTAATGTATTCGGAATAAAAGCGTACATGCTTCTCAAAAATAAACAAAACAGAAACAAATTTGAAACAAAAGCAATTCCTGGCATGTTTGCAGGATATTCTGAACGATCAAAAGCTTTTAAAATTTGGGTACCTACAAAAGGTAAAATTATGATTTCAAAAGATGTGAAATTTGTTGATAAATTTTTCTATAAAGAAAACTTTAATTCAAATAAATCAGCAAATAAATCAAGTACAACTGGTTATGTAGATCTGCTCTTTGATAATATTGAAAAACTAGAAGAGAGAGATAAAAAACAAACTATAATCAATGAAGAGAACATTGACCCAAATGAAACTGAAAGCGAATATGAATCGATTAACAATGATTTTGAGACAGATGATGAAGGAAATATCGAGTTGGTAGAAGAAACGAGACCTTCGGAAAGCCAAGCTGAAACAAATGACGAAGAGACACATGAAGAAGTTCAAACAGAAGTTAAACGGTCACTTCGAAATCGTAATTATTTACGAGCGCCTACAAGATTTGACGACTTTGTGATGACTGCTTCAGAAGACGTAATGAACTCACAAAAAGAACCTGAAACGTACAATGAAGCAATGAAAAGTAAAGATAAAAAGAAATGGCTTGAAGCGATGCTGAGTGAAATGACTTCTCTAGAAGAGAACCAAACCTGGGATCTCGTGGAGCTACCTAAAGGTAGGAAAGCTCTTTCTAGTAAATGGATTTATAAAATAAAAACGAATCCTGATGGAAGTATTGATCGATATAAAGCTAGGTTAGTTGTAAAAGGTTTTTCACAAAAACCTGGTGTGGATTATGATAAGACATTCAGCCCAGTTGTCCGCTTGAGTACAATTAGAGCAATGCTAGGAGTAGCTGCAAAAGAAAATTTATCTCTTTGTCAATTCGACGTATCCACAGCATTCCTCAATGGATCAGTTGAAGAAAAAATATTTATAAAACAACCTGAAGGTTATAACGATGGTACAAATAGGGTCTGCCGTTTGAAAAGAAGCCTATATGGACTTAAACAGGCTCCACGTTGCTGGAATACATGTATACATGAGTTTTTAATAAATTCTAAATTCATACAGAGTCAGTCTGATCCTTGTCTATACATCAGAAAGAATGGACTATCTAAAGTGATTATTGGATTATATGTTGATGATGGATTGGTAGCGTCAACATCAGAGAAAGAAGGAAAGAAATTTCTTGAAGAGTTACAAAAACGCTTTAAGATTACGACAAAGCCTGCAAGTTACTTTCTAGGACTCGAACTAGAAAGATCTAATGATGGATATATAACATTAAGTCAGAAAGCCTATACAAAGAAATTACTAGAAAAATTTCGCATGTCTGACTGCAAACCGGCTTTAACACCAATAATAAAAGAAAACAGTCAAGATACATCTCTAGATGAAAGCGAATTTCCTTATCGCCAGGCAGTTGGAGCACTGTCATATTTAATGGTAGGGACAAGACCAGATATCAGTTACGCAGTGAGTGTTGCCTCCAGAAATTTAGAAAAACCAACGAAACGGGATGTTATTGGAGTAAAAAGAATACTTCGCTACCTGAAAGGATCAGTAGATAAGGGGCTAATATTTAAGACTGATATCACAGGAAATTTAAATTGTTACAGTGATGCAGATTTCTCTCGTGATCAAGAAACTTGTCACTCTACCACAGGAATAATATGCCTTTACTCAGGCGCTATAAGTTGGAAAAGTCAAAAACAAGGAATAGTAGCCTTATCTTCGACAGAGGCTGAACTTATAGCTGCTAGTGAAGCAACACAGGAAATTATTTGGCTAAAAGAGTTACTATCTGAATTAACGGAGCTAGACAAGCAACCAGTTCTCTATGTGGACAATGAATCTGCAATAAAATTAGCTCACAACCCTGCATATGAATATCATAAAAGGACAAAGCATAACAAGCGCAAGCATTTTTATGTCAGGGAATGTGTAAAGGACGGGCATCTATTAGTGAAGCATGTCTCATCGGAACATCAATTAGCCGATATGTTCACGAAGCCACTCTACAGACCAAGATTAGAAGAACTGTCCTCACGCATTGGAATGAGTAGCAAGCAACTATAAAAAGTAGACGGGATGTTAGGAGTATGAGATGTAGATATACGACCTAATTATCTGTGTCTATCGATGACAATGTTCGTTGCTAAGCATCTTGTTGATTGTAACATTTTATTCTGCTTATTATACGTATTTTAATATTTAATATCGCTTTCCGTTCTCCACTTTAATAACAACTATATAATGTTTTTATAATTTTACGAATTTATTGGTTATAAATTTACATGTATTTAGGTACATTCAAGTAACTCTAAATAATTTTATGGCTATTATCAATACAGAAAAATAAATGTATTCACTGGTTAGATTCAAGGCTTTATATCGAAAAATAATCGATATATTTAGTCGAATAAATTGACCTTTTACAATTAATCGTTCTCAGGTTCACATGCCTATTGCATTATTATTTAGATTACGTATTGCGTTATTTTTCTTCCTTCTGTAATTAATAAAATATAAAATGGCATTTTTGGTTCCGAATTTGCGCAGATGTGTGAGTTTGAAAAATTTAAACAGCAATGTAGTTCCAAAAGCATCGTATCATGCAAATGTAAGTTGTATTTCCTGTCTTATTTTGAATTCTGAAATTTATTGATTTTTATAGCAACCAAAAAGTATTGACTAGTAAGGCCACGCGTGATTGCATATAATAATAATTTTATCACAGTTATTATTTGTAGGAATTTTTTTATGGCCTAATAAACAATACTTAGTATTATAAATAATACTTATGTACAAGTATTTCACAAGTACTTGATTAAGTATAATTTAATGCTATTTTTAATTCATTAAACAAAATCTAGTTTTAATTTTCAATCGCAAATCAATTAAAAATGGTTTAAGAATTAAATTGTGTTCCATAAAAAAAAAAAAAACTTCAATTGTGGTAAAACCAATTATTTTTGATAAAATTTCTATAGGACAAATCTGTGTATAGCATATCTTTAAAAAAAAAAAAAGAATTTTCCAAATCCGTTTACAACTGTTGGAATTATGAGGTCAAATTGAAAACTTCCTTATTCTTGAAGTCGGTTGAAATAATAACAGGAGACTGCCTCATATACTGAAAATATGTAGGCACAGAAATAAAATCCCCATATCGCCATAGTCGTAGAATATTGACGGATCTATATATGTAATATTCGGCAGATCCGTCAGTATTCTACGACTATGACGATATCATGATTATTATTCATATCAATCTTTGAAGCTGCTTAACAGATTTCAATAAAAAATTTAAATGTGTACTATTGTTTGCATCATCTTGAGAGATAAAATAGTTTTTATTTCAATAAAAAAATGGACCAAGTGGATAGCAGTAGGGAGGCAAAATAACATTTGCGGTGTCACCTAATTAATACATAAATATAATTCAGGTAATCGACCATTATGAAAATCCTCGCAATGTTGGATCATTAGACAAGAAGGACAAGAATGTTGGCACTGGGCTTGTTGGGGCTCCTGCATGTGGAGATGTCATGAAGCTTCAAATTAAGGTTGATGAAAATGGAAAGATTATTGATGCAAAATTCAAGACATTTGGATGTGGCTCAGCCATTGCATCCAGTTCTCTCGCCACTGAATGGGTGAAAGGCAAGACAGTCGATGAAGCTTTGAAGTTGAAGAACACAGATATAGCAAAGGAATTGTCTTTGCCACCTGTTAAACTGCATTGTTCTAGTAAGTATTATTTATATAATATTTAATATATCTTTAAAAAGAATACCTTATACATATTTAAAAAGAAATAGTGAAAAAGTTATACTGTCAACATAGTGAAATATAGTATTACTATTTATTTAGTATAATACAGTATGTAGAAAGAAGTAGTACTTTTAATGTTATGTATAGACTATTACTCTAATATTGTTTTTGTTACAGTGCTTGCTGAAGATGCTATCAAAGCTGCACTTTCGGACTATAGGATCAAGAATCAGAATGCAGAGAAAAAAGAATAAATAAGATAATGAGATTGAATAATGGAACAGATCTGTAATTGTTAGCTTCATGAGAAGGATAAAACTATAGGTTTAGCTTAGTAGGAGGCATTAAAATATCCTCGCATTAATTTTTAAAGCATAGAAGCATAAATTTAACGTTTCTATATATTATTATACTTATTAGGCGGTTTGAAACAAATTTCATTGTAGTATATGCACATAAATATATGTATAGGTTATATTATTTGATTAAATAAATTATAATTGACCTTGTCTTTTTTTTGCTATATTAGTAAGTCTTTTTAAAATAAAGAGAATGTAGTATCTGTTAGAGAATTCAATATCCTCTAATCTACACTAATAATAGGTTTTCTTAACTGATTTCAAAAAGGTGGTTAATATTTTTTTATATCATTGTCAATTCTGAAGAATTTAAAAAAATCTATAAAATTAGTACAATAACAAAAGTTGTGTTATCAGACACTATCAGTGTAATGAAATGCAAGTTAGTTGTTATTTTGACAGATAAAAAGTATGTAGTAAAAATTGTTTTTGCAGGCCCTAAAGCAGGGGAAGGGGAATAATAAAAATACACAGATTATAATTTATATAATAATGTTATAAATAATATTAGGTACATTTATTGATATTATTTTACAATACAAAGGTACAAACAATAGCCAATATAATTATTTTTGTATTGTTTATGTTAATTATTGTGTCACAATGCCAAGCTTTTGTAATGCGAGCTGAGCAGCATCGGCTTTAGCTTGCTTCTTGTTGGCGCTCGCCACTGCCGGTTGATATTCAGTGCCAGCTACTTTTACCTGTGACAAACAACATAACAATCTGTACAAGATTTATTAATGACAATTTATTGAAATGAAGAATAACCTTGATAATGTTTTTCCTGTACAAGTAGGTATAGATATATTATCTATCGTATTGATTTACGAATTTGTGAAGCTATTGATGCACTTAAAAATTATGTACAAAATATCATTGAAGAATAGATGGCTTAGAACAAGACTAACGAACGTTGTTGTGTCTTTTGAGTAGGTATATTCTATTTTTTTTTATGAAACTGAATGGCAAACAAGCTGACGGCCTACCTGATGAAAAGTGGTAACCGTCGCCTATATACTTGAACAATACCATGGGCATAATGGAGTATAGTGTGTTGCCATTCCTGAGGACTAAGGTGTTGTCTCTGTACCCTGTAATTTCATTGTCATATCCCATTTTCAAACCGAAACAACCATGTAAATGTCTGCTTAATGGCAGAAACATGAATGGGACAGAGGTACCCAAGGCAATGACTGTTGTAGTCTCCCTCTACTATAAGCTAATAATATATAACTAAATTTATAACACAGTAATTTATAGTTTATTTTTCTTATCGCCATCCTAGCAGCGTTATTGGCCTTGTTTTCTACTTATATCCATCGCCAGTCATTAGCAACTTCTTATCGAGAGACGTCACCAAACCAAATGGACATAGCTAGAGATGGGCAATCCACCTGGGTGGGTTTAAAGTCTGGTGGGTAAAAACCGGGTGTTTTGGGTTTATTGGGTTTAAACCCCATAAACACCCAAATTTTTGGGTGTTTATGATTTTGTACTTCATCATCGTCATCTCAGCCGCAAGACGTCCACTATACTGGACATAGACAATATTATTATGCAGCCTACAGAATAAAAAACTTTTAATTTGATTTTGAGTTTATTAAGAAAGAGATGAAAGTAAAATGTAAAACTACAGTCAATCACTGTCAGATTCAGAGTTATTACAAGCGATGAATTGTATAGGTTCGATAGGCTCTATTTCGTCTAAACTGTTATGTTCATTTACTTGCTCAATGAAAGCTTCTAAGGTATTTTCTTCATTAAACTGAATGTCCTCGCATTCAGCTTTATGTTTAAGATTCCAGTTATAACAAATGAATGAAATTTTTTCAGTTCTTTCAGTTGTAAGTCGATTTCTTTTGTTATTATGTATGTAGCCTTGGATACTAAAGGAACGCTCAGTGGCTGCCGAAGTACAGGGAGCTGATAGAATACGAATCGCTACTTTGCTTAACTCAGTGGAACCACAAATACCTTTCCACCATATTAGGGGCTCAATGCTATCTAATGAGCTCCATACAAATCCTCTGGCCCAAAAGTTTTCTTTAGCTTTATAACACGCCAAATCTGCCATTACATTTGACAAACTTAAGTGTTGGCTTAAATTGTAGATTAACTCCATACCCTTAAGTTCTTCCTCTTGAGTAAGTTCGACTCCTAGAGTCCTGGGGTCTAGAATATATGCTGCAAAATGTATTGGCCTCATTGCCATATTGCATCTTGAAGATACTGATGTTAGAATCTGCTGTTTGCTTTCTTCGCTCAATGTCGAAATCTCATTTAATGCAAAACGTATCTTAGCTTGTACATCTCTAAATGTAATGTATGTGCGATGCAAACGATTCTGGTCGCTCTCTAAGTAAAATATGCTTTCAGTGACTGGTTCCAAAATACTTATACATTCCCCTGTCTTCGTCCAGAAATCATCACTTAGAATTAAATCTTTAATATCTCTTGAAATTACCACATCTTCTCTAACTGTTAATTAATAATAAATAATAAGCTATCTTATTTGCTTTCAAACTTTTTAACGAAGTAACATGACTTCCCCATCTTGTAGCACAAGGCAATTTTAGTGTTTGTGTAGAATCTTCACCCTGCCTTGATTTTATCAACAAGGAACTTAATCGTTGACTCCTTTTAACAGTTTTTATTATATTTATAGCTTGCATAATAAACACAGTTACTTCTTGTATCTTTACAATATCTTGGCACAACAAGTTAAGGATATGTGCACAGCAACCGAGAGGAACAACATGTGGATATTTGAGTTTTGTTAATTCGAATGCCTTTTGTATATTTCTAGCGTTATCGCCAATAAGTACAAGAAACTTATTTGCTCCATACACTTTCATTACTTTTTCAACTTCTTGGCTAAGGTATTCACTAGTGTGAGGATTACTTTCTGTATTCAAACTTTTAACGTATGCAGGTTGAGGTTTTGATATAAGAAAGTTTATTATTCCTTCATTTCTTAAATTAGACCAGCCATCGCACTGAAGGTGTAAGTAACTACAAGCATTTAGTTCCTCATTTAACTCAAAACGCATTTCTCTATATATTTTATCTAAGTATTTTGTCGCTAAAGCTTTACGTGAAGGTATTTTAAATTTTGGTTGCAATTTTTCGAAAAATTGTATCCATAAAGGATGTTGCACCATCGATAATGGCGTCCCTGTTACAAATATAGCTCTCGCTAATTCTGTTTTTATATGATCATCGGTGTCTTGAAACTCAGCATTTATTGTAGTGTTAGCAGACGACGAGGGGCTTATAAAAGAATCATTTGTCTCTATCTCTGACAGTCCAGACATTTTGGTTTTGGACGAGCTATCTTTTATAAGTTTCATAGAGTCTTTTAATGTTTCTGGAGATTTTGGACAAGTGATAAGATGTTGAAGCATTTTGGCAGCATTACTGAATTTGTAGACCTTATTACAAAGCTTGCAAGAAACAGACTTGTTTGGTAAAGTACGGTAGTGCTCCCATATGCGTAAATCTTTAGGTCTCCCCATTGAACCTAAAAAAATGAACGATGATTAGTTGGTCTGACGAAAATTCAACAATAGAGTGCCTATTTTTTTACAATGATTATTTCTTGTTATTTACAATAAATTTATTAAAAAAATAATAAAATAAATACAAAAAACCTTTGTAAAATTACATCTCCTCGGAGGATTAAACGCAGACGCTAGTTTATTATCGTATTGTTCTGTATTTTTCTCAGCAACTTCTTTAATTCGATTAGGTACTTACGCATATTATGTTAAAAATAAATATCTAGTACACATCTTAGGCTATCCACCATTATTATCCAATGACGACTCTCAGCTAACTATGCACTATCATCCAAAATAAACGTGTATGGAAAATTTTATCCCAGTCGGTTGAGGATTGAGGATAATTGCATCAACATACGAACATACCTACATACTTTTATTTACATAACGCAAGCTAAATAAAAGCTTGTAATAATACATCTAATTTTAAGTTAAAATTGTTAAGTGATCATGATATAATTGTATCATTCAAAAATCCACTTACCTTTAATTATTTCTTGTTAAGTATAAATATTATTTCAAATCTGCTCCCTTAATATGCACTTTTTTACTGCTTTTCCTACCTAACACGTTACCAGGAAGTCACGTTACCAGAGTCAGAGTAATAGTGAACACGTTTGACAGTGATTGTCGTCGCCTCATATTCAGCGTCGACGAATAGGGGAATCCCCAGTCATAATGTATTGCATGCGTGGCGGTCTTACTTCAAATCCATAAACAAAGAGATAATTACAGAACTCGATACTAGATGGCGCTGTTTTTGTTTGAAGAAAGTTTGCGGGCTAAAATACATAGAATTTCATCAATGACTTCCACAAAGAACAACATTTCTGTTTTTTCTAAGTCCGTATCTCTTCCGTATATTTCATAAGATATAAGCTTGGGCTACATTGTTATGCAACGTGATTTTGTCGCTGTCTTGCTAGCAGGGTTGACAGATATACGATTTAAATCGTACTCATACTATTATTTGTCTATTTTTTAATGTACGATCGTAAAGATTATGATCGTAATTCGCACAAAAACATACGACTTTTTGGTTACCTGGCAACATTTTTATTATGAAACGAACATGCTCACATCATCAGTCACATGCAACAATTTATTGGGGATTTCCCCTTCACATCTGGCAGTCCTGCTTGCTAGAATATAGGTAAGTCAGCCACAGTTACTGACGATCGATATTTAAAGGGTATTGTTTTTGTGCTAAATATTTCATAAAAACGTTATTTAATACTTTGTGGATTATTAATTTAGTTGATAATCACTGGAAGTAAAATGGATGCTAATTTGAGAGATCAAGATCTTCGTATAAAACAGTTAATAAAAGAAAATCTACGTAAGTACTCTTTTTATACCTAGGTAGGTAAGGTATAATAAACACAAAAGGTACTTAGATCGCGTGTGTTCGAAGCATTTATTCTAATAAATTTAATTTAAAATTGTAGAAAGAAAAAAATGTCTGCCAAGCCGTAGCCGAAGCCGATCTCCAAATATATTTGGCGATAGTGAGACCCAGTGTCCAGATGATTTACCCAGCGTCGTCGCAACAAAGAAAAAAACGAGGATAAAGTAAAAGAAAATTTACTGAAAGAAGAAACAAACTGTTCTAAATGCTTAATTTATGGAGAAGAGGATAAAAGAAATGAGTATTTCGGACTGTTAGTGGCTCAAGAATTTAAATATATACGGCCATGTGTGCGAACGAGGTGTTATGAAGAAATTTTAAAGTATCTACGGGAAGCAAAAGGCCAACATGTTGATCAACTGCAACATGAAAACACTGAAAATTAATTACTTTCATTTTATTATATATAGATTTTTAAAATTTCCTGAAATATTATTAGTTAACGTTTTATTTAATATTGTAGAATTGATCAATACAATTTATAAAAATAATTTATTGGTATTACTTACATATTTTCAAAAAAATACGTAAAAACCTATTTTTTTGGGTGATTATGGGAGTTTATGGGTGTTTATTGGGTTTTTACCAAAGCACCGGGTTTAAACCCGGTGCTTTGCCCATCTGTAGACATAGCCGATTCACCAAAACTGAATTGTTAAATTTGTGTTATATATGTATATACATATGAGCTAAAGATAATGTTGTATACATTAAATTAAATAATTGATTAACTGAAAAAATATTACCATGTCTCGTCGAGTTTTGACTATTTTTTTTAATATATCTATTAATTCTATTGTGATATTTATTTACGATGAAGTGTGATTTTTTAGGCCTAACTTATTATTTAAAGCCATAATTATAAAGTCGGTGTCGTTTACAACTATAAAGGGTGAAATCAAAATTATAAGTATATTTTGAAAGGAATGTTCTACTAGCGATTACAATATTATCACCAAAGAAATATGGATCGAAAAACGACAAAAATCTTTTACTTTCGCATAACAATACAGTGAGTTCAGCTGTTGAGTTGAGAGTATAGTACGTTCAAAATTTTTTACAGAATAAAAGCCTCTAAATAAAAGATTAAAAAAAAATATATCACACACACACACACACACACACAGTTTTTACGTATCGCTAATTATTTCGGGTTTACCCTGTACAATAGTGTAATAAGATTTCAAGAAAACCACCATACATATACATTATTAATTATTTTTTTTATTATTTATTTAGCTATATCAGCCCTATTATAAACTTGAACTAAATGTATGAGATGAACTGTACTATTTAGCTGTACTGCAAATATCATTGATATACTGACATTAGTATTGTATTGTATTGTACTGTTGTTTGTTTCAATAAATAAATAAATTGCTTACCATTTTAACCGTGAAGCAGTTGTGTTTGCACAGCTGTGTTTTGGTTTGAAGGGTGGGATATGGCGTGAATTTACTGGGTACAGAGGAATAACACCCGAGTCCTCAGGAATGGCAATGCATGGGGGGTTATCATGGGCGAAACAGTATACTCTGTTATGTCCATGATACTGCTCATGTTTATAGGCGACGGTTACCACTTTCTATCAGGTGGGCCGTCAGCTTGTTTGCCATTCTAAGTTGTATAAAAGAAAAAAATGCTTACCTACGGAAAGAGAAGAATAAATGGGCTCTTAAATAATTTTAAAAAACTACATTACTAACTTTGAATAAAAAATTCTTCTTGTGATCAGGGCCGCATTCAAAGCAAAGGTTATACTCAGGTGGACCAAGTTTCTGTTTAGAACAGTATTCGCCTAGTAACGACACCGGGTGCTTGCCGCCTGCTATCAGTGGAGCTGGGCCCCCTCTACTACGACCCTGGCGGTGAGGTTTCATCTGAAAAAAACAATAAGAACAATAACTCATGCTAACATAAGTAATTATAAAAAAAAATATTAATAAGTAAATTTTGATATAGTTTAAATTTACCTGAATCAATATAATTTTAAATTTACAATATCATTAAAATAACTACGGTTAAGTAATTTAAATTATAATAAATTAAATAAATAATAAAACTATACAAACATATAAAACTATATTACTATAAATATTCGCTTTAATAACCTGGTTATATGTAAAATAGCTATTAGTAAATATAATTATTGATCAGCGTGATGAAACTAATTATTTACATATTACAAACTACAAGCGGTAATTTAATCCACCATACCATACCCATATTCAAGTTCTACTTACAGCTTTGTTTGGTCTGCTACTGACCTCTTCTTTCGACTGCAGCCCTCTTGTATCGAGTTTGACCTCTAATAACAATGGTTGGAGAGTCCCTGTGCCTTCTTTGCCCAAACCCTGGCCTGGAGTCCAACCCATCTTCTGGAGTAGGTGCATACCCATTCCACCTTCGACTGGGGCTGCGCGGACTAGTTGATCCTACATATATAATAATCTAGTTTATATTGTGATAATTATATTATTCGTAAGTATAAAATTGTATATAATTATTGGCATATTAATAGAACAGACAAAAAGGTGAATTGATCAACGCACAGTCAAAAGTGCTGAGCCTAGAAACATGAAATTTTACACTACAGCTACATGTCGCAAGTGGGTGCTACTATAAACGATAATATCTTTATTCTGAGTAATAGGTATTAAATACATGGCCTAATATTATATATATAGTATATCTTATAAATATTTAAAGTTATTAAAAACTAAGTAAATGATTTATCAAAATTTTCAACGCTAGAGGAACAGTTCCCAGAACGTTTTCAGAGATCACAATAAGTTTAATAGTATATGTAAATATATATATCTTCTATTAAATTTCTTATTGGCCGAATGGATAAAGAATTAAAAAATAGTTTTAATATTTGCATAAAAAAATAACTTTGCGTATTATATATATATAATATCATAATTATACACAATAAATAGGTCAAACACATTTCTCTATATATATATAGATAATTAGTGTTTATTTATGTTGGATCGTTGGTATATAAATGTACCTATATCCCCGTCGATGGATACTTACCTCACGTTCATGGGAACATTGCTCTTATCACCTGTAGACCATGCGGTAACGAGGTGCGAGCATCTCCTTATCACTTAAAAGCTGCAACAAATATTCACGAATTCCCCATAGTAGCCATGCTTTCCTTTGAGGCCGGCCTCTTTTTACTTCGAATTAGAAACTAAAGGTGCGTATAAACTGCGAGCATGTTTATGTAATATAAATAGTTACATTACACGAGTATGGTAAAAATTTTTACTAAATATCTTAGAGTTTTTTTGTGGACATGCTAGAACCGCCTCTGCATCTGTACGCGCATTTTAAGCTAAGCGTATGTCGAAACAAAGATGAAATGTAGAACACCACAAGTACAGTAGAGTTTGCTAGATGACTCTGAAATAGGTCACCAACAGCTACTTTGATGAAGAACATATAAATAAGATTAATAAATGTGGGAGAAGTAAAAGAGATCTGTTTGAATTGGTGCATTGATTCTTAAGTTTTTGCCTGCCTCAATGGGAGAAAGGCGTGATTTTGTACGTATATATTATGACTGTTCACAGTTAACCGATTGTAGAAGAAAAATAATTAAGGGTCAAAATAAAAATAAATTTAATGATTGACACCTTAAATTCTGAGATTCTGATTCACCTTTCAAATTGCATTGCATACGTTTAGCTTTAATTTTTTTGTTTTCACAAAGGCGCAGCGTATACACTTAGGTAATAAATTGTACAATCCATATAGCGCTGAGCCTTTCATTCGCGATAACAGTCGACAGACGTGTACAAATGCGGATACGGGAAATCGACATAGGATATCCATTGATGTCATATGCTTGTTTCTTAGATGTTACATTACACGCGAATGTTTTAGACGATATAATAGTAAATTGACAAGCCCAAAGAATTGCAAGGCTATCTATTAAATAATACGTAATATTTGAGACTGACTTGTGCAATATTTTATATATGTGAAAACGTAGATATAATGTTTAAATATAAATTATGTAAGTATTTAGATATAATAAAGATATAAAAGGTAATAAATCTGGAAGTTGTAAATTAATGTATTATGATAAAATATACGTGACTTGATATAACAATATCGATAAAATATTTTTAAATTTACATAGATAGTGTGGGCTTTGATATAGTCAGTCAACGTAAGGGGAAAACTGAATATTTGTTAGCAAAATTTGTTTGGTAATGATAATTGGCATGCCATACGGAATGGCACGAGGATTATCATTACAGTTGATGCTAAAACATTTGATGGTGTAACGAGCGAACTTCACAAGTTCTCTCTTTACACGAACCAACAGAATACGAACTTAGAAGTGATGATGACAACAACAATCAAGGAACGATTATGTTTTATAGAATACACTACAATGTATTAAGGGGATCCCTTCACTTTCACACACATATCGGTTTTTGACGATTCGTTATTAATAGTTTCGTTAAAAGACGAATATAACGAAAATTCGATATGTAGATAAAAAGTCGTAAATATTCGAAGTGTGTGTACGATCGTAAGACAAGAAGCATTATAAAAATAAAAACGATTCATATTCATACATTCGTAATTATTAACGAATTATTTCCCTGTTTGTTGTGTGAACGAAGCCTTAAGATGTTTCTTTGTATATAAGATTTTATAAATAGGATTTTTTGTGACATATTTATTTTGAGAAAAAAAAAAAAACAATTGCGCATAAAAGCATGTAAGTGTAGCTGTAATAAATATGACTTAGTGGATATAATTTATATTTAGAAAATATATTTTGTGTCCACTACAATATTTGTATACAACAAACAATTGTTTATGAATAAATTGAGTCAAAGAGATTAAAAAAATCATATAGAATAGCACCGTTATATAAATTTAAATTTTCTGGCAGAATAGTAAAATAACTTTAAATCAACTAGATTTATTTCTTAGAAAATACGTCAATTTACTAAGCATGATATTTGTAAAATATATTGAAATAAACTATAAAACATGTGAATATATAATTTTAGTTTATTTTACGTAACTTTTTTGTATGGATTATAAAACATTCAGGCGGAAGTCTGTACTGATGCGTTAAGGAGAATTTTCTTTATCAGGTTTATGTTCTTATCAAATCCTTGACAATAGGTATAAATATTATCGCAACTTTCAATAATACTTGTAAATACATCAAATGTTAGGAAAAATATGCTTGTCATGTTTAGAATTGGATAATCTATGATATCGTTTTAGATAAATAAGTACATAATTTATTTTCAAATTCATGATATATCCTAGCACATATCTATATAGGTTACTATGTAAAGTACAGTCAATGTATGTGATATTGGTCATAGATCATTTTCGAGGTATGAATAATTTGTAAAACTAATAAGTTTCTAAATTTTGACCAGTGTTTATTGTTGTTGAAATCATCACACTACAATCACAATGAAAGAGGTCAGAAAGCATAATACTTGAGTATTATAAGTTCTGACCGATAGGCCGCAAACTGGATCATCAGTGTACGCGTATCCCGACCGATGGCACTTTGAGCTGAAAGAAAATTCATTTGGACAGACTTAAAGTATCAAACAAAACTTAGGACTTAGTTCTGCTATATGTATTTGTACTAAATAAAAATGGCGGATCTTATTGGCGGTAAAACGGATTATTTGTATGGATGTAAAGCGACATGCTGTCAAAAAAGTAGGCTTGGATATGGAGGGATTTTAGTACAAGATAAGATAGCATTACACCAGTCATGTTTTGTTTGAAACTTTAAAACTAATATCTGATTCTTTTGATTTTGTTTTAAACGTTGTTTGTTCTTTAATTATCACATTAATCTATGTGTATAACAGCTACAATATAATAAGTTTAAATCCAGTAATTGTATCTGTAAAATTGAACGACTTACCCTTAGGAGGATAAAACAAAATATGGAACTATTCTTGAACTATTCTATATTTTGATGTATGTCTCCCTTGGGAAAAATATTCAATTTTACGAATGAATAAATAATGGAATTTCAATTCGTATTCATTACAAGTTATATATACACGAGTCGAAAAAAGAAATGTGATAAATAAAGAACAAATTTTGGAACATTTTGAATGGAACTGTAACTTCGAATTGCTAGAAAAATATTTACTATTCTGATTTTTAAATAGTATATATGCAAATCAGTGTGTACCTTCTTAGCCCAGGCTTGGACTCCACTAGCTAATTCCCTGGGTGTAAGGATTTGTGCTCCTGTTGATCCTGTGAACTGACCCAGGGTAGAATCCTTCGATGACCAGCCAAACTGTTGGTGTAAGAAAATTATCCATAAATATAATTAATTAGGCAATGCTTATTTTATGTCGTAAATGTGACGAACAATCATACGGATTGTCTCAATAGTTACTGTGACTCATAGATGTTTAAACTTTTTGAAAAGTCAAGTATGCACTGACAACATAATCTTGTTAGGTACCTACTTTTTGAAGAACCACATGCTTTTGTTACTCTTTACTTTTCAGATCGAATCAATCGATCAGCATCTTGCTTAATATTAGAAACAGGCGTGACTCTGCCCCTATCAAGGCAAATTACATAAAACTAATACTATAGTGTATTTATGATAAAAAAGTAATATAAACTTACTCCGCAAGTATTAGATAGTTCATTTTCCTCTTGTTCTTTGCGTATCATTGCTATTTTTTGGGAGACGATCGACGCTACATCCTAAAAGAAAAAATATACTCTAAGTATTTTCAAATTAAATTCCTACTTTTGTCATGCATTCTCTTATTTGGTTATGCAGAAATACAATTCATATTATCTTCTTGTATTAAATGAATATTATCTACTTTAATATATAAGTAAGTATTTCAATGTTTAATGTATTATTTCAGTTCTCCTAAAATATAATTCAGAAAAACAAATAGAATGTAATTTTAAGATATTACATTTTTTTTTGTATATGTAAAAATAGTAAATATTTCTATATACAAAAGGTAGTAAGATCCTAAATTCAACTTACTTTTATAGTGCAATGAGCTAATATCGAAATAGTAAATTCTTTTTAAATGATTTCAAACAGAAAGAAGTTTCAATTCGATTATATTTTTTGTTTGTTATTTCATAACTCCGTCAGTTATAAACTGATTTGAAAAATTTTATCTGAAAGGATATATTTACCAAGACTAATCTGGTTTCAAAGATTTTTTTTATATAACATAGGGGGCAGGTGAGCATGCGGCTCACCTGATGGTAAGTGGCTATTGCCGCCTATGATCACCCACAACACCAAATGCATTGCAGGTGTGCTGCTGGCCTTTTAAAAAGAAATATACTCTTTTCTTGAAGGTTGTGATGTATCGTTTTGGAAATATTGTTGCTGGAAGTTGATTCCAAAGAGTGGTGTGTGTGTGCAAGAAAGTGCCTTGAAAAATGCACGGTGGAAGATCGCCACTCATCCAGATGGTCGGGAGGAAACTTGATAGTTAATAAATTGCTTTTTAAATCAAAGTAATTGTTCTGCTACGACGAAATTAGTTTTTTTTTTTTGTGAAGCAGAATCTTAAATTATGATAGTTTTAGAACAAACTTACTATTTTGGAATTTTCAATTCCCGGTGGGTATGCTTGAGGTCCTGGCGCAGGTAACGCAGGGGGTACTGAAGACAGTTCTAGAAAAATAAACTAACTGTAGTGTTTCACAATAAACAACAATTTGATATTTCTATAAATATAATTTTACTCCAAATGGACTATATTATATACACGACATACAACCTCCGTTGCGATGTGGTAGGTACGTAGTTTCCATTCTTGGTCAGCTCAATTTGGACAAACATTTTAATTGATTTGGTTGTGGGTGTTCTGAGTTGTGCCTCCAGGTATTCGTTCCTTGGCTTCTCATAACACAGCTTATCTTAACTTCAGGATCAGACGATTGGTATGATCGTGTGATACTTATTATATATAAAAATTAAAAATAATAATAAGCAGAGATTATTACTACTACTTCTACATTTGATGCCAGGTAAATAAGACTTCCATGGTAGGTTAGATATAAATATTATACTTACGGGTTCCCGATGTGAAACTCTTCATATAGGCAGGCGTTTCGGGTACGGGCGGAGCTGGTAGCGCAAGCGGACCCGGCCTGATGGACAAATATTAAAAAATATATTTGTAAATAAGTACTATGGACAACTTTATCCCGGCGTTCTTATTATATTCTTCTCGTTTTACTACTCTAGATGGCCTTAGGGATATTACTGTTTCAAGTTTCTAATTTTAAATACATGTAAATAAATAATAATAATTGTCAGGCAAGAATAAAACAACGATGTCACAATAATGTTAATAAATATACTGTATAACTAAAAAAACATTATTTATTTTACAAATGTTTAGATGTTTGTTACTCATTTACGTTTAAACAGTTGAACCGATTTGAATGAAATTTGGTAATAGTGTATTGGGTAAGGTTTTATTTTAACACATAGGACACTTCATATGCTAATTCAGCTGTGCAAAGTCATAGTAAGTTACTACTTGATTATAAAATGAGGCTAATGTAATGCTCACCAGAGGGGTTAAATAGTTACATAGGGTATTAAGATATTAATTTATTTATTTAATATAAAACAACTTACTTTGCAGTTTCTGCAGTGTTTGAAGCGATCGCTGTTGTTGTTGTTTTTGTTGGCTTCGAATTTAGCTTTGCAACTTGCTGGAAAACATTTAGTTATACATTAAAAGATGACAGTTTAAAATAATATTACATCTTATATAACTAACTCAAAATAGGCAGAAAAGTTATAATGAAATATTTGCTTAAAAAAGGGAATAAAATAATTTTAAATTGTATAATAAATCTAATTACCATATCTTTCTTAGGTGGCGAGACTGGGACCCATTCTGAAGCCTTCTCTCTGTGCTGGGAGCCAGAAGATACTGGAAACTGGAGTCTGAGTTCCTCTTTGTTGGCTACGGGCAGTGTAGTAGTTTTGATAGGTAATGGGGCACCACCCTGCATATAGTAAAATTAAGGTAGAGTGAGGGCTATGTTAAAATAGTTCTATTTATATCCTCGTCATTTTGTAATAGTAACCCACCAGTAGTTTTACATAAACCAACAGTTGACAGAACACCTATAATAAAATGTGGTACAAGATTGCGTTTTATATCACATTTTATTAGTCAACAAAATTGAAATGAATTTACTAGATTGATGAGGATATGGAGAGAATTAGGTTGATTTTTAAAAACTATTTGATCTGTGGTGGTATAATATACTACTTTATCTTTTTTGATTGCAGGTGAATAACGTACAAACTATTTTTTTAAAGAAAATTTACTAAAATGTTATTTTTACTAAGTTTATTGTTATTAATGAAATACATTCAATTTCATAGTTATAAAGTATGCTTATATTTATGATTTCATTCTACATAAAATAAATGTATAAAAAAGTTTAATATCTTTTTGAACTTACCCTTATATTCATGACAATAGGTGCTTTTTCCTTTACAAGGAATGGATGATGGAATGCTAGGGTATCCTCATTTTCACTCATATCATCATCATTTGAGGACACTGAAGACAGTTCACCAAGAGCTTCCTTCTTTGACAAATGCTTGCAAAAGTCTGTTAGCTCATCAACAGATTTACCTGTTGATTTTAATTGGTGATTAACATATTAAGAATCTTGTGTGAAAGTAGTTTGTATATAAAATTTATAAATATTTCAATACTTTATTATTATATTCAATTTTCATAAACATTTAATTTTATATACAATCAATATTTCATTACTTTATAATTTTGTTAAGTTTTTTTTTTATAAATCTACTGGTCTATAGTAAAATGTATTTAAAAAAATACAAGATATAATATTAAAATCAGTTATAGTGTTTAGAGCAGATCAATATCTGCAAGTATTACCTGTTCATGAGTATTGTGGATAAGTAAATAATCATTCTTAAATTATTAATGCTATCAGCCATTGAGTCAGCACACTGTATATATATTTTAATATTTGCAAAAAAAAAAAAAATTAGTACATGACTTGTGAGGTTTCTAAAATATGGTTAAAGGCACTGATGGCTGGTTCATCCGTCATACTCTTGAAGAGTATCAAACATTGCAAAACTTTACATTTATGTGTATGATTTTTTATTTACCACCAGATTGTATGGCAGCCATGACTTGATTTCTCGTATGCGGCGGCAATGCAGCTGCACCGGCGGGGACTGCGCCATTTTTGAGCATATTAATTGCATTCCTTCTGGCTACTTCCAGAAGACGTTTCTTCTCACTATCTGCTAATTTTACTCCAGTAGGTGATCTATAAACAATAAACAATTATTTTATTTTATACTTTATTGCACCATTTATAAAATAGTAAATACATTTAATTGTAATAAGAAATGATCAATCTCTTCCAGACAACCTTTAGGTAGAGGACATTGAGAAAAGAAAAAAAGACAAAGGGTAGGTGGCGCACTATTATACATGAACAAACATATCAAAAAAAGACAGATGAAATTTCTAAAAATAATCCTTTTGGCATCTATTTGTCTTATTAAGAGTTCACATTTTAACTTTTCTTAAATATTTCTCATGTACAGTTTAGCAACATAGATTATTTTTACAACATATATTAGTAACATACATTGTTTAGTTACAATTATATGATACTAGTTTTTAGCAGTGACTTTGTCTGCATGATATATTTATTATCTGGGATAAAAAGTAACTTATATCGTTCTTCATGTCATATATGTGTATACAATATTTTAGTCTACAAATCTATTCTAACTATTATAGTATTTGGTAACTTTCTTTTAAAAAAAAAATAAACACGCCAATAGGTAAAATAGAATTATTGAGTCATTTAATGTTTTTATGAATAAGTGGGATGATCTATCTATATGTATACAGTAACTACAAACAAATTTAGTCTGACCTGGACCTTCTACTCCTATGTCGGGGCGATCGATGACGGGACCTCACTCTGGATCTAGAGTGTGACCTTCTCCGCGATCTTGACCGATGTCGGGATCTACTTCTCCGCCGCGATTTCGAACTTGAACGACGATGCCGCCTTGTTGAACGTGACCTTGACCTCCTCGATTTGCTTGTAGATCTAAACAATATTTTTTAATAGATGTGTTTTGCATTTACCAATTTTACTTTAAATGTATTTATAAACATTAAATCTATAACCAGACAATATTTCATATTTCAAGTATTAAAAACAATTTGCAACTTTATTTATTTTAAAAGTACAGCTCATCATCATATCAGCTATTATTTTTCCACTGCTGAACATAGGGCTTCCTCATAGACTACCATAAGGAATAGTCCTGAGCTACATGCATCTGACTTTTTGCAATGTATTTGAGATTATCACTTCATCTAGTGAAAGGTTATACTACATTGTGTTTGCCTGTATTGGGTTGCCACTCTAGAACCTTTCTTCTCCATCAGTTGCCAGTTCTTCAAGCAATGTAGTCAGTCTATTGCCACTTAGCTTTCTTATCCTTCAAGCTACCTCAGTCACTTTCTTTTGTGGATATCCTCATTTCAGATAGATGATTCTAAATATATATTTGTAAAACAGTACTTACAACTACTATTATAGTATTATATTATCTGTGCTACAACAGACTATGCAGAGATGCTTACAGAATTTGTATAATAATGTATAATTGTATTATAATATTAATCCAATGAGTGTTGCCTTATCTGTGATATGGTTTTACAGGTTCTTTGAAGCCTGAAGCAAGTTACAATAATTTTTACACTATAGTACTGAAATCCACATACCTTTTCCGAGATCTACTGCTATCTCTTCTAGAAGATTTGCGGGAACTCTCTGTAGTTTTGCTCTTTTTAGTGCTATTTTTTTCTTCTTCAGATCTACAATCATATAAATAACATAATATTGAATATAATAGAGAATGAACTTATTAGTTAGATGACTATACAAAAATTGTTTATAAAAGTATTAAAATGCTTCCAAAACAAAATAGTATCTTCATTTTTTAACATTATACATAATTTTAAACATATTGAAATTATACAATACATAAATTTATTATAGTATAAGTATAAGAAATAAAATGTCTGTTTCTGTATAGCTCTGTTTTGAGTATTTTACTATTAAAACACATATATAATAGAATTACAATAATTTTTTTTAGATACACTAAACAACATCCGTGAAAATGCAAAAATAGAAAAATGGGAAAAGTGGGATAAAAGCAGAGCCATTCATCTGAAGAAAAAAAAACTATAAAAATGTAAAACAAATTTTAGTAGTATTAACTTTATGGTGAATTCAATCGAAATTTTAAAAACAAGAACCCAAGGGTTTTCACTGACTGAAGTATTCCCATAAGGTTATTTGTCACCGAAGAAGTAATACTAGACTGTATAGTCTAGAGTATTGTCTAGTATGAATATGGTGATAATTGAACTTACAATTTAGATTCTTCTGCAGCTTGTTTTTTGAGAATGCCTCCAGGGTCTGAAGATTTGGGAAACTGTGAGTTTGACCCAACTTCCTTAACAGAATCACTAGATGAATCTGTGTATTCCCCTTCTTCATATTTCTCTGCTTTTTTTCTTGCCTCTTCTTCTGCTTTCTTTACAGTCTCCTCAAACACAGTACTAAATTTTAAATTCTTAATTTGAATTTTACCTTTGGACTTATCATTTTCAGTATTTGTTTCATTTTTCTTAGTGTCCAATTTGTTTCTCAGATCGTTTTGATCTTTAGGAGATTCAGGCATAGGGATCAAACTAGTATCAATAAAACTAATGCTGTTTGAATCTTCCGTTTTAATAGGAACTTGCTTTTTAAGTTCTTCTTTTGGTTCTGTTTTAACTTGCTCAGTTTTAACTTTCTCAGTTTTAACTTCAGTCTTGATCTTTTCCTCTTTGACTTTAATATCTTCTGATTTTTTAGCATGTTTGGTTTCACTTTTGACTGTCACAGGATCATGTTTAATTCGCACAGGAGTTCTTGAACGAGGAGAATACGAGGGAGATCGTCCGTAGTCTTTACGTTTTTTGCTTTTACTTTTTTTCCGTTTTTTACGTTTATGGGAATACTCACTGTCATCAGAATCACTACTGCTGCTGCTACTCCGGCTGCGCTTCTTCTTCTCTTTTTTGTGTTTCTTTTTACCCTTCTTTGATTTCTTTACGGTAACTTCATCGATTTTAGGCGGATCTGCATTAAAAGCACCGAAAAGCTCCGACAAAATCTCACTCGATGATTTAGTTGAATCATCCTTTTGTTTCCTTTCTGGAGTAGTTTTTTCCCTTTTAATTAATTGTTCTATTTTATTTATCAAACTAGTCATTTTAATTTGCATTAAGAATACAATTAAAACGTGAATTATATAAAAATGAAAACATTAATAAGCCATATTGCTGTTTCTATGACATGACACATGACATTATGATTGTGACATCTAGTCTGGGTTAGTTTTTTTCTTTTTTTGGTTTCGGCTTCTTAGGATAGCACTAGCCATTTTCAAGTTTGATTAAAAAGCAGAGAAATTGACGCGGAACAAAACAGGAATATAGTAGAGTTGAAAGAGAAGATGTAAGGTATTCAAGCGTATAATAATAAATTAAAAATAGTAAATAAATATATAAATTTATAACTAAAATTGGATTGAAACAGAATAGATGTATAATTATATACAGTTTTATATATTTATATCATTACTATAAAATGAGAAAGGATTCTGTAAACTACTCAGTTGCTATAGTTTAATAATACATTAATATTAGTGGGGAGGAAAACTTTTAGGAAATTAAGGAATATACAATTGCAAATGATTGTAGAGAGGATAGAATAGAAAAATATGATTCAAATTTCCAATGATGCCACATTTACATATAGCTCTATCTATAATATTAAATCGAGTAAGATTTGCAGAACAGGTATGATTTATTCTCATTCTAATTAATAAACTAGTCTACTAGTTTATCTTGCTCAATTTAATTCTGTCTTAATTCTTCAAGTCTGGGTTAGTTATAATTTAAGGACAAAGATTTCGGGAACGAAGCAAACCATAAACGTATGTAGTAGGGATGAACAATATTGATGAAATATAGATAAGTAATGATATTGATAGCGTAGTATCGATATTTCGATATTCTAAACCAAAAAATATCCATGTTTTATAATTTTAAGGTACGTTAGTGTTATGATAGAATAGGAAACAGTTACAGTAGATCGACTGTAAGTCTATAAGTTATGTGTTAAAAATAATCTAAGAAATAGTTGACTTCATACGTTTATCTAAGAATGAGTGAGACTGATTGAAGATAAAGTTATGACGCAACATCGTTCATAAAAACACTGATGTTAAAAGATTTGTGTATCGTTGCTAATATATTTATAACGTAATTTAACGTACATTTAATGATTTTAGTTTAATTATTATAATATAATGAAATTCATAAAATATGAATTCCGTGATACATTTGTATTTTGTAAAATATTAAATAAATAAAAAAAAAGCAATGACAATATTTTGTTAAAAAATATTGATATTTCGATATTTACGAGTTTCCTTACCAATAGTTTAATTTTGATATTTTTTATTTAAATGTCAATATTTTATTAATATAGATAAATATCGTTCATCTCTAGTACATAACAAGTATGTTTCACTACAATAATAGTAGGTAATAGATATTAAAGATGGCTAGAAAATGTTTGAAATGTTAATTATTTGTCAATGACAAATTTTACATTACTAGATTATATATTCGATACAGTTTATGAAGAAAGTTTGCAAGCAGGTTATACCTGAATTTAGTAGGGTTATACGGCCGTATACATTTTTTTTATAGGTGTTAATGAAATAGTAACCCCACCCGCGCTATCGGTATACACCGGCGGGGCACTAGTGAAGGATGATAGATGAGGATGAAGTAGACCAGTTAGCCCATCGTGACGAATTCAACGAGAATTGTTCACGATGGTTTCCAGGAGGAACCACGTGTAGATTGACCTGATAGGGCATATTGCTAGCAATGAGGCTGTCAAACTCAATTGCTAACAATCCCTTTCCCCCCAAACCGGTATACATTTTCTATATGCTAGCCTGCTATGAACTGAGAAACTTGAAAGTGATGGTATATCTTTCATCTTCTTTTTACTAATTTATATTTAAATAAGAAGAAAGTAGACAACCATGTGATTTACAATTTTTATTTTATCATTCCTACTTTATAATTTCTTGTTCTTGGTTTCTTCTATGTAATTCCTTGTTCTTAGGCGATTACTCGCTCTGTGGTAGGTAGTAGGTACATAGGCATAGATTTCTGAATGAATGCATACTCACAAAACGATAATTTTTTTGGGTTGCATTAAATTGTAGATAGTCTCCAAGGTAGTATCTTTAAGACATTTATTGTATGGTAGATATTTTGAGAACAATAATTCCTCAGTATTACCAACATGAAGTTCTATAACAAAGAAATATTTATTTATAACTAGCGGCCCGTCCCGGCGTCGCACGGGTGGACATTTTTACATTTTAAAAAGTGGCCATTAAGGCTGCACACGCGACGGAAGTTTGAAAATGGAGTAACTTCTCTCGTTTTCCCAACATTTCCCTTCACTGCTCTGCTCCTATTGATCGTAGCGTGATGAAAGTATATTATAACCCGCCCAGGAGTATGAAGAATAATTGTACCAAGTTTTGGTAAAATTCGTCGAGTAGTTTTTGTTTCTATAACGAACATACAGATAGACAAACAAAAATTTTACTGATTGCATTTTAGGCATCAGTATCGATCACTAATCACCCCCTGATAGTTATTTTGAAAAATATATTTCATGTACAGAATTGACCTCTCTATAGAATTATTATAAGTATAGATAGATTTATTACAGTAAGTACCTACAGCAGTTTCTACGTATTATAACAAAAATGTTTGTTATAATTCCCGTCCTCGTCGTTTTATTCATATTCCCATAAACAGTTAAGCAAATCCAATAAACACTTACATACAAATTAGAGCGACAATATTTCGGAGGTCTGTAGCGGTTTGCTGGCAGATATGAACATTTTCAATTCATGAACAATTTCTGATAATTTTTGCGTAATTTAAAGTGTAGTGTAGATGTATGCAGTTATTTAAGAGTAGGTATTAAGTAAGTTAAGTTTTTAAATGCTGTATGTCAGAATTATTATAACTCTTTCCTAAGAATTGAGTGAAGAAATTATTGCCTTTAATCTAGGTATAATCGTTATGTCTCAGAATTAAAATTATAATGTTAATTTAAATTAAAACTTAATATATATACACACACAGTAGACTCTGTTATGTCTGTGATACTGCTCATGTCTATAGGCGACGGTTACCATTTTCTATCAGGTGAGTCGTTAGTTTGTTTGCCATTCAAAGTTGTATAAAAAATATATCTTTTGGTATTGTACAAGAAAATTTTGTGTAAATGACAAGCTTAATGTCATGTAACATGGAAAAGGACATAGGCTATTATATCGGCCAATCAACATAATATGTACCAGTCGCGAGTAAAAGCTAGTCCATTATAAATTTAGTTCATAGTGGTTATTAATTTTATAACGTTTATGCATATTTAAACTAAAATTATAATTTTAGAGATAAATACATTGGGGTATTGAAGATTAATTTCTAAAAGCCTCTAAACTAACCCTTTAAAAATGACTCTGTAACATTACTCTTAGATTTGTCTTTGCTTATTGCTGAAAGCTCTGTTGCTGAGATTAGAGTGGGCACCAGACGATTTCGGGGTGGGCACGGGTCATTCAGTCTTTCTCTTATATATATATATATATATATATATATATATATATATATATATATATACTTTATTACACTAAAACATACATTTATAATAACAAATTAGTGACAAAGTAAGCAAAGGTGAACTTATATCTCTGTATAAATAGAGAATGGTAACTTTTTCGTTTTATGCAAGAATATGTACTTAATAAATATATCTACTTACATTTAGGAGTATTCTTTAGCAAGGGGAAGCTATTCCTCATTGCAAGCAATATAACCTTGTCAGATTGATTTCCATGTGGTCCTTCCAGAAATTATCATGTAACCATGATAATTTCTTCCCAGTGAATTCGTCATTCTGAATAAACTAATTTTACTTCATTGTGTTCGTTATATGATAAGCATAAGCTAGTACATAATTTCATTTTCATATATTAAAAAGACATAAAATTTTTGTTTTACGCATGTACTTTAATTAGTTCGAATATTTTAGATTGAGGATTGAGGACTTAGATTTTAAATAAAACCACTTTTTTATGTTATGTCTTTATTGTTTCAATACCTTTGCAAGGTAGGTGATAAACTGATAAATCATACAGAATGGACACTACATTCTTTAAAGCTGCAGGAATTAAAATTTAACTGCGATTTCACTGCAATAATGCAGCGCTAAGGACGGAGCTCGTGTCCTTTAATAACCATTATGTATTTATGGATAGTTTCGGAAATATGGTCTTACAATTAATAATTTACAAGAAATTCTCGAACTACATATATGCGATGTAGATATTATCCACTTAAGTAGGAAAGCTTATAGCATGATTGCATGTGTAATGAGTGTTTTTATTTCAAATGAGTTGCCATCGATTCAAATTGGCTATTTGTAATTATATTATTTGTATCTATGCTTTTAATTTAAAAGAAAATCCAAATTCGAAATTCGAACATATTATTTTTAATAGAATAGTTTTCAACAAATTTTCACACTGAACAAGAACAATTCTAGAAATCCAGTAAAATTATACTTTCAAATTTGGCTTCTCAAATTATGAATTTAAGATGGAAGCTCCTTGCATTGAGCAACATTTAATACAGTCAATATAACGTACCAATTTTATTTTAATAACAAATTAAATATAAATACTAGATACTTAGGCATACTTACACAACTGAAACAAAATATGTTTTTCTGTATGGTAGGTACATTTGTTGTTACTTTTATAAATAATATCCTACCTCGGATATCATTTCTACACATTGTTATCTAGTTGCCAGTCTTTCGGAAGACAATCTAGTCTATGAATTTGGTAAACCAATGACTATACATACTAGCATTAAACGCAAAGCAATAAATAGTATCACATAATAGAATCTCAATATAATTAAAATCGATGATTAACTTCTTAATCTTCCACGGTTATAATACGTACAGCAAACGCCCAATATAGCCTACATACTCGATATAGGTATGTAGTTGTAAAATATATTCCCGTATTAAAATACCTACCTAACTACTTTTCGTATCAAACTTTAGATGATTTTTCAAATATCCAACAATGTATATTGCTTTATATACAAGTGAAACCGAAATGTTAGTATTTTCTTATAGGAGCATTCTACTAGCGAAGGTGAATAGTTTTCCTGAAAGGAACATGAATTGCAAACCAACAATAAATGTTGATCCTTTCATACTAATTTGACAGCTAGACGTGGTATGTTAATTAGTATGGAAGGCTCAAAATGATTTCGATTTCACTTTGTATGCAAAACAGAGTTGTCGAAAATTTTATCGTATCTGAAAACTAGGCTTAATTAGATTCGTTAGTAAAAGTTTTAATAGGGGCATACACTTAACAAAATAACAAAGGCTAGTTTTCAGTTTATATCTCATTTCATGCATGTTAATTTTTAATTTATAAAATCTCATCTAATCTAATATTTTAATAAAATAATTCAAATCAATTTAAAAACGACAAATCATTCATTAACTTATTAGAATGAAAGTTATGCAATTTTATACCTACATAATGGATACCATCAGTTTAAGTTAAAGGTGCTTGAATTTTAATTTGTCGAATTGTGCAATCTGTGGTGCAGTTACGGGAACAATTCCTTCTCATGTAACTCGATATATTTCCAACACCTCTACTTCGAATATACGCTAACATTTTTATCACACAGATCATAACGGGTCCCAAAATTTTTTAAACCATGAGACAGAATAGTTTCCGCCCGATCAACGAGTGGAAATGGTAAGCGTTCGCCTAAATGAGGACTAACTGTGTCAAGAAGCAATAGAACCTCGTTAAGGGATAGGAGATGAGTGTTTTTGGTTACGCAAATGTATTCTGTGCAATTTTTTATATGATTTTTTTAATGAGTTTGCACTTGATCAACTTCCTACAGCTTGGCACTTGGAATGCTCTATTCAATACATAAGTTGCGCAACCAGGTTAAGTAAGTACATACATAGTGCCCATTCATTTCTTCCTCTTATTCATCATAAATCTTTGGTATATATCTGAACTTAACAAGTTCAGGTTCCTAGTGATTCTAGACAAGTTAGAATCATTGAGATCAGTGACTAGGCTAGCGCCAGAGAACGCAGCGTACGACTACAGCTCTCGAATCTGCTGCGAAGCATATAATGATAGATGAATATTCAACATTCGTTGTCGACGATTTCAAAGAGTAAAGACACAATCTAGAGTAGGTATAGTTTTAAAAAAGCTAACGGCTGAAATATTATGCAGAGGCTCTAGTTTTGAATAGAAATTTAAAAAATTATCACGGTTGGATATTATAATTTGTATCGCGCAGATCGAGAGCGCTAGCCGCGACAATCTTAAAGCTACTACTAAAATTCTCTAAGCGATCAAAGATCGCAAGCTAGATTGATTTTTCAAAAGTCTTAAAAAAATAAAATCTGCTAGTGATCAACTTTTTACGCGCTAGCGAGGGCGCAAAACGGCGCGCACCGTTCGGAAACGTTTCTCAAAGCCAAGCTTGGAGTAGAGAGAACGGGACGCGTCGTTTTCCGGACGAATCACGACGAATGGCTTATACCCACGAGCGGCTACCTCTTTGGTTAGACGCCTGGCCAGGTAAATGCCATAGCCTTTTCTACGAAATTCGGGGCGAGTTTGCATTGAGAACATTGCTCCATAGTAGGATTGGACCATCCACGCGGCCAGCTGGCCTTCGACGAAGATCCCATAGGCGGGCAGTTCAGCGACCAGCTTTTCAAAAACCTCACGGCACTCGATGTCGCTCGCTGGGTACAGGTCATGTACCGCTTTCATATTTTCCGGCTGCAGGCGAACTAGCTCCACGTCCGATGGCAGCCTAGGAAAAATTTAAAATACAATTGGATCATGCTATTAATAAAAGATGGATTAAAAAGGCTGTAATATTTAGTGAGTTAAAATGTATATTTTGGATTTCAAATTTTATGGATTTTTATAAAAATTGGTTAATTACTATTATATTATACTTAAAGGTAAGGGAAGAAAGATATTTCAGTGAGAATAATACCCATCAGTATCGGCCTCCTCCGGTGGGTTATCACAGACGTACACATCACCAGTGATCTTGTCATGGGCTTCATAGTGTCTCTCGAAACGGTTGACTATGGCTTCGTGGGTGAAGTTCAGGTACAACGGCTTGGTGAGATCCAGTAGGACGTCCTCGGATGTGAGTAGGTCCACCAGCTCAGCGCGCTCGGACGGGCAGAACACCGTCACGCTCTCGTATGGGTGGCTGTTAGGCTGGAAGGTACGACGCAGTTTTATATCAAAAAGTAAAGATTTTATTTTAAGAGTATTTATTACTAACACTAAATAGACATGACCACAGATAGGGTATATATCCACATTATCTAAGACTACTAGTAAAACGGCTATAGCAGTATGCTACCATTAGGATTTTGTTCCATAAAACATATTTTGACCAACATGAAAATAAAGCCTATCTATTGTAAATATATACATCAAAATTGGTGGAGAAACTTGATACGGACTGACTTGTATTGCTAGTCTACCTACTGTCTGTCTACGATGTAGCGATGTGATGATAGCAGATAGTAAATTTAAAAAAAATCAATAAATAACTCATAAGACAAATAAATATAAGAACTATGAAAAACATTAAGAATAAAATGAAAGAACGTAGAAAATACAGTTACTGCGGACTACAAATCGATGTAGAGTCCATAGTGTATCCAATTCTGATCAAGTATTTTAACTTACTAGTTGACTTTACACATCAGCGATCGTATTTCAAATCTTGTAGTTTGTAGACTACATAAAAAATTAATTAATAAAAATAAATATAAAAATTCGAAGTGGGCGGAGTTTAAACCGTACCTTTCTACATCATGTCAGGGTAAGGTAAGCTTTTAGTTTTAGCTCTTACTTATCTACAGATAAGTCCGAAAAAACACGCTATAATGAGTGACTCAGAAGGAAAGGTGAGTAAGGCCTTGTTATTATATAAGTAATATTGTATTAATTTTAGATTTAATTCTATTTATCTATTTAGACTTAAAGTACAGAGTGAATACATGTACATGTCAATAACTTTATAATTATATAAATAATATTCAGTAGTAAAGCCAAATAATTAGAATAAGAGTAAAACATATATAAAATTTGTACACAATAGTTTATAGTGAAATTGAGGTGGTAAATATTCATGTTAAAACGTTGAACGTACGTTGAAGTTCTCTTCACGACGCGACGTGAGGGTGTGACGTCATTACACGATGAGTAGGGTTGTCACAACAGGAAAAGACGGAGCGGTTAAATGCCTCACTTTGAGGCTTGGCTTTACAAAGTTATTTCCGGAAACATTCAGTGGCCTATTTCACTGAACTATAGACCGGTTGACGGTAATAGAGTAAATATTACTGTCAATACTACGTATTTTACTTGTTTAGTATTCTCTTTCTTCCTGAGTATGTGTGAAAAAAAAAACGCTGTGTAAATTCTATAAATATATTATAAATAAGACTATGTTCCACAAAAGAAATATGTAATATCAAATCTAATGTTATAGGTCGTATACGTTTACGTAAGGGTCGGCAACGCGCGCGTAATACCCCTGGTACTGCAGGCGTTCATAGGCTACATTAACCGCTTACCATCAGGTGGGCTGTATGCTTGTTTGCCACCTCAGTGGTATAAAAAATCGAATGATAAAAATATTCAAGTTTATGTAGGTAGGTACAAAAGTAAATTGATAGAAAGGACAAGTCACGCAATATATTAACAATTATAGTAGACCGCCATTGATATTACAGATATATAGTTGATAACTCAGAACTTTGCTTTCATTGTCGGTATCTGATTTATGTTATGCACTTATTTACATATTTGAAAGTAGTTGATCTATTACGTATGTAGATGTAACTAGAGTCTAGTTACTAGATTGATTAGGATAAAATTTTGTTAAGAATTCAATGCTCAACTGTGGACATAAGATACGGTGGTTTATCCCATGATTGACTGACATCCCGCGACTTTATTTAGAAAAAAAAAAAGACTAGCTAGAAATGAAATAACTTAATCATCGTTTTTTTATAGAATGTTAGACCCTATTTTTAATGGATGAAAATGAAATGGTAACCCGTTTGCGCTATTGGTGTATGCTGGCGAAGCACTAGTGAAGGGTAACAGGTGAGAATGAAAACATGTCAGTTACCCCATCGTGACGAATTCATGAATCAACTATAGATGGTTTCCAGGAAGAACCGCGTGGAGGTTGACCTCATAGGGAATGAGCAATTTGAACGGTAGTTCCAGTTAATAATAATTCCTTCTCTACCTTATTTGACCCTACTAATTAGATACACATTATTTCGTTTGTTGTCGTTCAATAATCGTTTGCAATAAAATGTATCTTACCGTACTGGTACAGCCAGGGAAATGCAGACAAATTGGATCCTCCGGCCAATTTTTTGCTACATAAAAATGGAAGTCCCACACTTTGTTGTTTAGATATGTTTGAATCGTTTGATGGAACTGGAAAGAGAAGAAAAATATTTGTTACAATAATACCACTTATATTAAAGTTGCGTACGAACGTCAAAATTTTGTTCACGACCATTAAAATCGATCGGTAGAATCAATCTCTCTTCACACGAACCCGTCTTATTCACTTTACTATTGATCTGCCAAATAGTAATATGTAGCGTTGTAGATAAGTTCTATGTATTTAAAAAACCTAGTAAAAGTACAGTTTGAAAAAAAAATCCTTTTACTCTGCAAAAAGTGCCAGGAATTTTGTTAGAAAAATTATACTGCTCGTTTTGTACATAAGTAAAGTTTTAACTAAAGTTCTTAATGCCCTTAACAGATAATGTAAATATCTTTATTAAACTACGATAAATCCTGCCATATATCCTTGCTGTTGCTGCTGGAGCTAGGATTGCACTCTGTTACTTCGGATTAGTACATTTTGCTGAGTATTCGTACAATACGCAGTATAATATGGCCAAGTATATTGTTACATTTATCAAAATAGCAATGGTCGTCAAAAGACGAGTACACTAGATAAGAATCTAATGTCTATTCTGAAATGTACAATTACCTTTAAAGATTCAGGCATATACTGTACTAAGATATCGGCTACTGCTGGGAGCTCGTCTTCTGTTACCAATCGAAAGTTTTTCCCCTCGGGCACGATTTCCATCTCTGGAACAAACATGGCACGTGCTTTTATTGGTTCCCGCATTGTGTTACCAAGTCACGCGATGAAATGTGAGTTTGTTATTAAATGTTGTTTATGTATTATAATAATACAGGCTTATTTTAGGCATATATATATATTAGATATTCTGTTTTGCGCTCATTTTTGCATTTTGCATAACGTGAAAAATATTCTGTGTTGTCCAAATTTTACCATGTGTAGATACTTACATAGATATATTTCAACAGCATCGTTAACTTATTTAAATGAACAACTTTTTGATAGATACCCGAATTTGGAGTATCTATTCAGGAGCTTCAGACCGTAATCTCCGAAATTTTATACTACGAGTATATTGGATTGGATCGTTGCATTCGGTATTTTTATTTATGTATAAAGTGTGAGTTTTATTGCCAATCTCTTTACCGATCACCTTTACTCTTGAAATTAGGCAATTCTAAATAAAATTTAGTAGACTGTAAGAAATCCAGGGACATATCTAAAGCGAATATTATTTTTCTAATTATTTAGTTCTATGTATATAATGACGACTTCAAAAAATTTTATACGAACTACATTTTTAGGTGACAAATAATAACGGCAAATGGATGCTGTTGATATATTATTATAATAAATATATTTATTATAAATGATAGCAGCAATATTAGTAAAATGATAAAGTTGTTATGATCTTACCATTGCTAGTAAAAAAGATAATGGCATAGATACTATTTTAGAAAGTGCCATAAAATTCCATTGCAATTTTAAAAATTAACATTTACCATAGTTTTATTTTTTTATTACCATAGTTTGTACTTTTTGAATGCGAATCAGAATTTTTTTATTATTATAAATTCTAAAATGTGAAGCATGAGAGGCGTGTTACTACCCCTCCATGATTTGGTGTTAATTTTTTTAAATGATAAAAGACACTATTATCAGAAAATGTTGATTATCATTATGATTTGCTGCATCATTATCATTAATGATAAGATCATGACAGGATTACAATAAACAATAATGTGTTAAAAGGTTTATGAATTAAGTATAAAAAGGGTTTGAGACTTCTGAAAATTAATATTAATAAAAATGGCAAAGCGATGATGTATCAATTGTAAAGAAGGTAAGAATTCATTCACATTACCGTGGGTATAAAAGAGTTATAACCTACAAGACTAGCAACGTCTGTATTGCCTGCAAAAATTTCAATTATATCATGATAGTGGCACAACAAAGCAAACAAGCAACGCATTGTATAAAATAAGCTCTTATAGGAAAGTATACAATTCTTATTAAACTCATATATATATATAATATGAAGTAAATATTTCTACAAGTGTTTTGTAATTTTAGGGTAATTAAAAAAATAGTCAGAAATATAGAAATGTATGATGAGGATGCAGACGTTGCTAGCTTCGGTGGAACGCGCTCAACCTAAGCAGGTACACATAATGTCTACAAACCTGCGGTGAAGAAGCATGGTGGACTATGGTCCATTCCCTTTTTGTGATGGTGTCCTGTGCCCTGTAGTGGAACGATATATTGTATACGAATGTATGTAATATTGTAGCCATAATCAAATTAAAGTTTTATTTAATTCACAGTTAATGTGCAGAATACCATATGACAGTAACATTAGGTAATCATGAGAATCTGAAACAAACCTAACTTATATAAATAAAAATATATTCATTGATCAAAAGTTTGATCGTCGTTGCTGGCAAATTACTTAGCCAGACTTTTTATATATTTATATTATTCTTTAGAAATAAAGAATATGCTTTTTCATATATGTAATTTATTTCAAACCTCGGAGTTCTAATTATTAGATTATTTTTATTAGTAGGAAATATTATAATAATAATCAAACCCACTGTTTATGCGTTATAAAGCTATTTTATATCTTTTGGTTTCCTAATATGAAATACATAGTTTCTAACATACAAAATATTATAAACACGTAATTGTTTTGAATAGGTAAATTTATTATTTAAAAGAAAACAAGAGAGCATTGTGACTTAGTATTAGCTACATAGGTGTTAATAAATTACTCTGAGACTCCATATCTATAAGTTGGTTTATGAATAAAATAATATTGTGTTGTCTTAGATAGAGCATGTTGTTCTAATTTTATATGTCCAGTTTCAAAACATTAACAACTTTAAAGAAATAAATCAGTAATGGTAAATTTATATTTGAGTATGTTTGATAAAATTTGGGTAAATCCAGTGTCAAGTTCACCACAATGGCAACAGTGGACAAAATATTTAGGAAAATTGAGATTCAGCAAGTCAATATTTTCTAGATATGTATTTTCATGGGAGGTTACTACCGTAGGAGCAATATTTGGTAGCTATAAAAAAAAATTGTAGGTGTTGTTGTTCATACTATTATGCTAATACGAAGTTATGAAAAAGTTAGATCCTTACTAATTTATAGTAAATTATAAACATGTAGGTCAATGTAGATATATCATTAATCGTGCTTTTAACAATAGGGTAGCGTGATGAAAGTTACTGTACATGCCTGCATCAGGTCAAGGCACAATGCAGTGTAGTAAAGTAGTACAACACAACCCCGGTGTGATGCGAATAAACTGTAATTAAGATTTCGTTTCACAAAATTAGTATGAGACCAATACATGCAATATTTCGTTTAAAAAAGGAAACGTTACTGAAATTGGTTCAGTATTGCCGAAGATATCGTAAAATACATAATACATAAAAACTATAAAAAATGCAGTCTAATTGAGAATGCGGAAATTAAGACATTTTAAAAAATATTTATTTTATCGCTATTTTGTATGTATATTACTTGATATCTTCATATATTCGTGAATGCGAATTACTTAAAAAACACTGTTGTATTTGTCCTATATTAATTTTATTAAAATAAAGTATTTGTTAAAAAATAGATTACGTTCATTAAAAAAAAATTGATATTTTACAATAAATTTTCAGTGGTATATGGTTATATTATGAAAGAACTCTAACTCAACTGTAGTTAAGTATGTTACTTTAGGAAGGCTGTCAGTGATAAGTAGTTAATGGTGATGGATGACGCGAATGTTGGCTAAAGAATAAGAAAGAATTAAAGCTTAAACTTTTAACTAAGTTACTTATTGGAGTGTATATCACAACAATTTAACTTTTTGTTATCATAAAGAGTTATTACCCATAGATGCTTGCAACACCAAGGGTGTCACGTGCACGTTGGCAACTGTGAAGAAACCTTAATACGTTCTTTTTGAAGAACCCCATTCCGTAGTCTGAGCGTTCCCGGAAGGAAAGTCTACTGAAACCGTAAAAACATCAAAATATCGGTTCATACTTAACGAAGACAATTTCCGACTGCTTTTTAAACCGATATCAAAAATGAGGAGGTTCATAATTAAACTGTTGATTTGTTTGTATGTTGCGAGATTTTGGAGCTACATTTTCTTGTTATTATACGTATATGTATACAAGTTTTTTGGGGCTTGGTAAATTATACAAATACTTCAATGGATATATTGAGTGGAAGATAAAGAGAAAGATAATGTACATGCTAACATTACATGGGAGTCATGAGAACCTATTCCTAGTACAACACTAGAAAAACTAAACTTTTTTTTATAAGAAATCATGGATCGAAAAATCATATTTCAACCCTTTAGGAATCTTTACCAATCTTTAGGAAAAGTTATTTCATTTCTTAAAAGTATCAACCTTGAATTATTATGACCGATATACCAAACTCAAGGCAGGTTACGATTTAAAAGATCTATCTTAAAAGAAATTTATTGAATTTATTAAATAAAACGAAAGTTGGAGTGCATGGCATTTTGTGTTCTCAAAGAATCGGATAAAATGAGAACGCGGTTAGGAATACCAACCGTTAACAAAGGTTCCATTCAGAAAATATCTTTGGAATACGTGAGATTACGTGAAGGTAAAATTCGTCTTAATATCGTTCTCTACGAAGCTTATTAGTCTTTTACAATTTTATTTTGCTCTCTTTATGTACTTTTATTGAAATTTTAATGTAAAATATTGATTTTCCCCCATTATGAGAATTCAGCACACTCACTTACTTATTATTCAGTATTTTGTTTTATGTATATATTGCTAGTTTTGACATAAGATATAGAATAGATTATCCCGATAACAAAAAATGGCTCTGGTAGGTAGCGGTCGAGAACGAAACAACCTTTGCCCTGTTAGCTACTATGAACATAATAATAATAATAAATATAGCAAAGAAATAGGTACAAACCGATAAGAATTATTTACATACATACATACATATCTGTCACGCCTGTCTCCCATTAGGGTAGGCAGAAACAATGGAACGCCAAATACTTCGAGAATTATTTATTGAATAATATATTAAGGAGCAATAGATACACCCTCGATTTTAACAGGAAGAGTGAGTACTAAATGCAGTGGAATTCAAGGGCAATGATGACGTCAGAATCATTGCATTTCTGGCTGCTATCACTTTGAATATACATTTGTATGAATCAAACAGTAACATCTTGTAATATTTGTAAATATATAGAATAAAAACGAAGGCGGTAGCTACTAATAAGCTGGACACGTGATGCTAGCATGTGATGTATATTTTTTTTGTCTCTTTTTCCACTAGTTAAAATTATTCTGATTTGAATTTAACCTTGTATGGCAGTTGTATTGCAATTAAATAAACATCATAAAAGGTTTATAACGAAAACAAAATGCTCAGCGCAGTTTTGAAATGCGGTTTGATTTCAAATGGGCGGATAAAGTTCCAGTATCAGTTTAAAAGGACTTCGCTCGTTTATTTGAAAAGCAATTAAGGCTTTCCATTCTTTTATTTTACTTTTGGCAGCTCGATTGTACATTTATTTTTCATTTACATAAATGTAAAAAAGTTTGTAATGATTTGTGGTGTAACAGTTATGTAGGCGACGAAAACATTTTTATAAAATGTAATATGTAGATGAATTCTGGATTAAAGTATTGGTATATTATCAAAATTTTATCCTAAGTCATGCGGGCAAAGGTAGGTTATGAAGTTAGGTATTAAATATGGTTATTACTTTTTACGAATAAAAAATTAGTGTAGATACAATCTTAATATACAAAGATTCTTTAAAAAAAACGAGATAATTTTTGATAAAATCTGGAACAGTATGTTTTCTTTTTTATCAACTGTTATGTAAAATTAAAGAATTTAAAGGTTATTAAGTCTTAGAGTATACGTAAACAGTGTTTTGGTTTTGATTTTTAGCGTATAGTGTTCAGTGGTAATTACACCCAAGTTAGCTGTATTTTTATTATACAGGTATTCTACAAATAAATAGTTTAATAATACAAAATTGAAAAAAAATCCTCATTGGATCCTTAATTAAGTTATGTATGTATTAGGTACATGTAATTAAATAGTGAAATTATCACCAAAAGAAACAAGTACAAATAAAATTTTTGGAGAAGACCAAATTATCAATAATCCACCTTCCGATTTTAGTTAGACTGATATACATGGATACCCTCTGGATACTATTGTCGGTAATTCTTGATGAATTCAGCATAATGGATCAATCGTCCTGATTTCCTCTTTACCTATCATCACTTATTATTACTCTGCAAGTGTAATTTAGCACAGGCAGGGTTACTAATGCTCTAATTACACTTTCATTCATAAAAAATCTTTATCCATTACCCCGTGTAACAGAAACGAATCGTCTCTTATTTCAAATTTGCTACTTAAGCCTCAAGCAATCCATTTAATTCCGTCAACAAGGCCCAATAAACAAACATCTTATCCGATAGACTTTGTTTTATTTTATGGTTATTGATAGGTTTGGTTCATGTTTTGAATTCTTTGTTTCAGTTTTAAAGCATTTACTTTTGAGTAACACTCAAGATCTTTACCTCATAAAGGTCAGTACTTGTATCACAATCTTCCGCATTCGTTGACTACTAGGTCAAGTGTATATTTGATATTATATATAAAAAAAAAAAACTAGCTTCGCACGGTTATTGTGAAAATAAAATACTGTCAAGCGAGTAGTACGCTGATAATATAACATTCTAAAGGTGAAAGAACTTAAAATTAGTTAAGTATTTTTTAATTTACCCATTATAAACAATATTTCCCCATTATAATAGTAATTAAGAAATCAGAGTATGGTAGAGCTGATTCAAATATTAAGTTGTCAAAAATAATTGATTCTATAATCAACTTTACATGGTGAAATGAAAGAATCATTACATTTTTATGGAAGTATTATATCAGAGAATACACAATTTTTCACGAAAAAAACTCTGAAAATGTTATCTTGTTTACACATATTTTAATTACATTAATATTTTTTATTATATTTAATTATTAATTATATTAATATACAATAATTTAATTAAAAAAAATTATTAGTAAACACGTACTTTTACAGCTCCGCGAATTTAAATTGAGTAACTTGATTTAAATCAAAGAAAACCACTATACGTTAAAAAAAAAAAAAAACTTATCTGTGCTGTGATTCCTTATAACCTTAAACAATC